CAATCGGAGCCTTTAATGAATTTAAAGTTTTAAAATGATTTAAACAAATCATGTCTTCTAAATTTTCTCAAATACCATTGGTATTTCAATCTATAAATTATCTCTCAAATTATCTCAAATCATTTTTAAAAATAATTCATTAATGAAATCTCAATTTTATAATAAGGCAATTTTAATGAATTTGTATTAGTGGCTACTCCAATAACCTTAATAAATGCTAAATCCAATAAAAAAGGATTTAAAAAAAAATCATCCCAAATTATTAATCTAACATATCCCACTAAGTATCAAATCTATACTATTCAAAACTCCAGCATCGTTATATAATTATTATTTGGTTAAGTTTCTTTTTTCTACATGTTTATTAACATATAAAGTCAATTTATTATTGAAATTAAAAAGAATAAATTAAATTTGAATATTGATTATAAAATAAGAATATATTTTAAAACAGGGAAACAAACAAAGTATAAAAGTATAGTCAAAACAAAACAAAAAAGGGTTTGTAATGGTTTCATAATATTCTATGGAAATGGATGCTAACTGCTAATTAAGATTCTCCACAAAAAACTTTCAATTGTTTGGACGATAATCAGATGAAGCTTAATTCCACAATTAGATTAATAAATCATTACAAACCAATACGCGAACATAGGTTATAACTTTAACCAGTACAGTTTTACTTTTAATTTGATAGACAAACCGTAAACCATTAAAAAAAAAAAAGATTATCCTCGAGACCAACAAACAGAAGATGAAATCAGATTCAAAGTCATCATATAATATGTCCCCACAATCTAGACCTTGATTATAATAAATACTAATGACAACATCATAATACAGATTGATTTTCTTTATATCTCTTAAAACTTAAATCTTCTATGAAAACACCCATATATAACATTATATACATTATATTATATAATGTCTGATATGCAACATATATAGTTTAGTCCAACTTACATCAATGCTCCCAAATTGCAATGAGTGAATAGACTAATTGACTTAAGAAATGAAAATCAAATTGTGATACCAAAATGGTAATGGACCACACGCCATTTCAGTGTATATTCGATTCTCATCGTAGAAATTCTACAGTCCAAACGTTTTCGATTCCTGTAATTATTGTTTATCGTAAACCTTATCACCTACTCACAGACAATACCCTTTCTCATAATCTGTTTGATGTCGTTAGAAGAAACAGAACCACCAAACCAAACTCTAGATCATGTCCTAGGCTGGCTTGAGGATTCTATGTCCTTAACACCATTACCTGGATTCGATGATTCGTATTTGCTCCACGAGCTTGATGGGTCTCAAACGTGGGAATGGGATCAGACTCAAGATCCGGGACATGATTTTCTTCGTAGCTATAGTCAAGATCTCAATGCATATATGAGTTGTGAAGCGACTAACTTAGAAGTATCAGAAGCTCCAGTACTCGTTGGTTCGGATCCTCCACCCGAACTTCAGCGACCAAACGATCAGTCCAAGAAAAGGAACCGTGATGGGCTTATCGATGCCCAACAAGTGAAAAGATCAGCAAGGAGCAGGAGAAAAGCAAACAAGTCTAGTGAGAAGAGCTGCAAAAATGGTAACAAGGAAGAGAGATGGACAGAACAACTTCTAAACCCTTTTGCCTTGGCTATTACAGCAAGGAATTCATCAAGGGTTCAACATTACCTTTGTGTTCTCTCTGAACTAGCCTCTGCTTCTGGAGTTGCTAACCATCTTCATGCAGCTTTTGGTCTTCACGCTCTGCAGCATTATATTTCAACCTCCTCTGCTTCATCCTCTGTTACTACTTTTGCTTCAGCAGAGGTCAAGATGTTCCAAAAGATTTTGCTCAAGTTCTATGAGGTAAGTCCTTGGTTTGCTTTCCCTAATCACATGGCAAACTCAGCTATCCTGCAGATTCTAGCACAAGATCCGAGAGATAAAAAGGATCTTCATATTCTTGATATTGGTGTCTCACGGTATCCGATCTAACCGCAGACACAGCTTTCTCTGTTGGTCCACCAGCTTACAATTATGGTTCTCAACTCATTGGATTTGCTCGGTCCCTCAACATCAACCTCCAGATCAGCGTACTTGACAGTTTACAAATCGTTGATACCTCACCTCATGAGATCTTGATCGTCTGTACTCAGTTCAGGCTGCAACAACTGAAACATGGCATCCCTGATGGGAGAAGTGAGGCTTTGAAAGCACTGAGATGTTCAGAATCACGACCTAACTCTCTCTCTCTCTCTCTCTCTCTCTCTTTTACTTTAGCCTCTGAAGACAGTTTAGTTCAGCAATTTTCACCCCAAAACTAACATTGTCAAGAAGTTCAGCAATTTTCACCCCAAAACTAACATTGTCAAGAACACATTTATAGAAAAGTAGCTTGGTTCTAAAAATAAGGTCCCTGTGATTATAGAAAGACAGTAAGGTTATAACAGAACATAATCCCTCCAGAAAACGCATCAAGATGTTTACGGCAGCATATAGCTCAAATTTATAACCGCAAAAAGAAGAAATACTATTTGAATGATCACAACCTTTCTGCCTCATGATCTACTTGTTTTTCTGTGATATCAAGAGACAAGTGGACCAAACTTGAACATATGGGAAAAGGCCTGTATTGAGAGGTTTGTACCACTGATTCGTTTCTCAAGTTCTTTTTTGCAAACATTACTGTTTTGTGAGATTGACTAATTCATTGGTCCTCTGTATTTCACACCTCTTGGGAAAAGGAGAAAAAAACATGGCAAAAACACAAATTGAATAAATCGACTAGCAGAAGTTGTCTTGTAAAAAAAAAAGGACTTGAAACAAAAAAAGAAGGAATGTAAAGCTGCAAGAAACAAAATAATGAAAACTGAACAAAGTTTTAAAATTCTCGTTCATTCCTTTTGCCCGTTTGGATGGTATCTCGCAGTTGAACTAAGCTTGGAACATAAGAAGAAGAGCACACAAGTGGTTGACAATAATCAGACATGTGAGGTGTTCCGATATACGGAGCTTCTCCGATATTCACAGATTTGGAGTATCCGTCTTGTCCAAGGATGTGAGCTGTTTGGTAACGAATGGGGTTGGTCCGTCTATGCTCGTCAAGACCGAAAACCACGACAAGTTTCTTCTCCTCGTCAATGAAAAAACTCCCAGCGTTAGGAGTAAACACAACGCCAGCGAGTGGTCTCATACCAAGTTTCAAAAACTTGCTCCAGGACACCGCACTGGGCTCGATCCTAGTCGTAACCCAGATCTCCACTGTACAAGTGTTGAGTAAAACGTGCTGATATAACACAGCAAGCTGCTCTTCTCTAACACAAGATAGGGTCACAGTATCTTCGAAATAAGAGTGAAACGGCAGAGAAAGACGCGGTCCGAATCTCTCTGACGTAAAATCAAAACAGAGTAAAAAATCTGCAGTCTCTGTTGTATCCACTTCGTCTGCTCCGACGACTCCTTCCCCCATTAGTTTCTCTTTAGCAAAAAAGTAGGCATTCCCCTTCAAAGACACGCCACGTTGGTAACACTCTATTTCCCAGTCCGGAGTGACGTCAAGAACCCTCCATGAGTTAGAACTAAAATCGTACATCTCGTACGCAAAAAAGCTCCCATCCTCGAGGATGTAATCATCCAAAACCCTCAAGATTTTGTGGTCACGGTTACTGTCGTATCCGAGAGCATACCTGTCTAGTATGTGGAAATTGTCTCTGGGTTGGATCCACCTGGTTTGTTCCAGATACGGATTCCAGACCAAGAGCCTCGAGCTGTCATTGGTGACGCATAACAATAAGCCGTCACAGTGAAAGACTTTACATACTTGGACTTGATCAAGTATAGCTACCCGCTTTATGGATGGATCAACCAAGTCTCCGTTGCGGATTCCTTGGAGATCGAACCTCAAGGAACAAACCCTAAAATCCATCATCATGAACCCTAGAAACTGCTTCCTTGCTGCTGCTTTACCAAAGCTCTGACTTTTGGATAACGCATCCCACGTTTTGCAAGTAGATCGCACTCTTCCCAGAGACGTCATCGGAACCTTGCAGAGTATTTCGCCTACCAAATCCTTTGGAAGATCGGACATTGTCGTCATTGTTGTTGGTACTTAGGTCTGAGAGATCGAGAGAGAATAGGATGATTTATTCGTCACAAGTCTCTCCGTTTCCTTAAATATATGATTGGGTCAAGTGGATATTAATTAAAAATAAAAATATGTGGTTTCTGATTTTAACATTATAAATTATTAAATCTATGTTGATAAAATTATAAATAAAAAAAAATAAAAATATGTGGTTTCTGATTGGGTCAAGTGGATAGATTAACATTGTAAATTAAAAATAAAATATACAATGTGGTTTCTTGTTGGGTCAAGTGGATAGATTAACATTGTAAATTAAAATAATTATCAAATAACACGAAATTTCCTGAAGGAAGCCAACGAAATTGGACCGGTCACAAAAGTGGTTTACTCATGAATTTATACCCCTCTTCGTTTCTTTTTCGAAAGCATAATAATTATGTTGCTAAATCAAAGTACCATATCTGCTTCCATCAAAACAAAAGACGTCTCATGAGAGCATAGATGATGAAGAAAAAAAAAATCCTGAAAAAAGTTAAAAATATTTTTTTTACTCTTCTCACGAATTGTGTCAATACCTTGTATAACCACAGCCTTTACCTTTCTCACGAATGATTTTTTCATCAACAGATTCTCTTAAAACAGAAACAGGTTTTCAGAGGAATGGATTTATACGCATGATCAAATGTGTCTTTTCACTCTCATGACATTCTAAAATGGGAAAATTTCGGCAACTTTTTTAGAAATGTTATCAACACTGTTTGTCTGAGAGTGACAACGTACTAAATTGGCAAATTTGTTTTAACCTTTTTGCATCTTAGATTGAATCAACAGAAGCATTGTTATGTACAACAAATTAATCATTACTTGCAATATGTACATATACACATTATACATGGACTAGTTAACAATCACGGAGAATTCATCAGCTTCCCCATCCGACCATGGTCCCGGGGCGGGAAAACGCGAGACCTCGATCATACATCCGTTGGATCTCTTCTCTGTATTCAGTCAGAGACTCGTCAGGAATTGGTGGAGTCAGCTCCACCACATCACCCATCTTCAGCTTCCACTTGAGGTCGCTTACAGGTTTCTGGTTCAGCCTCGGTCTTAGTTCTTCCTTTGATGGTATCCCATACATGCACCACCTCGAGCTCCCTGGCCCCGCCCGGCTCAGCAGATCCGACACTGTTGAACTCGCTGGAAACTCTTGCACTGACATCTGTGCATGTTCCGGAGCTTGTTCAATATAACAATCAAGCGGTACACTCATGTACTAGAGAGGAAGACTGTTTAAAATCTCATAAAACAAACCTTGTCATTTTCGATCACGATGACATAGACTGGTCCGTCCTGGCTACTGTTGGGCTTGTAAGAAGCCGGGCAGTCCTCAGAGTGAGACGGAAACTTGCAAGGTGGTTTGATGGAATCGGAAGAACGTATGGAAGATCGGTCCTTGCTCATTGTTTCACAATGCCAAGTTACAACCCATCGAGCCCATTCAACCATCTGAAGCACAAACGAAGAGTATTTGCAGTCACCTTCCTTGTACCTCCAGTGAGCTGCAAACCCAAATTCCGCTTGCAAATGCATCTCCTGTGTACGTATCTGGACTTCAAGTGGAACCGTTCCGTTGTCCATCACCACCGCGTGCAGAGATTGATACCTAAAACAAACAAACAAAACCAAATACAAAAGTCAGATTTGTAAAAATGTAACAAGTCACAGCTTAAACATTTAAGTTGTATATGAACTTACCCATTCAACTTGGGATGAGTTATGTAATCCTTCAGCTTTCCAGGAACTTCAGACCATAACTTATGAACTACACCCAAGGCCTTGTAACAATCTCCTTCGTTGTTGACAATCAAACGTAACCCATGAATGTCATGAATTTCATCCACTGTAAGCTTCTTCCTGGTGTAGTCGAAAACAAGACAACATCAACATCAGTCTTCTGGTTTCACTCAACATTGTTTCATCTGTAAAAAGGGAGGAACGAGGAACTTACTTCAACATCTTGCAGTAAATACTATACAAGCTCTTGTGCCGGCCACAGAGAACATGGTAAGATATGCCTTCTTTCTTGAGCGCTTGCTCCAATTTCTCTATCGCAGAAGTAATCATGGCTTCATCGAATGAATCCTCGAGCATGGTTGACATCTCGTTATGCTGTTGTGGGTAAAGATGCTTGAAACAGAGATTCTCAAGCTGAACTTTCCAGGTAGAGATTCCCAATCTATTAGCCAAAGGTGCGAATATCTCAAGAGTCTCTTTGGCGAACCTCTGCTGCTTCACAGGGGACAAAGCGTAAAGCGTCATCATGTTGTGCAGACGATCAGCCAGTTTGATGAGAACAGCTCTTGCATCTGCCATTGCAAGAAACATTGTATGCAATCGATCCGCTTCAACAGTTTTACACGCCGTATTGTTCTCTCTGGCGAGTTTGCTCAGTTGGCTAAGCTTCGAGACCTAAACATACAAACCACACAATTGAGCTCAATTAGCTAACGACCATGGTTTCCCAAACCAAGAATCTCAAACAAATAAAAGTTACTCGTTTTCTTACCCCTTCGACTAAATCAGCAACTCCTGCTCCAAAGTTTCTGAGAATGTAATCATAGCTCATGAACGAATCGTCCATGGTATCGTGAAGAAGGCCAGCCACAACAACAGTTGAGTTAGCTCCGATGTTAGCCAACAACATAGCAGTCTCGACGCAATGTTGCAGGTAAGGATCACCACTAGCTCTCATCTGATTTACACACATCAAGCGAAAAACTTCAGTCACCAAAAGCAAACATCTTTGAATCAAATTTCATGAAAAGCTTTTGATCACAGATTCATCTTCTTACCTGTGCTCTATGAGCCTTCTCCGCTTCGTAAAATGCTTTGATCACAGATTCATCTTTGAAGATTTTGTGCCTTAGCTGAGCACGTCTTAGCAGATCCCTAGCATACGGCTGCCTCGTATCTGCTCCAAATCCATCGTCCATGGGAAACGTTAGCTCATCTACGAGAATCGAATCCGAAGAAGACGATCCCAGTTCGTAATCCACACACGAACCCACGGCTTTCCTTACGAATCTATTGAACAATCCGCTAGCTCCAACTCGAAAAGACCCATGGAAGCCTCCATCAAGATTCCGATCACGAGAAATTCTCATCGGAGGGCTGCAGCTGCACGAGACTGGACCGTGAAGCACAGAGATTGGGCTTTGGTGGTCTCGTCGATGATACGAGGAACCCACGAATTTCGCCGGAGAATAACAAAAGGAGCTGCTCAAGCTCAGATCTTTCAGATCATCACTCCGATCATGACGCAAGGACGAAAATTCCTCTAGTCCCATAGAAGCTGAAGACTTGACGGATGCGCCGGAGAAAAGCGAAGAGAGGCCTCCGACGATCGGTTTCTGCGGCGAAGAAGACGTCGAAGGGGATGCCGACGAACCCCTGGAGCTCAGATCGAGATCGCAAGCGGCGATGTGATGCGGCGTGGAACAAACGCTGCTAGGTGGGCTAGCGTAAAGCGCTATGGTCGTCGCCACTACCATTGGAGCTCGCTGGTTCAGGTTTCAGTAGAGAAACGAGACAAATGAATAAAGAATATCCACAAATTATGTGCAAATTCCCAGAATTAGCTCCCAAAGCAAGTCAATTTCCCGGGAAATCAAAGTCACTTTTTTTTCGATGGAGACAAACAGATTACTCAAAACCCACGAATCCTAATTCGAGAAAACCCAGATTGATACGGAGTTCTAGAAAGAATTTTATACAGCAAAAAAATTACTTTTGATGGAAAGAACAGATCAAAGCCTAAACTATTTACAATTTATACGAGTTCAGAGAAGAGATTATAGAGAATGACTCTGAGAAAGAGAAGAGGGTGCGTGTGAGAAATAAGAAGAAGAAGAGACGAAGACGCTTTGCTTTAAGGAAATAAAACTGTACTCCTATTAGATATTTCTTTCTCTCTCTTCGATTGAAATTTTCATAGAAGCCACTCTCTCTCCTTCCTATTCGCCTGTTTATGTTCGGCCGACCAAGCTAAAACATAATTACTCAAATACCCTTTTTGGTTATTCGTTAATTGCTGGCTAAATAAGTGGGATTATTAGTAGTGATTACAGACTAATCTCGTCATGTCGTTATCCATTGCTGTTGTATACTTCGAAATGAGAAAATATAATTATTTTTACTTTTTATTGGGTATAGATTCAATATATCTAAGAATAAAATATAGTATAATGCTTTGTCCCCGAACATAATCTATGAGATCTTCCAATTTTAAAATTGGCTCATCGCACATTATCAATCTGTCTTCCAAACTCAAACACAAATAGATTAAGTGATACTATAGTATTTAAATAATGCTAATTCTTTTGATTAAAGAGACTTGCAGTTAAAAAAATTGATGAGACGCTAAAATGTTTAACAATATCCAATCCGATGACATCGATATCTCAACTCCAATGGCTATAAAACAATGTAAGGTATCGTTTATGGAGATAGTCACTAAATGACTTTTGTGTGTTCATAAAAGACATTTTAAGATAACTGTACTTTAAGCTAAATCGTATGACAAAGTTAGAAACAGAGCACAATTTTGATAAAGTCCACAATATGTTATTCAATTTTCCTTTTGTATTTATGATTTCAAACTTATTAAAATTTAATTGGTAATAAACCTATTAGTAAATTTACATATGATGAGTAGTGTTTTTCGTCGGCTATACATCTTTTTAATCATATTATTCACATATGTTTTCTTTTGCTTCACGCCAATGCATCATGACATGGCCCCGCAATAAATTTACTAAACTAATCATTTTTTTCTAAAGCTTCTTATCCTCTTGGAATCTTTACTAAACTAATCATTTGCATTACGGTGTATTTTTCTTCTTCAAATTTGTTTAAAAATGGTATAGCAGATGATGAGTCATCCCATTTGCATCACCTTTATTCATTTATAATTATTATTTATATAATTGTGACGAGTGATGAAAACAGCTTTGTTTATTTTACTTTACTTTTTGGCAAATTGGAGTTTGCTACATTGAACATGAACATAATCAGCAAATTGTAGTAACAAAGGGTCCACCATGAGATATTGTCTTCTCTGTAGTACTATTAAGCAGGGGCAACAGTGACATTTTCAATGAACTAATAAAGAGATTCCTAAAAAAGTGGTTGGTTAAAATCGAATTTTTAAAATACATTATTTTTTTAACGTATATATTTGGTTTTTCACGAGGCTCTAGAAGATTAGCTTTGTGAAAGGAGTTTAAGATAAGGACACCGACGCGTCTCGGAGAAAATTCGCCCACGTGGCGCCAAGTCGGCAAAGCTGAACATGGCACGCGTCCGAATTGGCGGCCATGAAAAGGAAAACGGATGTCACGCTCGTCTCACGTGTCCACTCCCCAGCTTCACCTACACTGACTTGTGGGCGGATCGTGTGTTTCTACTTGAATCAGACGGCTACGGTTTAATTCCTCAGCTTGAAGTTTTTATTACAGCCCCGTAAATCTATTTCGAATATTACTTACGGTTGTTGAGAGTCAACTGATCAAAAGTCAGAACCTGTAACATTCTTGTTAGCACGTGCATCACGTGCGTTTGTGTATAAAAGACGTATTGATATGTTCGTTTTATAATGACGTGGGGGTTATGAAGTCAGAAAAGAAGATCAGTATGCAGCAAACGAGATATTTAGGGAATTAAATCGGTTAGTTTCGGTTTAAGCATACATAAAACAAAATAGAAGGTGGTCCCGAAATAACCAGCAAATGAAATGCGATTTGCGTAAGAAGCAAAGTATTAGAATTTGGTCATCCCATAGACTTTGCCATGTGGAATTGTTCCGCTGCCTTTTACTCTCCTTCACGCAACCATTCTTTCCTCACACGCATCTTCTTCGTATGTGTCATTTCCGGTTTTCTCTGAACCGGTCTTCTAGCTTGTATGAAAGCTCAATACTGTTTTTGGGGCTTTTTGGATCCACTTCAATGCCCGGGCCGGGGCAGGACTAAATATTTAAACATTTTGGGTTTATAAGCCCAATAATTGTTCACTCTTTTCGAAAACAAAATTTTATGAACCCAAAAGTTTTCGTTAGTAGAACTACAAGTTTGAAACAAAGGAAACATTTCCATCCTAACCCACACAATAATCATGATTTATGCATTTCAAGCACATTAGGTTTCTAACTAAATGTTCTCTCCATTTCACAACAAGCCTCATTTTACTATTTGTAACCCACATCAACTCCATTGATGTATGTTTTGAGTTTTTTTCTTACATGTCACAAGTTTTTCATAAAAGACAAATTTAATTTAATTTATTATTTTAATAAAGAGAAAAATCAACAGTTTCAACACAGACATAAAAGAAATGAATAATGATATAATAGAAAGTATAAACTAGCTAATTATAGTAAATAGAGAATATTTATTTATTTTTGAAGCATTTTTCGTTTTAAAACATGCATCAATTAAAAACAGAGAAATATAAGTTTCACTATACCCTTTATTAACATAATAAATAACATTTTAACTGTAGGTAATACATTAAAATTAGTAGAACTAAAACTGATTTGTTTTCTTTACAAAAATTGTATTAAAAATATAAAATGACTTTTTATAAAGCAAAAATAAACTCTTAAATATCAGAAAAACATTTCTACCACAAAAAAACTTGCATACATGTCCTGTAAGTCAATGTCTAAACTCCAAATTTCCAATAGCAATACTTTCGTACCTGTTTCTCAATTGGCCGCCCACAAGAACTCTCACAGAGCAAGCTTCTTCGCATAATCCAATTAATTATTCCAAGTTTCTTTTATTTTAATTTTCGGTTTTGCTCAAAACGTTTTATAGTTTCTGACGTTTTCCAGTGTAAAGAACTGCTATACATAAATTTATCCTTTACATCTAGTTTTATATAGGAAATGTAAAAGTAGTTTATTGCATTTGACAAAAAAAAAGTAGTTTAATGTGATATTTATTAGAACAAAAAAAAACGTAAAATACAAAGGCGAATAATTTGAAACTGATTAAGTTAGATAACCCAGCTATACAAGAAAAAAACGAGGCCGATGATCTTGGCTGGAGATGGGATAGAAAGATAGGCCTAAGCCAGGAGCGGCGAAAGCTGCCGCTTCCACCGCCATCCGCTGCTGAATAGTGGTGTCTCCGGCGTCAGCAAACTCCTTCACCAAATTACAATAATACCCTTTGATCTTCTTCACGAGCCTCACGTAGTACAGTCTCAGCCACTTGAACCTCATCCTTGTCACCATCCTCTTTAGCGAGAATCTCCCACGTGGCGTACTGTTTTTCCCGCCGAGACGTACAACTTGTGGCTTACGCCGACGGAGATAGACCTTCCGACGATTTGACGACCATCGGAATGCGCTTGAGGGGGAGGTGATGACTAAGTGGGGATCCATTAATTGGGATCTCGCGAGAGAAGTTTGTAGAAGAAAGAAATAGAAAGATATAATGTATGAAGTTATTAGATAGAGAAACTTATATATGGAGAGACTAGAGTCATTAAATTGGTTATGCGGTCACTTAGGACTTGATATATGACATGTTGCATAATTTCCGTAAACGAATATTGAATGTCCCAATCACAAACGATTTTGTAGTTTTTGTTGTTATATAACAAAATATACAGTCCATACTTATTTATCTCGGGGATGACCTATATACCACGACATTTCAGGAGTGCCACATATTTTGATATCTTTGTGTATCGAAATTTTGAAACTATCATATAAAGTTAGTAAATTAGTATTTAACAAAAAAAAGAGAGGGTGAAACAAGCTGGAATATGGAAAACGGGATAGAAAATGGACTGCACATGATACTTGTTATTATATTATTTAGCTATCTGTTCGATCATATACTGTATATCATAGTAATTTATGCTTGTCAAGTACAAAGAAATCGTCGATCAATATTGTGAATATTAAGCAATGGTAGTTAGATCTTAGAAATTGGTCAGAATATTGTTATTATGCTTATAAGCGTCTTGTCTCATCTCGACTGTGGGCTTTGTAGCTATATTAAGTTGTATATAACGTGTTTCATGTCTGTGTGCTCTTCGTTAAACATGCCCAAGTATATCTCTTGGTTATTACAATTTCGTATTATCCGGCTTTGTAACATATATTATATATATTCAGGTATTGTAATATTAGTTTCAGATGAAAACGAAAAGAAAAGTGAGTAGATAAGCTTTGCTATATATAATACAAGAGTAAGCCTATTATTTACGTGTTGGTGCAGAAGACGACACATATAGTTACGTAGCTCAAGGGACCCCTTTTGTCTCTATTACATAGAAAGTCAACTTTAATGCAATTATGTAGGTTCTAGTGAAGACCATTCACCGGAAAAGTATATTTTTGTTGACTTCTGCTTAGTTTTATGTGTGCATCAATTCATGGACGGCTAATAATGTTTTACTATTTCTTTATTTATTTTTGGTTTGATGTTGAGTGTTGACTATTGCTAGAGTGCTCTTTTGGTTCTTGTGTCTACAATTTAACTTCTAACCTTTTCGAATTAACACTATTGTTCGCCAATAAAAAAACTGAAATTACCTATTATCATTTTGATTATTGTCACAAAATTTATAGAAAAAACGATTTTTTCGTGTGTTCGAAATGTAATCGTCGGTTTTATTGAGACTATGCATGAACTAATTTTACAGATGCAAATCGAATTTTGCTCATTCAACCCATGCAAAGTGGTCTAACCCAAGAGTGAGGGCTCAACAATGAGTAAACAGATCGGCCCATTAAATAAACCCAATAAATTTTGATGAAGCCCAATTTTTAACTATCAATCAAATAGACTGAACTGAGCTCTGACCCCATTGAACGGCCACCGGGCTCTTGACGACGTGTTCACCGTCTGTCCATTCAATCGACCCGAATTCATGACCCGGCACGGATCCAACTCCGCCGCCGAGCACTACGCTCTTAAACGTCACTTCGAATTCCAACTCGCTCCTCTCCTTGCTAAACGCAAGCTTGGTCGGAGCTACCTCGATCTCAACATTCGCCGGCGATTTAACTCCGACTTCATACACCGCGTCAACGTTGCTTCCCACATTTTTCACAACTCTTCTGTATTTCACAACATCGACGGTCGATCCGAAAACCACGGAGAAAGATGGATAGTTGAGATCGCCGGCGGTTCTGAGCTTGCTGGTCTCGCAGGCGTTGTAAAGACTTGGATCCTGAAGGAAGACTAGAATCCCAGGAAACTCGTATCCTACGGCGCAGAGGAAGGCCACGTACTCTTTCACATCGATGTCGTAAACCAAACCAGGATTCAAGGCTTTGTTTGGATCCACGTGGCCGGCTCCGTGGATGAATGAGTTCGATGATTTACCAGTGGCAAGATCCTCGATTGGTTCGCCGGAGTTTTCAGTATCGTAAGCGGTTGTTACAAGCGCGGATTTGATGGCTGCCGGTGACCAATCGGAATGAGCTTTACGGAGGAGAGCGACGAGTCCGCTGACGTGTGGGCAGGACATCGATGTGCCGGAGATTATGTTGAACGTGACCCGTCTTGGGTCGATATCTAAATCGGTCGGACCAACCATTCCAGTCCAACCGGCTAATATGTTGACTCCTGGCGCAATCACGTCCGGTTTGAGGATAACCGGCGAAATGTGGTTTGGTCCACGACTGGAGAAGGCGGCGACTCTGGGAGAAGGAGGAGTTGGTCCGATCAAGGTGCCTAGGAAGCTGATTGTTGCGGTGGGAGAGTCTGAATTTTTGATGTAGTCACGGATTTGATCTCCAGCTTTAGCTCCGACCATTGTTGCCGGGACGAGATGCGAATCGGCGGTGAGTTCTTCGCCGCTTTCAGCTGTGTTCGCCAGAATCATGCCTGCGCCGCCGGCTATCTTGACGGCACTTCCTTTCTCAACTCTGGCGTTGCCTCCTCTGTCACAGAGAACGATTTTGCCTTCCACCAGGGATGAGTTCAATTTTCCCGGATAGCACAATCTGCTTCCGCAATCGCCGGAGTATACTAAAGTAACTTGAGCATCGGGAAGAGGTTCCCCAGCGTACAGTGACGTTCCCGTGAAGACTTTACCGTCGCCGGTGATGGCGTTAGCGGAGAACTCTCTGTCGATCGTGGACGCACCGACAGTTAGGATCCAAGGAGCGATGTTAGTGGCGGTTTGTGGGCCAGGACCAGAGTTTCCGGCGGAGCAGGAAACGACGATACCGTGCCGCGTCGCTCCAAATGCTCCGATCGCGATAGAGTCCATGTGATACTCCGGGGCGTAGCCGTTGGCACCTACGGAGAGAGAGATCACGTGAACACCGTCCGCTACCGCCTGATCCATGGCAGCGAGGATATCGGAGTCGTAGCAACCGCCGGTCCAACAGATTTTGTAGGCGGCGATTCTGGCCTTAGATGCCATCCCACGCGCCACTCCGCTCGCGTATTGGTACAAGCTCGCGTTAGCCACCACCGATCCAGCCGCCGTAGATGCCGTGTGCGTACCGTGACCTGCTGTATCGCGCGGCGACCTCGATTCCTTCGCCGCGTGCGTTGATCCGTTCTGATGCGTTAAATATCCCTTGTAAAACGCCCGAGCTCCGATAAGCTTCCGATTGCAAGATGATGCAGGAAAATCCGGTCCGGTCTCGCACTCGCCTTTCCAGGCAGATGGAACGGGGTCGAGACCTGAATCAGAGAAACTCGGATGCTCCGGCCAGATTCCAGTGTCTAGAACGCCGACGATCACGTCTTCTCCGTAATTGGAGTTGCTCCAGAGACCAGAGTTATCGGAGAAACCGAGGAAGGCAGGGGTATGAGTTGTGTGAATCTCACGCGCCTGATCAGGGATCACGGAGATGACGGCTGGGTTACGTCGGAGGGCGGCGGTCTGGGTAGGGGAAAGACGAGCGGAGAAGCCATGAACGGCGCGTGAGTATGAATAAAGGAGGGTCGCGGGCTTGGGAGAAGATGGGAGGGAGCGGAGGAGAGAGTTGTGCCAGTGGCTGTGGGAAGAGAAGAGGGAAGGCTTATGTGATCGCTGCACATGAACGATGTAGGATGCTAAGCTTTCCGATGAAGAAATTGAAGATAAGAAACAGAAGAAGAGAGAAAAGACGAAGACGACGGAGGAGAGAGAGAGCTTAGCCATGGCAATCGCCCCGATGGAAGAAAGATTCGTTGTGGGCGATACTTTTGGTGACGTATTTATTATTATCGTGTTTGAGCTTCTGAATCTTGTATTTCGTCTATACTCCACGTCAGCAAAATATGAATAATTGGTGACAGATGCTTCCTCCAAGAGATAACATGTTTGGTCCTACTATTATTACACACTAATTTTTTAGAAAACAGTTAATAACAGAAATATCAAGGATGAGACGTGGGTCACATGACTGCGATTTAATATTGACACGAGAGGATAAGCAAAATTTTGAGGTGATAAAAATGTGGCAGGTAAGACAAAACGACAAGCCAATAAGAAACGAACACACTAAGCTCAATTATCGAAAGATTCAAGACTATTATGAACGATCGTTACAAGTTTTTGATATACAAATATATAGCCTTTGATTAGTCGTTGGTTATAGCTTCTAAGCAGCCCATGGTATGAACCCCATGGCGCAACTGAGCCTGAAAGTGACGAATATCAGATATATAGCAATGAGTCCAATACCTAAAGTTTTGTTAGGTCGCATGTCGTTACGCGGGAGTATCACCAAAGCCCAAACCAAACCGAGTACAAGAAACCCAAGTGTGTAGAACAAGCTTTTGTCTTCAGGGACCATGTATGAGTCAGGGCTCTTGGACCATGCTCCGAGAAGCATGGACATACCCAGCCCAACGAGCGTGTTGAACATCGGACCTGCGTAGCATCCCGATAGAGCGATCTGTACACCATCCCCACCGTTCATCGACAGTGCGATGTTTGACACTAAGTCACCCATTGAGTTCCCCCAAGCAAGTACTGTGAGCGCAAGTATCGACGGGTTGATTCCGTAGATCTCACCAAATGTCACCAGAAGAGCAACGAGTTCGTTTGCAATCATGTAGAACCACACGATGCTCATGATAAACCCACCAAGAACCCAAGGGATCAAGAATTTCCGAGGTGGGTGATCCGGTTCTGTGTTTTTGTAAGCAAGAAAACCAAGAGTAGAGCCAATAGCAACGCCGATAAAATAAGCCACACCACAACCTTGGCCACTCGCATCGTCTTGGCTACTCCAGAGAGATGCCAAAAGTACAGGCGCTAACGAAACGCTGGCCACAGCGTAACTCTTTGACCAAGTATCTTCCTCGACCGATGGAATCGTTAACTTCCTCGGAATCGTCAGTGGAATTTCCAACAAGGAAGTGAATTTAGCACACAAGGAGTTGTCAACTTCTGCACTGTCGTCAAGCCATCCCCAAGGTGGTCTTTCATCATCTTGTACACTGACTCTAGCGAAATGGTTTGAGTAGATGGCCACATTTGAAGCCCACATCCACGGAGGAAGAGAGTTCAGTAGCCGAGGTGGACCATCCTCAGAGTCAGTTTCGATCAAGGGGCTATGCATTGGAACATCCTCTCCAACACTCGGAGAAAACACACTTCCTTGCATAGGTAGCAAAGGAGTAATAGCATCAAGTTTAAACCTCTTGGCATGCTTTCTCAGAATCACATTCGCTGCCACGAGGAAAGCATAAACCACATAGATCGACACAAACGCGACGGCGATCCGCACCGTCACTTTACCGACCATCAAAATAACAGACAAAGACACGAGCGAGAAAAGGAAGAAACTCAAGTCTCTGATGAAGCATTTCTTATCGATCTTGACTTCCATGTCCGCAACGCAAAGCGAGACAATCCCAACGACAACAGAAGTAACGAACACAGCACCACCCAAGACGCTGTTAAGACCAACTTCCCCTTTGTCTGATCCAACAAAAGCAGCTATGCTTGCAAACACATCTGGTGCTCCATTCCCAAGCGGAAGCAAAGTAACACCAGCAAGAGTCGGAGGAAGCCTCAGAAGCTTCGAGAGCTTCTCCAACGAACAGCAAAAGTAATCGGCAGCAGTATTACCCAACAGGTAAAACAACGCAACAAGCCAAACACCCAACATCATGTAACCTAAAATCTTGAAATCTCTGCAGGAGCAGTAGAAGAAGCTGAGGTAATCAAAGAATCCATCAGGGGAGCAAATTGGATTGCTTTTCAAGAACTCGCATTGATCAGCGTAACCCACGTGGTTGTGTAACCCCGAGCATAACACAGTAGTGCTGCTACTCAAGCTGTGATTACCAGAACCGTTGATAATAAACTTCGAAACATTTGTGTCAGCTTCGCTCATATGTCGACGAACTACCCTAAATTGGCTGAAGCCATTGTCGAGTTTACCTTTGGAGGTCGAATCACTAACACCATAACCGAAAGACGCGTTCCTTAACAAAGGGTTCCTGAGTATGTCGCTCCGATCAAAGAAGAGGACAAAAAGAATAACAGCACAAAGCCCATTGAAAAACCCTCGAAATTTGGGATTTTTCGAGATACAAAGAGAATTCGCAGCGCTCATTTCATACGCTTTATTACCAAACAACCAACCATAAACCCCAAACCTCGCCGAACCAGAAAGGGGCCTAGGGTTTCAAACTAACAAGATACGATATTGAACTTTTTGAAAAAACCCCTAAGGAGACCCAGATTTGGTTAGACAAATCGCAATTGAGGATCAGGTGATCAGCAAGATCAATCACCGAACGGAAGATTGTAGATTTCCCTCGTAATTAACCCAGGTTTTGAAAGTTGGCGAGAGAAAATGGGTAATGATCGTAGAAACAATGGTGATGAATCTTCTCCCAATCAAGGAATGGTGGACTGGTCGGATAAATTTGACCCGGAGACGTGGCATTCTTTACATTTTCAGAAAAGTAAACTGATATTAAAACAAAAGATTAGTAAATGTCTAGAAGCCTAAAAGGTTATGTCATCGAGATTAGGCCACAACCAAGACATTTCGATATTTGATTTGTCCTTTTCCCCATTTAAAGAAAGAAATTTCCTCTAATATTAATAGAGCATTTCTGTAAGTTTTGTAAATGTAATAATATTTTCGAATATTGCTGTATATAAACATAGAAAACATTATTAAAGGTAAATCAATAAAATAAGTATTTACAACTGCAAATATTACCGCCAAAAAAAAAACAAGAAGGAAATACAAAACACGAACAGAAAGCTTTAAGGCTGTTCCGGTGTAAGCTCTTGTATTACCCGTTCGATCTGTCGTCTGTAAACAGGCATGAAATGATCGCTTATCATCCTCTGCGATAACCTCACCTTACTATACAATGACCTCGGCGTTAGAAAGATTCCTACTCTACCCTCCTCCACCGTCTCCACTCTCTCAGGCCTCTCGAGGGCGGAGCCGTCATCTTCTTCGTTAGCCTCTACCGCCTCAGGCCGGACCGTGACAATGTGCATAATTTTCCCCGGCGGGAGAAATCTGTGGGATTCTTTCATCTCAGGCGTCCTGATTTCTGGCTGGGACACACCGGCTTCTGCGATGACAGCTTCTTCTTCTTCTTTGATCTCTTTTGCCACATCGGCTTCTTCAGGCAGCTCTGAAGAGTCGTCGTGGTAAAGGTCATGCTCCAGCTGCTGCCACAGCTCGGCTTCAGTCATTCGCTCTTCCCGTGTTTCGATTTCCGCTGGATCCTCGCACTCGTCAAGATCAGTGGCTCCAAGACGAGCTGATGTCTCACCGTAGTTAGAACACTCAGCTTCTGATTTCCACTTCCCGGTGATTTCTTCATCTATGGAATCACAGCTCGTGGTAACAAGAAGAGAATCTGAAGTTTCGGATCTAACTTGGGACATTGCTTCAGAATCCAAGATTGATTGAGTCGCAGGAGCTCTGCGCCGTGGTCCCATACATGACCAAGAAGATAAGCTTAGTGCAGGACGGGTCAGCATACTCTGGGCTCTTCTCATCACAACCTGCATAAAGTTTGTTTTTTCTCATAAACTTGTTGTGTCTTAAGAGCTGTTTACGTTTAAAAGCATATTCAGCGTAGCTTAATTACCTGTGTGCCACTAGACACTGGGCGTAACATTGCACCCGCACCAGCAACTTTTGCTTTGGCAGTGGCCATAGAAGGAAGGCGGGATCCTAGAGCCGTCGCTGAGCGATAAACGGTGCTGAGGATTCGAGTCCGTTCGATTTGATTTCTCAGATCATTTAGCCAAGCAGATGCTGTTACCTGAAGAGGTGGGAAAGGGAAGAGCAAAAGGATTCTCACAAGATGAAACAAAGAAAAGGTCCCCCCCCATGTGTATAATAAATGAAGCATTGTCAAAATATAGATTTTGGGGTTTATGAAGCTAACCTCAGCGCGTAGGTCATCTACTGATGCAGCAGAAAATGTAGGCACCAGATCAGCTCCATTTATGACAGTTACTATGAAGTCGTTCCCAGAGTCAGCTAATTCCCAAGTCATACAAGCAGCTGAAGAACATATGAACAAAAGCTCAGTCTTATGCCTTGAGAGAGTATCAACAGATGTAATTAATATCAATGTGGGATGAAAAACCTGGAGCAAATGTAACACATGTAGCTGTAGAGAGCATTTTCTGCTCCCGCAATATATATGTTAGAAGCGCAGCCGTTCCACCGCCCAATGAGTGCCCAACGATCTGCAAACAAAATGCAGGACAATGATTGATGTGTCTAGATACAATACTTTGTTTTAAACAACTGCTTTCCAGAAAATATGAAGTAGAAAATATAGAATATAGAAAGTACCTTGATTTTGTAATCTGGATATTGCTCAAGACCCTTGAGAAGACAAGGGGTGGCAAGTTTTGCTATACACCGAGCAGCAGCAACCATACCACAATGTGCATATCCTAAAACCAAATTGCTGACCCCACTCTCGTTCACAACAGTATGATGGAACGGCACAATTCCTCCTGTGGCAGCCGTCAAGGTGTCCTTGATGCTATGCGTACCACGGATCAACAACAGAAAACATTTTGTATTGTGATCGACAAGAACCGTATAAGCTGGCTTCAATATCTGCACGATGCAAAACCCACAAACTACTTCTCAACTTCAGAGTCGAGAAAAAAAAGTGCCTTTTTAAGAGTCGAGAGGAGTTGTAGAAAATTACCCCAGCTTTGGGTTCGTGAATAAGGACGTTTTCCTTTGTAAAGCCAGTCTCTTCTAAAAACAACGGAAACGGCTTCTTGGAGAAATGCCAACACAACGTCAACAAGTGCAAATAATATCTGAGTTCATTCGCCACTTCTAATCCTTTGAGCTCTATGCTATCTTCACCACCAAAGACACGATCAACATGAAGAAGTCCCTGCAGTTTCAGTTACACAATTTACAAAATGTTCACCTTTGACCACAAGATAGATTAAAAAAACCAAAACTTGTAACAGTTATAGAGATCAAGAGATGTTTGTTTTACCTGCCTCTTGATGAGAAAATTGATCCCAAAGGCAAGATCTCCAATTGGCCACTTCCCTAGAGTCTCGGAGTAAGTAAAACGAAGAGTCTCAGAGAGAGTGGAAATAGTCTCCAGCCAAGTTGCTGGAGCTTGAATAAGCCTATGCGAAACACGGTCAATCCTCAAAGAAGCGCGAGGAGCAGAAGAAGTTTCGGAATTCTCATCGTCAACATCAGATGGACCGGCTATTAATTTCCGGTTTAACGTGTAGTATAGAAGAGCAGCTGCTCCAGCTGCTGTGGCCATAGTTGCAGTTGCCATGAACAATCTATCCCTAAAACAAAATCAATCAAAATCACTGCTTGCTCAAATAGGGTTTTAATCTGAGACGAAACTTAACAATAAAACAAAAACTGATCTAACTACATTAGATGCCACAAAATTTCAATCTCCAGAATCAGCTACTAGTGCATATGCTCTCTCCGAATTTTGCCAGAGATCCTCAAAACATCTAAAGCTGGATCCAATTTTCGTCCGAACGAACATTTTATTTCTTCTTCACGAATTATCCTCAAAACATAAACATTTCGGGATAAAAAAAAAAAAAAAACAAACCCCCCATTAATAGAAAATTCTCACTTTCCCTGAAATTTCTCGAGAATCACAACAAACCAATACTCCTCATAACTATCGCGTTTTCAACTAAAACAAATAAAAACTCCAATCGAATGTGATTAAGCCTGAGATTTAACATGATCTAATGCAAAGGAGCAGGATCCGTGAACTGAAGACCCAGAACGAAAAAACCTAAAATCCCCCCCTAAAAATCGCATTCGTTAGCACATGAAATTCAATGAAAATCGAACCTGGATAATAAAGATGAAATCGTGACCCTGATTTTAGGGTTTTACACTGGAGAAGGTTAAGGTTGCTTGCTTATGTACGATATCTCCGTCAAGTGGGGGCTTTCTCACCGATGATGATAGCTACGAAAGTGCAAACTGATTTCGTTTGCTTTAAATAAACTGCGCTACGTTTTTGTGCTGAGCGAACGCCGCGTAGTTTCGCGCCGCCGAGATCTGATGCTAACTTGTCGACATATAATTGGATCATGTTGTATATATAACACTGAGAAGTTTTACAATATTAAGCAAGTACATTATTTATAGATTTCGTTCATAAAAACATGGTAAATCTAAAAACTAGTGATTTTTTGTAGGTGTGTTGCGAATAAAAATGTAAGAAGTCACATATAATGTGCTTATGGGATCCCTAAACTTCCAAAATGTAGAAAGGTTGTCTTTGTGGCAAGGGAAATGTTAGCAATCACATTAATTTTTTTTTTTATAGAAAATTATTCGTATCAATGTATTTATTTATATATCATATGTTTTGTGAAAGTCTCCTTAACTTAATGGTTTAATAAAAGTTTATTAATGTTTAGGAGATCTGAATTTCAAATCCTAGCGAGCACAATAATACAGGTAGCGTAAATCTTAATATGATGATGGTAAATATGGTGCTGCCGTTAGTCGTAGATCTTTATAAAATGGTAGAATTAACCCATTATAGAATTGTTGATGTAACATATTTCATAATTTACAATAGATTAATAAATTAGTTTTAAAAAAAAAAATTACCGTCAAAAAAGAAAATAAATAATTCAGACTACTTTTTGTTTTTTTTTTAAATGTTAATTGGGAATTGCCTGAAGTATTTAAGTACAAATACAAATATTTATTTATTTCATCGAGTTATAAAATTTCGGACACTTTTGCCCTAGCTCCGTAAAAGGATAAACGAAGAACACTTGAGAAGCAACCAGTGGAGGAATTGCTCGCGTAATTTTCTCATCCAAGTGCGATCGGATCTGGGTTTTATATTTTTTTTTGACGAACACGCGTCCTTGTTCGATCTGGAGTAGAAAGTCCCAATCTTTTTTAATCACTTCCTCTAGCTGAACTCTTTGGTCAAAACCCTAACCTAGATTCCTCTTTCCGCCTTCTTTTTTCTTCTGTCAATTTTCGATTCACCTGACTGCTACTCCTTCTCTGTTCGATTCGCTAGTCCTATCTCTGACAACTTTACCGGTTGTGTTTTTTAGAAAGACCGAAACTTTTCTTCAATTTTTCGAACGGAGAGAATCAGTGACGATGTCTTGGGCTGGTCCTGAAGATATATATCTGTCAACCTCACTTGCCAGCTATCTCGATAGTAATCCCTCCTCTTTCTCTCTGATTTTGATTGAAGCGTTTGTATATTTTGTATATTTGTATGTATATGGCTTTGAATCGTCTCAGACAGAACACTCCGTTGCTTAGAGATTGAAATCTTCAAAAGCTTTCGTTTATTGGACAATTATGATTACTGTTTATGGAACATTGTTGTTAAGCTGCATGCACAAGATAATGTATATATATGTTCTGGGATTGATGTCTCGTTCTTGATTCAGCTTAAGAAGTGTATATTATATAACCTGTGTCGAATTTGATTCACTATCGGCTTAAGCTTCCAGATTCGAGTTCTTGGCTTCTTTTTGCTGATTTTTTTTTGGGGAAATTAGATTATTTTCAATCTCATTTGGAGTTATGGTTTGCTTTGTTACTTATGGATATTGGCTCTGCTCATGATGATGCAGGAAAGCTTCTTGTGCTACTTAGAGATGGCAGAAAGCTAATGGGAACGCTTCGATCCTTCGATCAATTCGGTAACTCTTCTTTCTCCTTCTCTCGTGCGTTTATGATAGTGTTAAGTGGGAGGGAGAGATTTAAAAGTATGATTTATTCGCTGCAAACACACAGCCAATGCGGTTCTAGAAGGTGCTTGCGAGAGGGTGATTGTTGGTGAGCAATACTGCGACATTCCTTTAGGCCTCTACGTAATCCGTGGAGAGAATGTTGTTCTGATTGGCGAGCTGGTAAGAGTTTTAGACTTGTTTATTTCTTGTAAAAGAGAATGTTGTTTGTTATCTCACTTTGTGTTTTCCTAATCTCTCTGTGGTTTGTGTTAAGGACACGGAGAGGGAGGAGCTTCCTCCACATATGATACGCGTCTCAGAGACAGAGATTAAAAGGGTAAGGCATCATCACATCACATGTTGGAAACTTTCACTCATCAGTAGCAAAATCTGATTAAGGTGTGATGGTGATTTGATTTGGTGTAGGCGCAAAAGGTGGAGAGGGAAGCGAGTGAGCTGAGAGGAACAATGAGGAAGAGAATGGAGTTTCTTGACTTTGATTAAGCCACAGATTGTGTCCCCATTCATTTCTTGCTCTTGTGTTTTCGGATCTATTTTACTTTTTAAATAAAAGAAAAAAAATTCCCAAATTTTTACTGGTTTTGGAATTGGGTTGAGATTCTTACTGAAATGGATACTTAATGCTGTTCTTTAATGAAGTTTTGAAGAAAAGCTGTGATGTTCATATGCCTACTGTCTTAGCCTCTTAAGAGAAAACGACTAGAGCCACGCACATTGCGGAATTTTACATAGTCAATATTGGTTTTGTGATCAATCAGGCACGCCGCCGAGTTCCACTGAAGAATTATTCTCTTCGCCGTCTCCATCGTCGAGCCATTGGAATCTTAACCGCCACTGTTCTACGACGATTCTATCTAAAATGAAAAAAAAAAAATGGCGAAAACAAAGATTCATTCACCTTTACTGATTTGATTAGGCCTTTGTAAACCACTCTGATTAACGTTTTCAATTCGTATAATCAGGAGATCGTTTCTGAAGTCTAGTAAGGCAACAAGCTGTCTGTTTTGTATTGTTTTTGGAAGTTTCTTTAAGATGTTTCCATGCTAATACATTCGGAAGTATACAATTAATTTTTGTAATTATTTACAGTTTGCTGTAAAGTACTACGATGTGGTTGGGTCATGTTGGCAAGAACATCAATTTATATTTTCTCTGACATTTTGTAATCAAATTACCTGCGGATAAGAACGTACCAATTTGTTGAAGATTTTCAAATCATTACAATGGAGATGGGTTTTTTTTACGAGAAATATATTTTTGAATAGTCGAGAACCAGCTAAAATACATGTACATTGTCAAACCTCATAATGAGATGTGGTTGGTGGACCATAGTATATACATGATTTAAGTTATTGAATGTTTGACAATAGGTTAAGTTACAATGAGAATGATATATACCACAATCAAACAAACTGAAAATTTTCTTTTGTAAAAATCTGGTAGATAATATATATATATATATCAGTTCACATAAACATTAACAAAATAAATATATATAAATAGAAGATATTTTTAATCATTAGTTATATTGAGTTCCTGAACTTAGACCACGAACCAAATAATTTTATAAGAAAATCAGACAGAAGACCGGACTAACCCATTATTACACGTCTGGGTCCCACATAACAAGTTCGTAAGAATAAATGGTCCCTCGATATCCACGGCATCGACGACGCCGTTTAGTTATGGGCCTGGACCTGAGCCTGGACTGTCATCAAGATGAAAAAAAGACGAGCAATATCATTGGCTGTCAACAAGAATGAACTTCACAGGTCCGTGACGTTAGTTTCACCCACTTCTTCTCTTCAATTTTAGCAATAAAATAAATCGTCCTATAAATAGTTCACTTGTGCCGCACGGTCCCTCTCATCTTCTACGGACAGCTTCTTTCTCTTTCCTCTCTGATTTTTTTTTTCCTCTTTAATTTTTTTTTTCACCTTTTTCTTTTCTTTTTTAGTTTTTGTTTTTTCGTTCCTTTTCCTCGTTTTTCTTTCTTCACCTCGTGAGCGATAGTACCTGAACCCTAGCAGCAGAGGCAAAATCAAAAAATTTCTGGGGGAAACAATCAGATATCTTTCTTTTTTTTCCCCAGTTGAAAGAAAAAAAAATGCAGAATCCGAGGTTGAAGCAACAGCAACAGCAACAGCAACATCAAGCTCTGATGCAGCAGCAAGCTCTGATGCAGCAACACTCTCTCTACCATCCTGGTGTCTTGGCCCCGCCTCAGGTTAGATATCGCTTCGATGTGTCTAATTTTGGTAGCAAATGGAGTCTCTTTGTCCCAATTCCATTTCGACACTATCGCTTCTCTTGTGGGTCCTTCTTTTTTCTCGGGTCGGGTCGGGTTTGGTTTGTGCTCATATCATATCTTTGTGTTCCTTCCTCTTTTGCTATTTCTCGCTACTGAAACACTTGATTGAGGAAAGTTTAGGGTTTTTCAGATTCTGTAGGCTTAGCCATTCGTTCGTTTATCTGTTTGGTGTCTTTGTGTTTTAATCAAGTTTTAGTTATGCTGGGTTATAAAGAAATGATCTTTCTTCTTGTTCTGTAATCAATTTTTCATCTTTGGCATTTGCAGTTAGAGCCTGTTCCAAGTGGAAACCTTCCTCCTGGTTTTGATCCCAGTACTTGCCGTAGCGTGTGAGTGATTTTGTTTTGAGCATTACTTTGCATATATTTGTTTGAAGGTGAAGTTCTGAGTTTATGTATCAACTTCATTCATTTTAATATTTGCAGGTATGTTGGAAACATCCATACACAGGTCACAGAGCCTCTTCTTCAAGAGATTTTTACAAGCACTGGCCCTGTTGAAAGCAGTAAACTCATCAGAAAGGATAAGGTAGATTAATTCGAAATCTACCTGCTTTATTCCTTCTATGTCTTTGTGAAGATTGTGAAACCGACCCTCTTATAAAGTATCATTCTTGTTTTTGAACTTGCTTACTAAAAATGGACTCATGAACATGCCTCTTTCTGATTTCAGTCATCATATGGATTTGTTCACTACTTTGACCGAAGATCCGCTGCTCTGGCTATACTCTCTCTGAACGGAAGACACCTGTAAGGAACAATCATCAACATTTTGTTGTTCCTCTCTTTATTTCTTCGAAAGCCTTCACTTAGGTTTAATAGTTGAGTTCACAGGTTCGGACAGCCTATCAAAGTTAATTGGGCGTATGCCACTGGTCAGAGGGAAGACACTTCAAGTAAGTTTTAATTTTTCATAGAGTTGCATTTTGTTTGTTTGTTTGCTTTTAGATGAGCGTGGATGCTTAATGCTTTTGTTTCCATGGGATGCATGCAGGTCATTTCAACATTTTTGTTGGAGATCTCAGTCCAGAGGTTACTGACGCTGCATTGTATCAGAGCTTTTCTGTTTTTTCCACTTGTTCGTAAGTTCTCATGCTTGATCAAACTCTTTTTCAACGAATTTATTCTAGTTTAATGATTCTGATGTACTAAAACCTTTCGAGATTTGGAAATTTCCCTTAGTTTACCAGCTGAAACATTTCTTCCAATCTTTAGCTGAGTCTAAAATCATTGTTCACTTGAAGGGATGCAAGAGTTATGTGGGACCAAAAAACTGGGCGCTCAAGGGGCTTTGGGTTTGTTTCCTTCCGCAATCAACAGGTAATGTTTAATCTTTGAATCATGAAGCGACTATTTTGTTTTAGCTCGAGAATTGTTTGTGGTTTTACATTGATTTTAAATGTTGATTTAATTTGCAGGATGCTCAAACTGCCATAAATGAGATGAATGGTAAGGATTTTACAATAGCTGAGATCTCAAGACTCATTCTTTTGTTGTGAACTCTGCTTTGTTGATTCTGAAGCTTTTAGAATACGTATAATACTGGGCGACTTTGGCAAGAGCTGTTGATGTTGTTTAAGCTCTGTTCCAATGGGGCTCAGCAACTGTTTTTTTTTAAAACCTTTTCTCTATATTCTTATCACTTAAACCTTTGTTTCTATCTCCTCTTCTCAGGTAAGTGGTTAAGTAGCAGACAGATTAGATGCAACTGGGCCACAAAAGGCGCTACTTCTGGTGATGATAAGCACAGCTCTGATGGAAAAAGTGTTGTGGAACTCACAACTGCCTCTTCAGGTTGTCTATCTATTGCTGTGCATATTCTGATTTTGATTTCTCTCTCGTTAAAGCGGAAGTCGTGAAACGACTTTGATTACACATGTCGGCTCTGTACTAATTCTAACTGGGTAATATGAAACATTGCATAGCTAACAAGCTACATTGGCCGTTTGATTGTGCAGAGGATGGTAAAGAGGCCTTAAATGAGGATGCTCCTGAGAACAACTCTCAGTTTACCACTGTCTATGTGGGAAATCTCGCTCCTGAGGTTAGTTCATGTTCGCTAGGAGCTTCTCCTTGTACAAAGATAGCTTTTTTTAGTCTCTGTGGTAAATTAAGTACATCAGTAGATTCTGGAACCTCATGACAGCTATCTATGTTGCAGGTAACTCAGCTTGATCTACACCGCTACTTCCATGCTCTTGGTGCTGGAGTTATTGAAGAGGTCCGTGTCCAACGAGACAAAGGCTTTGGTTTTGTGAGATATAACACTCATCCCGAGGCTGCTCTTGCTATTCAGATGGGCAACTCTCAGCCTTACCTCTTTAACAGACAGATTAAGGTACCTTTACCTCTCTTTATTTTGATCTCGTTGCTCTTAATATTGCATCTCTAGAGTCGGTGCTTAGAATGTAATTTGTCATTTGATTATTTTATCACTTTGTTTGTAGTGCTCATGGGGCAACAAGCCAACTCCACCAGGAACAGCCTCGAACCCACTTCCTCCACCTGCCCCAGCACCAGTGCCTGGTCTCTCTGCAGCTGATCTCTTAGCGTATGAAAGACAATTGGCACTAAGCAAGATGGCTTTGATGCACCCACAGGGTCAACACCCTCTAAGGCAGGCAGCTCATGGAATCAATGCAGCTGGAGCCACTGCAGCCATGTATGACGGTGGCTTTCAGAATGTAGCCGCTGCGCAGCAGCTCATGTACTATCAGTAATAAAACCTCAGATCGTGGCGCAGAAGTCACTTTTCTGAAGTTTTCAATCTCTTTGCTTTTCTTTGGTCTAGAACCTGTTTGTGTGTGTGTCTGTCTGTGTCTTCTCTCACTTAAATTATCCATAAAAAAGTTTTATCTGCAGTTGTATGCTTAGCTATGTATCCCTATGGATTGTAAGACAAGCAAAATTACATTCAATAAAAGGGATTTGGATGTCCATCTTATGTGATTTGACAACAAACAGACAAAACAAAAAAAGACAAAGCGGATGAATCAGTCTGTCTCTAACCGAGCAATGTATGTGTCATAGAAATTCCCGGCTTTCTCGAGATCTCCCAGCTCGGTGTAACAGTCTGCAATAGCTCCATATGCTTCAGTGCATCCAGAATCTTCTCCTTCCCTCTTTGAGATGGCTAGAACCATGGAGTGATACTGTATGGCTTCTCTGTACTTCCCTTGACGTTGCAGCGAAGCGCCTAAGCCTCTCGCAGCCTTCTTCTCTTCGATGGGGTCTCTGAGATTCTGGGCAAGTTCCAAAGCTATCTTGAACTCCGCAAAGGCTTTCTCTGGCTCTTGATTCCTTAGAAAGGTCTTTCCTGTTTTCAACTTGGATATCAACTCTTGTTTCTTTGGCTCTACAATGATTTCACTCTCTGCGATTCTTGCTCCCACTGGGGCATAGCTTAAGCCTGGTGCATAAGACTCGATTTTCGCTTGTCTCCTAAGAGCTGCGTTAATCTGCCGTAGTTGTTCATTCAACCTCTGTAACTCCCCTCTCCTCTGCCGAGCAAGCAACCCTGGTTAGTGTGCACCACAAAAAAAGAAGTGTTATTAAAACCCCCAGTGTGAGTACAGTTCGTAGAAGCAAGCATACATTGAAGAAAGAGCACATTACTACCTCCAACAGTGGCTCCAACAAGAGCTACAAGCGACAAAACTGGCATGCTGAACATGGAGTTCTCTGGCTCACATATCTCAGCAGCCAAAGCTTCGAGTGGTGTACCCATCAGTAAGGAGTTTGTCAATAAGACTGCCATCGCCGGTAATTTGAGCCTCCCAATTCCCTGCCACAGCTATATCTAAAGGCTTACTATCACAAAGGCAAACTTTTACAAAAAAAAAGCTGAGTCAAACACTTTCCTGGTATTCAAGGAAGAGAAAACTCATAGATTTTAGCACACCAACATACCTCAAAATCTGACAACTTGTCAAGAGTTCCCACGCTGGCGAATGGTGTTGGTAAGAATTCCTTGCATTCACGATCCTTGGGCTGGGCAGACAAATGTTTAATCTTGGAGAGAGGATGATGATCCCCAGGTTTTCTGACTACAGAGCAGCCTATAGATGTAGCAAACTTTGACATATCTGAGAAAAGCAATGGCAAATCCAGTAAGAGGACTTCAGAAGCAACCAAAAATTAGCCGAAATGAGCCAACAACAATCCGTGAAAACCACCAGATTCGTTTGTTTCTTAAGACAATGACTCTTGAATTTTGATCATGACAAAAATCTCAGTTAGAATACAAATGAGAACAAGAATGAGATCGCATCAACAAATCACGCTAGAGCAGAAACATGCTTACTACACACTAATGTCATCTATATGGCAAAACTCTCGAATTTCTTCGCCCAAAGTAAACCATCTTTCCCGTTCCTTATCCTAAACCAATCTACAAGCTACTTACTTCCCTGAACATATTGCCTTTTCTCGGAGATCAAACAATTCCCCAAATAGCTCGAAATGCTAAAAAAATTGTTCAGTCTCTGATGCCTCATTAGCGAACAAGGATCACTCACAAAAGCCACTGAGACTCTAAATTGTAATCTGATGCAGCGAGTGAACGATGAGCTAACCTGGACCTCGAGATTTTTCGCGCGGCGGAGGTCGGCCGCCGGAAGTATGGGAGAAGGAGGAGCAACACCGGATAATCGCCGCCATCTCTGAAGCTCTTTGAGGATAAAACAACGCCTTCCTTGGGAGCTTAAACCCGTTTTCGCTCGGCTCTATCAGCAGTGACGAAGCTCGTACTAGACTGCCCCTATTTTTCTATTAAATCACAAATTTTGCCCTTTTACTGACCTTGAAAAACTTGAAACGCTGCGTTTCAAGCAGCTTGGCTTTACTCTAGTCGCGTCTGTTCGTTGGAGTAGTCCTGTATTTTTCCGGCGGAGTCTTCCTTCCACTGTGGGGGTGAGGATTTTTATAGGGTTTTAGATTTTGACGAGTAAAATAAAAACACTAATCGACGACGCTCAAGCTTTGCCTCGCTTCTGGTCTTTAGTTTTTTTTTTATAAGATTTGATATTTAGAGCACTTGGGGTTGGATTTCGTTGGTGAAGAAATGGACATGGATATGGACACTTCCCCGAGCTACTTCGACCCCGATGACCTCAGTGTTAGGGATCAATTCCGTCGCTATCGGTAAATATTTCGACAACCCTTTATTCGATTTTGACTTTCTGGGTGGCCGATGCCTAGAAGCTTTGATTGTCTTCTTTGGGTTTTTAGATGGTTTTTTTTTTCATGGGTTGTGGGTTTATTGTAAGCGCAGTCTAAATGAGCTGACTTGTTCTCGAAAAGTCCGGAATTTGGTTCATGTTTTGGTTTCTTCTGGTGAACTGAATCTCGTTAGGGTTTATGGTATGGATTTTGTTCATTGATAAAGTTGAAGATGAATGGGTAGGAGTACAGCCTCGAAGACCTTTTTTCTGTCCTTTGTTTCATGCAACTCTGCATTGGTGCGTATTGTTTTAACCACTGTGTTGCGTGTTTGAGGTATAACGTTTTGATTCCTATGTATGAAAAATGCAGGAAGAGACACTCTACATCGCCGCATGAGGAAATCTCGAGTCCAAATGTCAGTGAGAACAGATTGCTGTATGATGGGAATTACATCCACAGTCCGACAAATACAGCCTTGCTTCTTGAAAACATTAAGGAAGAGGTTGACAACTTTCACACCGATCATTACGAAGGAACATCTCCGAATCCGCTCTCTGCTTCCAGGAGGGAAAGTGCTGGAATTACGGATGCTGATAATGAGGGTTTGTTTCGTCGAGTAGAAAGTCAATCACTCAAGGCGTGCAAGATTGAGAATGATGAGTTGGCGGAGAGTGGAGATACAACCTTTGCTCTGTTTGCTTCCCTATTTGATTCTGCTCTTCAAGGTTTGTATGATATATCAACTGTTCATATTAAGTATGTGTATGTACATGAATCTCTCTTCAGAATGTATCCTGTCTCTAGGTTGTATTATTGCCATTGTAATTTTGGGTTTGTAGGATTCCCTATACTTAGTTGCTGAAGTCTCATTTATGTCTGGTTATCTCTTATTGTAATTGTGACGTCTTGTTTCTGCAGGACTGATGCCCATTCCAGATCTAATATTGAGACTTGAGGAGTCATGCAGGGATGTTTCACAATCAATTAGGTATGTCTTCTGGCTCTGTGAGTTGAACCGTCAAACTTCTTCAGTTTTAGCTTTTTCTTTCTTGTTCATTACCCTTTCGGTTATCTTCAGATATGGGTCGGATGTAAGACATCGGGTTGTGGAGGATAAACTTATGAGACAGAAGGCTCAGCTTTTGCTTGGTGAGGCTGCCTCCTGGTCACTTCTATGGAATTTATATGGAAAAGGTTAGGAAACTCAGCTTCGTCTATCTATTGTTTTGGGCGTTTTCGAATACGATAGTCACTGTGTTCATTTTGATAACTGATGTCTGTTAAAAGCTCTGTGTGTCATGTAATACTTTTATGTTTACCTAGAGAGGGTATTATCGATGATACGTCTTTGTTCTTGCAGCTACTGAAGAAGTTCCAAAGGAATTGATAGTGGTAATGCATTCTTTCTTAATCCTTTTTTAAACGAAATCATTTCTACATAGTACATCTTACGAATGGGCTTATGTGACTTTTTTTAACGTCAGCAGTCCCCATCAACATCTCATTTGGAGGCTTGTCAATTTGTTGTAAACGACCATACAGCTCAGCTATGCCTTCGGATAGTCCTGTGGCTGGAGGAACTAGCTTCTAAATCACTTGATCTGGAAAGGAAGGTGGCTATTCCAACATATTACTCTACCAATGTCATTTTGGCTTGATACTTGGTTGGTTGATGTGGTCATTTTTTCCTAGGTAGAGCTCATGCATAGGATCCTTAAAACTCACTAATTGTAGTGCAGCTCCTGTAACTTTCATCATGATTAGAAGAAACAGAAGAAGTTGAACAAAACAGTTGCTTTAGCTTTTTCTTTTCAAATAATCTTTGCTGCTTGATATGGTTTTATATGTATGGAGTCAGAGGAACTCCTAGAGAACACCTCCACAACATTATTGCTTCTGAAATCAGAGTCAGTTATTTGTGTTTCCTACATGTCATTATAGGGTGTTGGTACTGTTTCCTAAGGCTTTGTTCAACTTAGGTAAAGAATTGCGTGATTATGCCTCAAATTGATAGAGCTGATTGTCACAAGGAAATATTTATGCTCTCAGGTGCGGGGATCTCATGTGGGTACTTATCTTCCTAACGCTGGAGTTTGGCATCACACACAAAGATACCTCAAGAAAACTGGCTCTGCCGCTGACACTGTACACCATCTGGATTTTGATGCTCCTACTCGTGAACAAGCTCGTCTTCTTCCTGATGACAATGTAAGTCTTTTCAGCTATGGTTGAAGTTGGGTTCGTTTAGTTAATTAGTTTCGTAGTACTGATAGGCATGTTTTACCTATGATTATATTTGTTCATTTAATATGCAATACATGGTATGCATTAATATTTTATTTTTTTTGGCAGAAACAAGATGAATCTCTTCTTGAGGATGTTTGGACTTTGATAAGGGCTGGGAGAATAGAGGAGGCATGTGATCTATGCAGGTCCGCTGGGCAGGTAAAATTACAAGGCATATGAATTCTCTTAGGGTAACGATTACAAAGTTGTGTAGCTATACTGTCTAAATTTTTACCCTGGCAGCCATGGAGAGCTGGAACTTTGTGCCCTTTTTCTGGAATGGACATGTTTCCTTCTGTTGAGGCACTGATAAAGAACGGGAAAAATAGGACTCTCCAGGCTATCGAGCTGGAAAGTGGCTTTGGCAATCAGCTGCGTCTTTGGAAATGGGCTTCGTACTGTGCATCAGAGGTAATGTGAATTCTTGATAGATTTGCTACTTTCTTAATGAATTAAGTTAACTTTAGAAACGTTAACTGTTTTTTTGTTCAACCTTTGTGTCTAAAGAAAATCGCAGAGCAGGATGGCGGCAAACATGAAGTTGCTGTTTTTGCAAACCAATGTAGCAACCTGAACCGAATCTTACCAATTTGTACTGATTGGGAGGTAAGATATGCACATTTGTATAATCTGATTTTAATTTATCTTATTTCAACATTGCGTCCTATTGTTTTTTATTTTAATTTACAAATTTGAAACATTGTTTTCTTAATTGTCATGACCATACTCTCACTATTATATCTTAAGTTTCCTATTTGAAACATTAGTTCTCTTATTGAGTTATATAGGCCCCACCCTGCACTTGTGTCCCTGTTTTGAATTGAATTATTAGTCATGAGATATCTGTTCCCTTTTAAATATGGATTTGATACGAATGTTTCTAGAAATCCCAAACTATTGATAGTTTATCCCGAAACATTGATATTGTCTTAACCTCAACGGTGATTTTTCTGCAGTCAGCTTGCTGGGCGATTGCAAAATCATGGCTTGATGTTCAAGTTGATCTAGAACTCGCCCAATCAAAGCCAGGCTTGACAGAAAGGTTTCAAAGCTGTCTTGATGAAATCCCTGAAACTATGCAAAATGGTTCTCAAGCATCAATTGGGCCAGAAGATTGGCCCCTCCATGTTCTAAACCAACAACCCCGTGACCTTCATGCCCTTCTTCAGAAACTCCATTCAGGGTATGCATGCAACTATTGGGAAACCTTCTTTTTGTCCTCCCCGTAAACAGCTACAGGCCAACGTATTGTTTTGTTCTTGTCATAGGGAAATGGTGCACGAAGCTGTTGTCAGGGGATGCAAAGAGCAGCACCGGCAAATTCAGGTATCTTAGATTCCATATATTTTCCCATTAAGCTATAAGAACCATATATTATTTGCGTAGTCATCCAATACTTTCCTTTGCAGATGAACCTTATGTTGGGGGATATCCCACATCTTCTTGATATAATCTGGTCATGGATCGCGCCCTTAGAAGATGATCAAAGCAACTTTAGGTAATCAATAGTTTTTCTGTAAATAGTTTCACTTGTATTAACTTCTGTTTTTCTGCTGATCTTTCTTGGTTATTATCACGAAGAAAGATAGCTATATTTTGATTTGACTAAATACGTCATGCATCTGGCAGGCCCCATGGTGATCCGCATATGATAAAGTTCGGTGCTCACGTGGTGCTAGTTCTTAGGTATATGCTTGCTGAGGAAATCAAGGACATGGAGAAGCTCAGTACCGTTGGTGATCTTATTCTTCATATGTGAGTCACTTCGAGTTGGTTCCTCTGTAGTAACTTAAAATACTAATAATACATTACTTTCATATTACGCTCGATTGGCTATTCGGGTTTCTAGTGATCTCTGAAATGCTGCCAGGTATGCGATGTTTCTGTTTTCAAAACAACATGAAGAACTAGTAGGAATTTATGCTTCTCAGCTTGCTCGTCACCGCTGCATTGAACTTTTTGTACACATGATGGAGCTAAGGATGCATAGCAGGTAATTTCTAATTATCAAGTGTTGGTAATAAATTTCGGAAGAGAGACTTCCATATTGCATTGTGTGACCCTCTCAACTAAACATTTATGTTTATGGACAAGCACCCGTTGTATATAGGTGTATGGCATAAAGTACATTCTTTGACATTTGTTTCCTTCTGCTCTGAAAAATAGCGTTCATGTGAAGTACAAAATCTTCCTTTCGGCTATGGAATACTTGCCATTCTCTCATGTAGATGACTCGCAAGGAAATTTTGAAGAAATAGTTGACAGGTATTCAAATGGTCTAGATTTGTTCCTTGTTTATTATATGGAAATAGCGAGATACATTTTACTCTACTAAGCTCAGAAAATGCGACTATATGGAACATTCACAGGGTTTTGTCAAGATCCCGGGAAATCAAACTGGCAAAATATGATCCCTCAGTTGATGTTGCGGAGCAGCATCGTCAACAGAGTCTTCAAAAAGCCATAGCCATCCAGTGGCTCTGTTTTACACCTCCATCTACTATAAAGGATGTGAAGGATGTTACTTCCAAATTACTCCTGCGATCTTTGATGCACAGGTACGCTCTATACACTTGGAAAGACACACGTAGGCTTATTTGCAACTCTGTTATCCAATTTCTTAAATCCTTTTTAATACGTAGCGTGTCTACCTCCAATTTTCTTTTCTTTAATCTTGCCTCTGTTTCATGGTATTATTTTCAGCAACATACTTTTCCGAGAGTTTGCTTTGATTGCCATGTGGAGGGTGCCTGCAACTCCTGTGGGTGCACACACTCTTCTTAGTTTTCTTGCTGAACCTCTAAAGCAACTGTCAGAAAATCCAGATACACTCGAGGATTATGTTTCCGAGAATTTGCAAGAGTTCCAAGACTGGGTATTCTTCACTGCATTTTTAATTTTGGTTTATTCTTTTGATTTAAGCATTAAGTGTCTAAAAAGCCTTACGTATCTTTTTTGTCTAAATAGAATGAGTACTATTCATGTGATGCAAAATATCGCAACTGGCTCAAATTCCAACTGGACAATGCTGAAGCCACTGAACTGTCAGAAGAGGAAAATCAGAAAACTGTTGTAGCAGCCAAAGAGACGTTGGATTCTTCTTTGTCACTGCTCCTCAGTAAGTGACACTATACTTGTATGCAAGAAGAGCAGTTTTTACATTGGTTAAAACTTTGTTAAATGTTAATTTTGAACCTCGTTATAGGAAAAGACAATCCCTGGTTGACATTTCTCGAAGACCATGTATTCGAATCAGAAGAAAATATGTTCCTTGAGTTGCATGCAACTGCGATGCTCTGTTTGCCTTCTGGTGAATGTTTGCGCCCAGATGCCACTGTTTGTGCGACATTGATGAGTGCGCTGTACGCTTCTGTCAGTGAGGAAGTTGTTTTAGACCGCCAGTTAATGGTACTCCTTTCCTTTCATCCAATGTTCTTGTTGCATCTGTTCTTTCTTGCTTTTTCCTCACACAGGCCTATATATAAGTGTGCATATCGTAAGTTTTTGTCTGAAAGGTTATGCAACAGAATTGGATATGGTCTAAAGATGTTAGACAATCTCGAAATGCAGTCTACTACGTATTATTTATGTTGATCTTTGCTGCAGGTAAATGTCTCGATTTCATCAAGGGACAGCTACTGCATCGAGGTCGTACTCCGGTGTTTAGCAATTGAGGGTGATGGACTTGGGCCACATAATGCAAATGACGGGGGTATTTTAAGTGCGGTTGCGGCAGCTGGATTTAAAGGTTGGGATGTCTATGGAACATATTTCTCCTTCACTGTGGTTTACCTCCTTTCTGCATATAAAATTTGAGATGTTTCTCATTCGAGATAAAATCACCAGCATCGACTAAACAAGCCAAAATTAAAATTTGACTGCAGGTGAGCTTAGCCGGTTCCAGGCAGGTGTTACAATGGACATATCCCGCCTAGACTCTTGGTATTCAAGCAAAGAGGGCTCGCTTGAAACACCTGCAACTTATATTGTCCGCGGTCTCTGTAGGAGATGCTGTCTTCCAGAGCTTGTTCTTCGATCTATGCAGGTAATGCCTTTTATTTGGAACTATCCTCTTCCACATTTCTCATGTTAGTTTTTCAGTTGATCTAGACCCCGTATTTGGTTTTTAACAATGCATACATACATATTTATCTGCGGACTCATATAAAAGTATCCGAGAATCTTCTTTGCAAGGAAGATAAAGTCTTTGGTCTTTTAGATTAGTGAGAACTATAGGAGGCTGAGCATTAACCTACTTGCGTATTCCTGGTTTGATGAATATACCCCCACTAAACGACTTACTTGCAGGTTTCTGTTTGTCTAATGGAGTCGGGAAATCCACCTGAAGATCACGATGAACTGATTGAGCTCGTGGCTTCTGATGAAACTGGTTTTCTCTCTTTATTCAGTCAGCAACAATTACAGGTTAGTAATACTCAATTCTTTACTTCATAATCAAAGGCACACCATTCTTTAATCTATATTTTTTTGTTATCTTCCTTTTCAAATCGGTTATGCAACTTGTCATCATCATTGTTGGTTATTAACCTGCATGAATAGCTTGACGTTAGCTGCATTGTTGGTTTGCTTCTTCTGCTGCGAAACATGACAAACCATTAATAGTATTGAGATGTTATCTGCTTATGATTCCTTTATTCCTAGTAACTGAGAAGCATCTGATCGATTTGGATGCAATACAAATGCAGGAGTTTATGTTGTTCGAGAGAGAGTATCGTATGTCCCAGTTGGAGCTCCAGGAGGAACTTTCATCATCTTGATATTGCCTCACCTTATAACCCAGAGACGGCTTATTTTGGTCGTGTAATTACGCCGTAGCTCATTTTCTTTGCAGACCAGGAATTTTTTTTCTTATCGGACTGATGTATACAATATGATAATTTGGTTGAAAGCTGAGAGATCAAGTTCCCTTTTTTTGTACCATTAAAGAGTTAATCATCTTTCAGAAGACCCATTTCTCTCATATGCTTTCATATAAACAGCAAAATAAGCAACAACCAAAACATCAGACAACATCAAAAATCTACTTTCGACTCCTATAATCCTCTACCTCCTCTAGAATGTTCACACTCATTAAATTAATTTGGCATATATTTAAGAAAGTTTGAACGCATTAGACAGATACGCTCTAGTTTCCAACGGAGCTTTTAACTTTCTTCTACAGTCTACACCATTGGACTCAGAGACCGAAGCGTTTCTTGGAAAGTTGCAAATTTTTATGTTTCACTTTAGAATTTATGTGTATAAAAAACGCCACGTTCGGAATTCTGCTTATCAAACTGCTACTGTCTCTTCACTTGAGAGGGGTTTGTTGTGAGTAAAGCGATGATGAATCAGGGCGATGGTGCTACAAAACCTTGTGATATTGGCACAAAGATGAAAGACTTCTCCTTGTCTTGCCAAGACTCAGTGTCTTGCACATTTTCTTTTGAAGTTGAACAGCTTCTTAGTGTTGAGGATCACGATGGTGATGCAGGGAACTCGTCAAATGAAAGAGATACGAGACCTTATGATCTCTTCCTGATGATGGGACTTAAACCCTCCTTCTTGGAACTGAAGAGAGAAAAGAGGAAAGCAAGCAAGGGGTACACTGGAATTGCTATTAGACCTGGAATGGTACTTCTCAAGAACTACTTGTCAATCAACGATCAAGTAACTACTCTCTCTCACTTTTTTCCCATCTTTATGCATGTGTTTGCGTATGTGTCTTATTTTATATGCATCGTTTGTTCTTGAAATTGTGTGTAGGTGATGATTGTGAACAAATGCCGTAACCTTGGTTTGGGTGAAGGTGGCTTCTATCAACCAGGTTTTCAAAATGGAAGGTCATTGCATTTGAAAATGATGTGCCTCGGGAAAAACTGGGACTGTGAAACGCATCAATACGGAGAAACTCGACCCTTTGATGGTTCTATGCCACCAAAGATTCCTGTTGAATTCAATCAGTTTGTTGAGAATGCAATCGAAGAGTCACAGTCCCTACTTGCTACAAATTCAAAGAAGACCAAGGGAAGAGATGGAATACCATTTATGTCACCAGACATCTGTATTGTCAACTTCTACACATCCACCGGGAGACTTCGTCTCCATCAGGTTAGTGTTTTCAAACAACTTTTCTAATCATACATAATTCATACATAAGTTTTTGATTTCCAGTAAGTTAAATTGTAGTTTCTTGCATCATTAACTTTTTGAATACTTTGACGTGTCTCAGGACAAAGATGAGAGCCAAAAGTCCATCATGAAAGGATTGCCTATTGTTTCGTTTTCTATCGGAGATTCAGCCGAGTTCTTGTACGGTGATCAGAGGGATGATGACAAGGCAGAAATGGTTGTCTTGGAGTCTGGAGATGTTCTGCTATTTGGTGGGGAATCAAGAAATGTGTTTCATGGCGTGAGATCAATCCTTAAAGGTACTGCACCCAAGGCTCTTCTTCAGGAAACAAGTCTCCGACAAGGTCGTCTGAATTTGACTTTCAGGAAGTACTAAAGATTAGGATCAAACTAATGACTGATTGTGGAGCTTTTGTCTCTATATTTACCGTTTTTATGCACTAAACACAGTTTGTAAGTAGGACCAGAACAGAACACATCATTGTTTCAGACTCAAACACAACATATCGATGATTTTGATGAGTAGCAGACAGAATGATCAAGATCGAGTAGACTGAAATCCAGATTTCTAAATTTTAAAGCTTACTGGAACATAAAGCTTGGACTGAATCTTCTCTATCAGTATCGCTCGTGTTACACAGTCTTTAGTCTTTTGATATGGCTTCTGGTTGCTATTCGGGCATTGACAGTATTTGATTCAGATTCTGAGATCAGAGCATGGACTGAAGTCTCTCATTCTCTGTCTTAACATGGCTTCTAGTTATGTCATCAACGGTGGGACAACCAGAAAGGGCCATAGTGATCTCAAACTCGTTCTTTAACATCTCAATCACTTTCTTCACTCCATCTTCACCTTTAGCTGCAAGCCCATAGACTATAGGCCTCCCTACCTGCATAATCCAACCAAATAGTGTCATCACATAAACAGAGAGCAACCTGGAAAAAAATGTATGCCAAATCCCAAAATCCAAAACATTCAAAGCTTACAAGAACAGCTCGTGCTCCGAGTGCAAGCGCCTTGAAAACATCTGTTCCTCGTCTCACTCCTCCATCAAACAAAACTGGAATCCTCCCACCAACAGCCTGAACAATCTGCAGTTTCAGAAGAAGACCATTTTTTTTCATTAAAAAGAATTAAGTTTTTTTAGTCTAAAAGCAACTTCTGATGTGTTTTACCTCTTCTAAAACAGTTATCGTGGCTGGTGAATAATCAAGCTGTCGAGCCCCATGGTTGGATACAACTATTCCTTCCACACCGGCTTCAACAGCCTTAAGAGCTGCACATATCATAAAGAAAGAGATCTTTTATTTCCCTTGGAATTTCATAATTATGAGACAAGAATCTTACCGTCTTCACGTGTGAGTATTCCTTTGATCAGTATTGGCAACTTTGTAATAGATCTTAACCATTCGATGTCCTGATATTTTGCAGTGGAAACATTATAAGGAACGCACTCAACATTTGTCATGAGAGCTTTGTGTTTAGTAATGAAGGACGCAAATAGAATCAACTCACAAGATCTCACCTTCCAGTTTAACGAAGCATCAAGTGCACGTGAGGCGAAGGCTTCAACCCCTGAACCTTCACTCTGAGAAAAAGTTTACCACGTCAACAACAGGTAAGGTTTCACTTTACATGAAATCTCAATTCAAGCTCTACTACTCACAGGTCGGACTTCGGTTGAAAATAATCCTTCGAAATTTCTTAGCTGTGGAGATATCATTCTACAGAACAACAACAAAATTGAAGCACCATTTCACAAACCACTTTTTTTACTAAATAAAAGACTAAGCAAAGTAGTCAAAGGCTAATTCCCAAAATAAGAGTGTTACTTGTTCTTGATATCTGCTTCCCTTCTTCCAAGTTTAGGAACATCAACAGTCAGAACAATGGCCTTGAATCCAGCTTTCTCAGCTCTTTTCACCAACTGTGCAGTCACATCTCGTCTCTTGTACACCTACAAAACATATCAAAGAGAAAACTAAGAAGCAGTGACTAAAAAGCCTGAAACAAAGAATCACCACACTCAAGGATAACAAAAGCAGCTAAAAAAATTGTACTTACATATACTTGAAGAAACCGAACAGCGTTACAACTAGAAGCAACCTCCTCAACAGTGCATGAAGCCATGTACGATACTATCTGAAATTCACAGAACCAAAAAAACCTATAATCATCACCTTAAAACCCAAACAGTGCAACACATGTATTTCCAATAAACACTTTTAATACCATGATAGTGTTACACGCAGCAGCAGCTTTCGCAGTGGCGGTTTCTCCTAACATAAAAAGACAAGAATCAAATTCAATTTTTTTTCAAATCCAACAACTGCATATAGCGTTACTAGAAGTTACGAACATAGTGTAAACAGAGACCTTCAGGATGAGCCAACATATGATTTGCTGTTGGAGCAATCATGATCGGAGCTGAGATCGGGTAGCCCAATATTGTAGTGGACATATCTATTTTGCTCACATCAACAAGAACCCGAGGCCTAAACCTGAAACATCAAAGCACATAACACACAAATGAAAGTTGGGAGTCACGAATTTGCAATTTCACGCACCAAACCGAATATGATACACTGATAATGGAAATGTTACGTGATTCTACGGAAAGCTTCCACATTTTCCTTGAGAGTGTGTTGATCCTCTGCTCCTCCGCTATAGAAATCATAGTACATCTTTGGGAGAGCCCTTTTCGCCAGCTCTTGAAACTCATTCACGTTGACGATTTGATCCATCTAATTTTATAAAAGAAAAGAAATTGACAGTTAAATAACACTGCTCTACAATAACCTTGCTCCAGTATCAAGATTAAAACAGAAATTATCAATTTTTAAGTGGCCTTTATCATCATTTATTTGATGTTAAGTAGACAAGGATCATGCCTGATCCAATTATCTCCATTAACGGGAGACTTGATTCGTCTATTTTTAACTGAAGTGATTGAATTAGTAACTTCCGTCTTTAAATTACACGAAACAACAACAAATAGCTATATTGGCTGCGATCATTATAGGTGTGTCACAAATGAAAACCATTAAGTATGTGATCAGAAAATCTGAGTGTAGAAATACTCACATATATCTGAAGAATCCAGCAGAAACAGAGCAAAGGTTTCTAGTAAATGATACCGAAGAACAACACACTGTCCGGAAAGAATCTAACTTCGTCCGGGGATGTCGGTGACACAAAACGACAAACAAAACTAGATAATGATTTCGGCCCATATGGATGAAATTAGACGGCCCAATAGTAATCACCGACCCATATGAAAAAGGGACTTGAAACTAGATAATATATTCGGCCCATATGGATGAAATTAGACGGCCCAATAGTCACCGACCCATATGAAAAAGGGACTTGAAACTAGATAATGATTTAGGGCCCATATAGATGAAATTAGACGGCCCAATATGAAAAAGGGACTTGAAACTAGATAATGATTTAGGGCCCATATAGATGAAATTAGACGGCCCAATAGTAATCACCGACCCATATGAAAAAGGGGACTTGAATGGTCAGCGGATTTAATAAGGTTGACCATTCAGCGTATCTCACAATGACGTGGCATGCTGAGTCAGCACCGTCACGGCGAGCGAGTTTCCAATTTCCAGTGGAGACTGGCGAGTTTTAACTAAAATCCTCAGAATACGAAGAGTCTCTTGGAAAGTTGCAATTTTTTGGCCCCCTCGAGAAACTGTGTGCTATAACAAGAGCACGATCGAAAATTTTCTAGTGCGAAGTAGTTCTAATTTTACTTGCCAAAGCGATGAATCACGGCGAAGGTAGGGGTTCCGGTGGACGTAGGGGTCCTCGGGGACGTTTTCCGGCACCCGACAACATGTTGTATCGCCAGAAAAGCGAAAGTCCGGTATGTAAACTCGATTTTCGTCTCGTATTGTTGCTGCTGAGAATGTTTGTGCTACTGTTCTTTTCCGTTTTCGAAATTGAGATTCCTTGATTAGCTTTTACTTGTTGCTACTGTTATGGTTATTAAGCAGGTTTTTGCCTTTTGTAATTTACAGGTTACAGTTGATAGGTCGTTGAATGAATCTAGGGGTAGGGGAATTCGAGGGAGAGGAAGATGTAGTTCTGTGCAAGTGTACGTTAAGAAGTCATCCCCAGTTTCCGATGTGGGATTAGTGGAAAAGGCTGCTCAAGAGGATAGAAAGTCCCAGGAGGATGGACTTGGTCCTGCTAAGAAACCTGATGAAGTTGCTTCTATGAAAATTTCTGGAGATGACAAGGATCTTTTGCAGTCATCTGCTTCGTCTAGCTCAAAGAGCATTAATCTTGGTGGAGGTTCGTCTGGCGCTAGAATGGCTTGCGATCTTGAGAACAGGATGGAAGATGTTTCGCTGTCTTGCCAGGAGTCTGTGTCTTCTACTAGTGATCAGAAGGTTGAGCTTTCTAGTGTTGAGGATCATGATAGTGCTGCTCACAAGTTTGGTGTTGCAGGGGACTCTTCGAATGAAAGCAACACGAGACCTTATGATCTCTTCCTGAAGAAGAACCTGATGGGGCTCAAACCCACCTTGTTTGCACTGAACAGAGATAAGAGGAAATCAAATAAGGGGTACAATGGAATTGTTATTAGACCTGGAATGGTACTTCTCAAGAACTACTTGTCAATCAACGATCAAGTAACTACTCTCTCTCTCTCTCTCTCTCTCTCCCTTTTTTCCATCTTTGTGCATGTGTTTGCGTATATGTCTTATCTTATATGCATCGTTTGTTCTTGAAATTGCTTGTAGGTGATGATTGTGAAAAAATGCCGTCAGCTTGGTTTGGGTGAAGGAGGCTTCTATCAACCAGGTTACCGTGATGGAGCATCATTGTATTTGAAAATGATGTGCCTTGGGAAAAATTGGGACCCTGAAACATCTCGATATGGAGAAACTCGACCCGTTGATGGTTCTACTCCACCAAAAATTCCTGTTGAATTCAATCAGTTTGTTGAGAAAGCAATTAAGGAATCTCAGTCCCTAGTCGCTACGAATTCAAAGAAGACCAAGAGAGAAGATGAGATACCATTTATGTCACCAGACATCTGTATTGCTAACTTCTACACAGCCTCCGGCAAACTTGGTCTCCATCAGGTTAGTGTTTTCAAACAACTTCTTGATTTCATGAAGCCTCAAAGGTAGTTGCATCATTTTAGTTTCTGAATCCTTGATGTTTCAGGACAAAGACGAGAGCGACATGTCCATTAAGAAGGGGTTACCCATTGTTTCATTCTCTATTGGAGATTCAGCTGAGTTCTTGTACGGTGATCAGAGGGATGAGGACAAGGCAGAAATGGTTGAATTGGAGTCTGGAGATGTTCTACTATTTGGTGGGAAATCAAGAAATGTGTTTCATGGCGTGAGATCAATCCTTAAAGGTACTGCACCCAATGTTCTTCTTCAGGAAACAAGTCTCCGGCCAGGTCGTCTGAATTTGACTTTTAGGCAGTATTAACCCAAAGCTATGAACTTTTGTATGTATCCTGAAGCTGTTTTTGTAACTAGAAGAAAACAAAATCGTTTTTACTTCCGGGAATATGAAATCACTTCCACACACGATCTGTGTGTTTATATATTATAATGTCTTGGCAAATATGTCTGATTTCGTTTTCTTTTATATACAATAAATTAGCGCACACAATGTGTTATAGCTTGAGATCTAGTTCGATGTGTAAAGTTCTTTCAGCACATCTTATCAGTTGTGTCTTTGTCAGTCACGAGCTTGCTGATACTCCATAGCTGAATCTACATAAAGTAGCAAGCAAGAGTATATTTTCTTCTTCAATCTTTCTATATTCTCTAACAAAGAAGTATCACTAGGGTGATGATGATCACTTTTAACTTTGTCCAGCCATTCGTTTGCTTGCTTAAGTTGGGACAAAGTCTCGGCAATATGATTATCCGCATCCGCTACTCGCGCTCCTCTGGTTTTTCCTTTCTTCTCCGGAACACTAGCATGAAATCCAGTATCTATTGCTTCTTCCAGGAATTTCATAAACCAGCTTCTTGTTTCCTGTTTCATAGTGTTTCTCAGTTCTTTTATCTCTTCTGTACCGTTTCCCTTAACCCATTCAAGCTTCTCGGCTTCTGTTAGAGCTTTTGAAGACTTTGTTGTGGTTATGCTTGAAACTAGACTAGCTTTTTGGGTCACCTTGTCAGGCTCCGTCCGTAATGGATGAGCATTCGCCAGCTGAACCGCTTTATCTTTCGATGCTGCAGCTGTGACCTGTGCTTGGTCAAGGAGACTCTGGAGGGTGAAGAAGTTTCTGAGAGAGGTATGTGGATTCTTTGGTGAAGCACTTGAGCTGAGGTCAGCAAACATACTGCAAACCATTGTTTCTTTGATTAGGGACTTTCACAAAACTACTTCTTGTCTCGCATTCTATACAGGAGCATGTTTGGTTTCAAGGGTACTTGCCTGATACACTTGATAAGATGTGAAGCAGCCAAGGCCTCTCTTTGTACTTCTGTGGCAAGGAGAGCAGCAATGTTTCTCCTTCTCAGCATCCCCTTTGGAGATTAAGAGATTATCAGTGATGATGAGCTCGAAGGGGAATGATATAAAAGAACAAAACCGGAGATACAGAGATCATACAGAGCGTACTTTACCCATTTTTGATAGATTAACAGGCAGAGAGCTCCATGATGCATCCTCAGAAGAATGACTCTTCCTGTTTGCGTAATTCACAGTAGAGCTCAAAGAAGATTTCTTTGGCTCTGCCTTTGTTGGAGCTGTCGCAGGCCGAGATTGTGGAGGAGCTTTCTTAGTCGCCATCATCGATCCAGTCTGAGCTTTGTGCTCCCTTTGCTTGTCCTTAACTTTCTTAGTCGCCATCATCGATCCAGTCTCGCTCCCATTGTTGCTACTGCCACTACTCGAGTCTGATCCACTTGCCTTTGGATTTGAAACACCTTTCATATATCTTGAAGCCACACCTGTCTTCTCTTCCTTGATTACAAAATCTTGACGTCTTCTTAGATTCTCCATTGCATTTGATCTCGCATCATCTTTCTGCTGAATCATTGTATTAACGAACAATATACCTCTCATAAAAGTACAAATCTTAAGATCTGATATATTGCGACCTCACCTTCTTCTGTTTGTGGTTATCTTCTTCTTGGAGAGGTGTTGGCACCAACATTTGCATCAAATCTTTGGGATTTCCAACAAAAGGATGGCGTCCAGAGATCGGTCTAACTCCCACCATAACAGGAACAGGAGTCCCAGCTTCAAGCTTATCAACGTAGAAGAACTGTCCCAATCCCAGTTTGTTGTTCAAGATAAGGTCGTTGTCTTCGTTCCTCAATGAGACATATGTGGAGTGAGAAGAATCTGAGACTTTGATGAAAAAGCCTTGGTTTGGCCAAAGCTCTGAGCCGGCTAAAGCAGGGACAATGCTGATTACCTGCAAGAGAACAGACCGATATTCCCCTCGGACCTTGATGTTGGTGTCCATCGTTTGGAGAAGCTTGATTAACACTCTAGGCGTGAGAGAAGCCATTTCTTGGAAACTTGAACAATGAGATTGAATTTTTTACAACAGAGAATAAAGAAAGGTTTCTGCTTTTTTGTTTGGATTGGATTCTTGTTCCTTGATGATGGAGCATCTTCTCTAACTTTGCATGGGAGGTAAGTAAACATCATCAGATTTCACTTGGCTTTGAAGTCATGTTAGGCTCATGACGACTTCTTCTCCCAATTTTTTTTACCTTTTTCCGGTGAATGACTTATGTACCCCTTGATGGAGTAGATGGATGAGGTTAGAGAGAGGGGCATTTTTGGGATTGGTGATTGGGTTACTTCAACTTCGATCTCACGTCACTTTCCGAAGAAGATGAAGAAAGGTTTTGGGAAGGTGAGAGTATATACCTTCTTTGCCTAACTTTTACGTGTTGATCACAAAATCAAGATTACTCAAATGTTAAAGAAATGCTAATGTTTTTCTTTTTTGGAAACTATCGCATGTTACATTACAACGATGTGTAATTGCCACCATACTCCATACACCTTATAAGCAACTTTATTTTAATTGTTTTACAAAAATTTGTGTTCCATTCTCTTTTTTGGGTTACCGATGTTTGATATTGTAGTCGTTAGACTGAAATTGTCTTCAAACAGTATATAAACCGGTTAAATAAAATCAGGTGTTGACTAATTCCAATTTTGATCAAGCTTCAGTAACGAAATGATGATAATATTGATATTACCTTTGCAAAATGAAAAATTTGGTAAATATTTGATGTTGCATGAATAATTTTTAACCAAAGTTGTAGTAAATATTGCGTGCGTCCATTTAACATACATAGTCCATTTATGATATAGTTGTTGTATCTAATCATTAGACATGATGATTCACACAATGGTAAATGAACAATGCCATCCTCTTTTGTTTTGTACTACCAAAATCACATCGATATCAAACCGATACGGACATGTTTCAGGTTTGATACAATTTACAAATGTAGGCTCAAAAACAGAAGATTGTGAAGAGAAGAGAATCTATTCTCAATGATAACATCGACCAGGAAACGAAGAGGAAGTAACATCTCCGGTCATTTCACTTATACACTCGTGTTATGTCTGCGTTGTACATCTTTTGCCTTTCATTCGCTCTGGATCATGACTTCTTACATGAATCTTGGTTTCGAATCATTTCCCCTTGCTACGAAAATTGGAGAGTGAAAAGAATGACCTTGGTGCTGCAGTAAACATGAAGTTCAAGAGTGATTAAAAAGCATATAGCAAACAATCCAAGAGTTTGAGATCGCAGCTTAGTTAATATAGAACAGTAAGATCTCAATTCACGATGAGAAACTAGGATGCTGGATCTTAGATTCCATGGAGAAAAAAGGTTTGGAATTTTCGAGAGTAGAACACTTGATTGATTACCTTTTACAGAAGCTCCTGACGTTTGATCCTCCTTCAGTTTAAAGCTCAATGGTGCGCTAGTGGTGTGCGCTGAAATGAGGTACGCAATATTACATCAAACACGACTCAATATCAAGATGAACATATTGAGAAATAAGTCTAGTATTGATGTATTCTTCTATAGTTGAAGTTAGCCATATTTTAGATGGTGTGAGAAGATATTTGGGTGCTTTATGTAAGGCAAACTATATAGGTATCGAAAAAGTTGTTGTTACCTTGTTCATTGAATAGCTCACTCTCGTTGAAGCTATCATCAGAGGGATGGGTCTGTAAAAATCCCATCCTCGACTTTCTCAAGTCTTCTGATGATCGGTTTGCAAGATCTCGTCCATCTTCAGTATCATCATCCCCTTCAGAGGTTGTAGCAGATATCCAGTCAGCCAAATTCTCAGCCGCACGGTTCTTCCTTCCGAAGTTCAAAAGCCTTTTTAACCCTTTTGTCACGTCCTGTTGGCACTGACTCTGAGATGGATTATTACCAGCACCAACGCGTTTCTGAGCAGCTCCCCATTTCTTTCTCATTTGAGTTGTATCGTTCTCTGTATGGTTAAGGGAAGATAAGTTCCAGAAAGCAGGACTACCCACTGGAGAGTCCACTGAAGCATCAAGCTCAGATGCCTCGTTCGGGTATTGGTGCTTCGCTCGTGAACTCCATGGAACATGGCTTTCGCCTGGTGAGTCCAGAAATGAACCTATGGTTTGATGCCTAGAAGCCATAGCAGTAGGTAATTCGGCATTTGAACCAGGGTCAAGCTGAGAAATGGATTCATTATTCGCAACCCTGGTACTACCCCATTCTTCAGATTCCTGACTTAGTCTTGGTATCTCGTTCTCTGCATCCGTAAAAGCTTCGACTTCCGTGTCATCAAGCGCTTCTTCCATCCCCTCTTTCTCCATATCGTCTGATGCCTCAGATCCTTCTGAAGCCTTTAGCTGAGCATTATCCGAGCTGATACCCATTCCAAGATTGTTGAAACTCCTCCCGCTTTGCTCTTGCTCAAGATTCAAAGCTACAGAAATACCATCCTCTGACTTCAACTGAGAAAAATCTGCCAGCTCAGCAGCTTCAGTAGCACCTTTTCTGAAGTTTGTCGGCCTTCGAAGCTTCTCTTCTTCAGTTACAGGTTTTGGGCGGACAGAGCTTCTCATCTGTGAGCGGACACCATTTTTTCCAACTCCCGAGGCTGGTTTCATGCTTTCCTTCTTGAACTCGTTGAAGTTAGGGACTGACTGTGCAAGAAGTTTGTCTGGTTGTCCTCTCCGCCTAACAGCACCATGTGTAGAAACTTTCGCTGCAGAGCGTGAAGCTGATGTAGCAGTGGTTCGAGCAGTCAATAAATTGTTTCTGTTTTGTTGTAGCTTCTTATTCTGGGCGCTCCTGGGATGATCTTCATCTTCTTCACTCTGAAATGAGCTAATTGGGTGCTGTCAAGTCATTACATTCTTAAACTTATTAGGAACCCAAGGATAATATTCCACTCACTCAATAGTTTGAGCAACCACAGGTAAACTTTCAGAAGAAGAAAATGACTTTTACCTGATCCTTTTTAGCACTCAACCTAGAATTGAAGTATACAAGCTTCTCTGCACGTCGGGCATTTGAATCACGTTTTGTCGCAGACTGAGAAAATTTGGTTTTCATCTCAGCGTTACTGCGATCAAGTATATCTTGCATCACCTTCAACTTGGCTTCCTTCTCGGTCCTACTTGAACTCCAGTCTTCCTTCAGCTTCGCGTCTCTTTTCTGCATATATTTCTCATAGAACTTTCCTCTAGAATTATCTGAATAGCTGATTTCTGGAAGTTTTTGCCTTGTGGTAGTATCTCCATAGTCACTGTTAACAACCACCTTTATTGTTGGCGGAGTTTTGAATTTGTCTTCATCGTTTGAACTTAAAGTTGGCATTGACGGGGTTTTCTGATCAGAGACTTGTGCAGGAGATAGATCCTGTGCTACAGGTCTTCTGAGCTGTGATGTAACAGCCTGTTCTGTTGGCTTAGCGGGCTTACCTCTACGGACAGAACTGGATTGATCCACCGGAACACGGAGCATATGTTCAGCAAATAGCTTTTCAAGCTCGTTTGCTTTCACTTTCAATTCATCATTCAGCTCTTGACTTCCCTTAGACGCTCTTGCCCTCTGAACTTGCTCTGCCGGGGACACTTGGGTCAGAGTATCACTCTCAGAGACATCTGACACACTATTAATGGCTGCAGGTGGCTTTTTATTCACATCAGCAGAACCGATCTCAGTCCTTCTACCATGCGGTCTTTTCATCTGATCAGAACCTAAAAGAAGATGGAGCAAGAAAATGATCAGAAGATCGCTAAATTTCCCCCTTTGTCGAAGTCAAGATATTAAGAAAATATTTTAAATCCAGAAAAGAAAAAAAGAGTGGTACGTTATCACATCGAGAATTAGTCGTTCTCTTATTCTCAGACACGATTGTTTAAGAATAAAAAGAATACTTCTACGGTCATGGTCAATTTCAAGCATTAAAACACAAGAAATATCTCAAAATATGAACATGCATGTAAGCGAATGACCAACACATTACTGACCTCCATACACCGATGTCTTTCTCTGGCGATCTGGTGATTGCCTGTCGGAAGGTTCTTTCCTCGGAGACTCCGCAGTTTCTCCATTGCTCCGAAAACTTGTGATGCTAGATTCAGTACCACCTAACTGCTTTAATGTAGACAATGAATGACTCCGAGGATCCCTAAACTGTATTTGGTTCTGCCTGTTTGATTCAAAATCGCCCATTTTGTTGTTGGACTTATCATCTATATTTGCATTCCCTGAATAATCCAAACCGCCTCTGGAATTCTTCTCCAAAGAACTATCCTGAGAATTTCCCACTTGATCATCCATGCTCAATGGCACCTTCAATTTTACCTCCTTGTCTTTTCGTAAGACAGTAGAGCTTGAATTCTGGGACTCTGCCTCATCCGTTCCCCAGTCATTGTTGGAACTACATTCGTCTTCATTCCTATGAGGATTCTCAGCATGACTCAATCCATTCTGCTCTTTTTTATTGTAGCCTACAAATTGTTTCGAAGATATACCACTTCCATCTTTGGACACTGATGATGACGAAGGAGTGAACAATGGATTATCACCAGAACCATCCTTCCTATCATTTCCCAAATCAATGCTCATGTCACTAGCACCACTCCATCTTCGTACCGCAACTTTTTCCATGCCTACAGAAGATGATAAATCAGAAGAGAGCCTTTTCAGCTCAGTGGATTTTACCACAGCTGTTTTCCCTCCAGAGTTTTCTTTCTGCTTGTTTTCAAATAGGTTGATCCTCTCCTGCACACTGAGCCGTCTCGTGAGCTGCCTAGACTGACTTGGTAATGGCTCATTTTGCACGGGAGTTTTTTCCTCTTCTTCATCCTTTTCCGCATGACTACTTTGTGGCGCAAGCTTTGATTCTTGTTGACTGTAGTTGGTTCCTGTTGCGATTTGCTCTTCCATACCAGTTTGATGTTCCTTATGTTGGTGGGTTCTGCTAGTCGCTAGGTTTCTAGATGGTTCTTCACTGGGATCATCAATTGACATATCAGATTCCCATGACGAGCGTATAGCTTCTTCTTCCTGATTGAGCCTCCACGAGCTCATAAGCTCTGGCCTTCTCTGGCAAAGTGCGATGAACTTGGCGCATGCTTCACTGCAATAAGTGTAGCAGACCAAGAATGATCAGACATCAGAGTACCCATAACGGACAGTTAACTAAGTTGGAAGCCAAAATATTTTTGGAGCTCTATGAATTAGAAATGCATATTCTAAAAAAAGAGATTGATATTTTGTTGTATAGTACTATAGTTAGGCATTATAGTCACATATAATCATGTTCATCCACCTACCAGCAGTTCTCAAGTCTCCATCAGACCAAACCTACTACCTAAATTAGAGCATGATTGGTTTCTTTTTATGGAAAAGAGCATGCATAAAGGCCTAAACATGTAAACATAAAACATATAGGCGACTATATAAACGGTCATGGTGGTCATAGATTAAACAGGTGTTATCAGGAAGTCCAATTTTCAAAAGTGGGATCATAAACCTAGAAACATTGGTTGCATGGTCTACATAGCAAGAATATATGCAACCAAGTCCAGGTGTAAAATTTGATAGTGCAACTATAAAAAGCTAGAACTCAAAATTCAGCACCAACCACCGAGACCGGTTTAAACCCAGATTATTAAGACAAGGCCAAGTAATTGAAGCTGTCTTGTCTTCTTGTGTGTAAAATGGGCTCCAAATTATAGAGAGGATATGGAGTAAAGAGATATCTTAACACTCACTTCAAGCGATTGGCCCCAAATCGATCAGCAAATTGAACAAGTTCGGAGACAGTGATTGGGTTGAAACCAGCAGCCGATGCACGATTACAAGCAGCTTCTAGGTCCTGTCTAACTGCTGCAAGCCGTAAATCAATAGCTCTGAGTAGCTCCTTCCTGAAATGGCAGAATAAGGGGGAAAGGCTTCAGCGTTACACATTTCAAGTGTGCATAAAAGATATTTAAAACCAAGCGACTTTGCACAGTTAAGCAGAACACATATTAAAAGACAAAATTTGGCCAAATATTCATGATTATTAAAAGGTAAATATCATCAAAAGGTTGGGACTTTACTTTGTCATATCAGCTGCTGGTGTAGTTTCTGTGCCATCTGGACCAAGAAAGGTTTAGCCAGATTATGCCAAAGCAAGAAAGAAAGGACTAACATGTTATATCTGATGGACCTTTGTGGAAAAACAGAAAATGATATAATGACTTCAGATTCTAAATGTCTCTCTGCCTCTTTTCTCATATTTAGCAATAAGATATCTACTAGTATCACATTGATTTTGGAGGTGTACGTCTTGTAAACTCAGCCAGTACAAGAGTCTAATCAGGAGGGCCACAATGATGGTTTATACAAGATACTTTTCTAGAGTCCATCAACTACTTATTAGCATCACTGTAACCAACTCCCTAAACCCATGAACAATTTAACCGTGTGCATACCTTTTGCACCAGATCGCTGATCACCAGTCCCCTAAATCAAAGATATTATCAAAATCAATCAAAGCATTCCAAGTTAACACAGCATTTGCTTACATGAACTTAAAAGAGAGGTGAAGTACCTCGCCATATATTTTCCGGGCAGCTTCCAACTGAGACATTTCCTCATCCAACGCGCTTACCATTTCCAAAACCTCCGGGGTACTAACAAAGCGTACAAACCTTGAAGCAAGCAGGCAAAAGAAAACTATGTGTGTTAGCATAAGCTCTGCTCCACAAAGGCCTTATCTCTTGTTACAAAAGGAAACCTAACCTCTCGAGGGTCCCTTTGGTAAACCAAGTTCCAGCATTTTTGTTGCTTTCAACATCAAGCCTGATAGACTGAACTTCCCGGGCGACCTGCTCTTCAGCAACTTTCAAATGAGCAACAAATGGCTTCACCAGCCCAGAAGCAAGCTTCTCCGTATTCCCCGCAGTGGAGACAAACAACTCACATCTGCCAGAAAGAAAAACATAAGAGAGTATCCTAAAAACCCCCAAAAAAGAAAACACATAACAATCTTAACAACGAAAGAGAAGAATCAATCACGCTCTGATACTGTTTATTACCTTGACCGCTTTGGGGAGAGTTGGAAGACAGCATAGTCAAGAGGTATAGCTGGTTTCATCTTCTCCCCCTTTGCACAAAATCTTCAGTCTTTCCCCTTCACATACCCGAAAAAAAGAAAGACGCAGGATTCTGATGAGTAAAGAGCAAAAACAAAGTTCATCTTTTGAAAACGTAAATGCTATAGGAATTTGAAGCGGCAGAATCAGTGAAAACATAGAAGCAAAAATTCGAATTTTGATTAAATTTAACCCAAGTAAAGCCACATTGCAATAACAGAAACCCAGAAGTTCACAAAGATGCAGAATCAATCGCATTGCTAGATCTGGTTCCGATCATGGAAATTTTTAAAATCCAATCAGTAAAGGAAAATGATTCGTGCCCACTAAATAAAGGCGAATTCAGGATTCGGATTCGAATTCGAATTCAAATTCAAGGCAAAGTAAACAAAAGCCCAACATCCAAAAGATGACAAAAACGCCATTGCAATCAGAAAGACTTTGAAATTCAAGTGAAGTCATAGTCGGATCAGCCACAGCAGAGCTTACCTGCGGGTAGAAGAAACAAATGAGATCTTCGTCTGTTTCCGATGAATCTGTCTCTTTCCGATTCACATTCCAGTAGGTGCTATCATTGTCGAGTATCTTTCTCTGCTGTCTATGTTCAGCATCTTCAATTAATTCCTCTCAAAGCTTCTTAAAACCCTAGCAATGGCGATTGTTTTATTTGCTTCACTCGAAACTCTCAACTCAACTTCTTATTTTTATCTACTTCCCTAGTGCTCTGGTAGATTCGATTTCTCTCCCATTGTCTCTCCTTCCGCCGTAGACTCTCTTTGTCAAAACTACTTTAGAGAGAGAAAGTAAAATCTAGAGTGAGAGAGAGAGAAAAAAAAACGTTCTTCAGACAGAAATCACCATTTTTGTTGACATGAAGTAGCGTATACGTGAAAAAAAAAAAGTAATAGAGCGTAAATTTGAACTTTTAAATTAAAAAAAAAAAAGTCGGCAGTAAAATGCGAAATTCCGGAAATAGGGTTCGACTAATCCCATTGTTATCATTCATCCTTGAAGGGTACAATGGTACAAATGGCAATCCCAAAAGTCAGAAGTGGTAGTTTTCAAATAATGGTATTTCAACAATGTTTCAAAATTAATTTTCTTTCTAATAGCATTAATTTTAAAAGGATTTAAGGGGTAAAGGTCTAACACAGATTTTTTTTATAAAATATAAAACAGGGAAAGACAACAAAACTTACCTAAATTATTTTTAAAAGCAACACATGTTGAATAATAAAAGGGTAAGTGCCAAATTTATTGCTGTTTTCATAATAAATCTCTTACAAGCAGAGAGGTAAATTAGTCTGTAAAGAAAATTATTTAGGCTCTTCTTAGTCAAAAAGAAAAAATATATAACAAGGAACAAATAGGTATTTTGGTACCTTAGCTTTCAGATCCAAAAATTTATGTTTTTATGGTGTTTGAAAGAGTAAAAAATCTGCGGGTGTATGTATACAAAATACGTATATATAGTTTAAACTTTAAACAATTACGAAACGTAGATGTCGACAAGAATAAATATTAAACTACTTATTCCACTCTGCTCAAAACTAATATTTTAACACCAACCATTTTAATTCCAACTTTTGGAGACACTTTAAACAAAATGATGGACCCCGTGAAAAAGGCTGGAAAAATATCTAAATATAGGATATCACTTTTTATTCTTCTTTAATTTAAATGGAGAATTGCCCAGTTGAAAAATATACTGTGTTGCATTTCTTGGTAAAAATACTGTGTTGTATTTCTTGGTAACTTTCTCTTGCCCAGCTGATGCATCACAGTATTTTGATACTATTTCCTTAATATCACTACTTTTGTTAATTGATTTAGTTAAGAAAAATTAGATTACGAATCCTGAGGTTAGACAAATAATCTTTGCGACTTAAGAAACACGTGGACACCTTAGTTCATTAAGTGAACTTTGGAATCAAATCTTTTTCTCTAAAGAAAACATATAACTTTCAGAAACTATTAATCCTTTAGGAGAAAGGATTATATTTTACAGCCAAGAAGTTTCATTTTTCAAGAAGTTTTCATTATTGTATGCGTCAAAACGACGTTAAAGATAATGCGAGTTTGAATGATGGTATTTTACTCCACTATCATAGTTTACATCTACGAAATCGATCAGACCAAAAAGAAAATTGCAAATAAACAAAAATGAAAAAAAACAAAAAATTATAGGTAAGAGCACAAGATTAATTTCTGAGAAATATCCATGTGATGAACTTCTAAGTGATTGCCAAGTCGTCTAGTATCTAAAAACGCCAAAAAGGAAACATGATAAAGAATTAAACACACAAACAAAAAGTTGTTTTGCCTAACATTCTACTTTTATAGCAAATCATAAGTGGTTGGTTGTTGATGCTTCAGATACAAGAAAATCTAGCTAAAACCATTATTATATACGAAAAAGGGGATTGATATGCCTTTAGGGGTACACATGCAAATCTTCAATGTCATATTAACCAAACATATGCAAAAGAAGTGTGATCGGACTGTATCACGAAGAATGTGAAAGCCATGTTCGAAAAACCACTGTCAGCTCACAGAACACACACTCTTAACTCAAGAGATTCAGAGAAGTTTTTTAAAATCTGCAGAAGACAATATCTACAGATGATTCCTCACATTCGATGTGTCAGAGCAGTCTGAAGAAAGTTATTATGCAAAGATGATCTCAGCACTTTCCAGTGAAGTTAAATATGTTCCATGTGACCAAAGTTGACAAAGATTTGGCAAAATATTAATACACTCATGAAGCCTAAAATAAGTCTCTTTTTTCAACAATTTCAAACTCAAATCTAAAATATATAGAGTATCACCTGAATCACTAAACGCTAGTTACCGACATCGTTGTTGACAATTGCATTGATGTTGTTGTTGTTGTTCTTGTTCTTGCAGTTGTGACGATCATTACTAGTGTTTCCGATTCTCCTCCCATGATGCTTAAGCTGCGATATCTCCAATTGGGTCTTGACAAAGAACTGCATTCTCTGCAACTCCAGCTCCTTCAAGAACTTCATCCTCTCTTTCTCCATCTCAACCACCTGTTGCAGTTTTGCATTCTCTGTTTCCTCGTATGCCTCACCGAATCTCATGATTGCACGGGTTAGCTCTCTCCACTTGTTCCCTCCTCCATCACCTTCTTGCTTCTTCTTCTCCTCCGTCTTCAGCCTCTTCGACAGAGGCGGAGGTGGTAAACTGTCACCGGAATCATCTGACATTGCTGCTTCGGATTCCGAGTCTGAATCAGAGGCATTCCTCTTCTTGAAACGCCAGCGTTTTGACTCGCTGCACCTTTTCACCATCATCCCTTGCTGTTGCTGAGGCAGCGTCCTCCCTTGCGGCTGTTGTGGCAGCGTCCTCCCTTGCTGTCCAAACGGATGTGAACGACTGCTCATCGGAATTCCCATAGGTACATTGACGGATCCTGCTCCGCCTCCTCCTCCACCACTGCCGCCAAACGAAGCAGCCGAAACCCGAGCCGTAGCTCCGATTAGACGGTCAAGATTATTGAAGGCCGGCGTTGCAGCCTTAGCTTGCTGATGGTACATATTCGAACGACTGCCCATGGGAATCCCCATGGGAATCTTATGCAATCCTCCTCCTCCTCCAGGACTCCCACCACCGCCGATACCAGGAGGTGGCGCCGGGATCTTAGCCGTTGATCCAATCAGACGATCAAGTTTGTCGAAGAACACCCATCTGCTGCGGCCACCGCCGTTAGCGATTCTTAACTTCTCTTGCTTATACTTCTTCTTCACCGTATCGATCCTGTTTTTGCACTGTATATCGGTCTTCGGAATTTTGCCGTAATCCTCCCTGCTGCTTACGATCTCCGCCACCTCTTTCCAGTGCTTCTGTTTCAGATTCCCTCTGCTAAGCTCCAAGTACCTCTCCCCCCACGCATCAATCAGCACAGCCGTAGCCCTCTCGCTCCAGCAATCCTCCCTCCCGCCGCCGCCGGTTGGTCTACCGTTGCTGCTACTGCCTCCGACACCACCGCTGGCCTGAATCGGGAGCAGCGCCAGAGCCAACGCGTCGGGATCCTTCTGCGACGAAGAAGCCGGGGGTGTCAAGGAATAAGATGGCGGACCTGTCGAAGCCACCGTTACCGTGATACGTCCGGCCGGCGGCGAAGAAGACGGATCGGGAGATTCGGAACCCGTCGGCGAAGCGTGCGATCGGATCTCCTCTTCGTCCTCCATGAATGTGATTTCGCCGGATCTGGTTCAGAAGTCGTAAAAAGAGATAGGGTTAGGGTTTGGCTTAATATCTGTTCGGGGGAAACGGGAAGGAGACGGCGTCGGTGAGTAGGGAGACACGTGGAAGAACCTGAGACGATACGGGGAGTCGACGTGTAAGGACGTGATTGGAAGACCCGGGTAAGATTCCGTCACCGGTAAAGTTGCCGGCCCGGTTTAGGGTAAAGATGGGTTTCACTCGTAATTTCCCTTTCTTCATAATCCGATGAGTATGTGTTAATTGACGGAAAAGGCCATCTACTTCTCTAGAATTACCGGAAATATCCCCGTGCCTCTGCACAACCATTTTGCCGGTGTGATGTACCGTAATTACCCTTCTCCTAACCGCCCGTTTCAATATCGGTCGTTAAACTTTTTGTCCGTCGATAATGTTTCTAGTTGTCTTCCTTCTTCTTTGCTTCATAAAACTTTTATCCATTCAATAAATCGTGATTAGTTTACTTTCTTTTAATTTCTTTATTTTATAAAATTTATAATTTTAAGATTAATAACGTGGGCTAATTATTGATGGGTTTTATATTAGGCCTTTAAAAAAATTGTTTCAATGGGTTACAAGCCCAAAATAATTACACTACTTCTCGCATCGTATATGTAAAAGATGTGAAGGTAACAACGTTATGATCATCACATCACTTTTCTTTTTTTTCTTTTTTTTTTGAAAATAATCACATCACATCACTTTTCGTTTTTGTTTTTCTTAATTCTTACCAACAGTAAATATAAGGACACTTCTAAATAGCAAAAGATTGAAGAAAAATATGTTTATTTATTTATCAGAACACCAACATAAATTCAAATAAGCGACCATTATACTATTATTTACATGAATCATCATACATTATGTACACTGTATATATATATATACAAAGTTACAAACCAAAGTATTTGGATCAGATATTTCTTCTCGCAGATTTGTTACCTTTTAATCTCTCAAAAGTCTCAACGGTCTAATGCGTTTAGCACAATCCTGCAATATTACTGACGTTAAAGATGAATAAATGTAAAAGTAGTTTTAAAACATTAGAACAAACAAATCAAAAAAAAAAAAAAAAAAGAGATGATTATATGAAAAATGATTAGAGATGGAGATTAAACCAATCGCAAGCATTGAGACTTGTGGCATGCGTTTCACTTGGTGTTCCAGCTGCATACATACATATGGTTACGACAATAATTAATTAATCAACATATTTCAAGCTTGTGACTATGCATGTACATAAATATTACTGAAGTCTTTAGGAGACTTAGGGAAAGAAGAAGAATAAAGTAACTTACGAGTTAAAGGAGAACCAGGATTGCTTGATCCGACAGAAGAATCTGGGACACGACCCGGATCCACCATCAACTTCCGGTAACCATTTCTTGTGACATTTTCGCCGGAAATGTGATTATTCATTTTCCCAAAACCATTTTCGGGCGCGGGACCTGCAACCGTTTCATCCCAAAGCTTGTGCAAAAATCCCATATCCAACAAAAAATTCAAAAAGGTTTTTGTTTTTGGTTGTTGTTTTATTTTTTTTGTTAATGATAGTCTCTTACGTTTTTTTCTTCTTTGTTGGAGGATAGTGTGGTTTATATAAAGATCCGGGGAGAGAAGCGTTTGAATATCTTTGGTTAGACTAATTATATAGATTTGACCTTAATTTTAACATTCCAAAATTAAGCTGATTTAATCATGGATAATGATATTATTAAACATAGATGACAAATCTAGCCGATAAGAAGAAGATCACTTAGACAATGAGTTTATAGGATGTGACACGTTTGACTTTTTCACCCAACTTGTTTGACGCTGTCAAATAAATCAAGCTGTGTAGTTTGACGGACCTAATCAGTTTTATTTCCTTATTTTCAATATACAATTTTGATTTACCACATCATGGGCCTGGTTAAGTCTTGATTGGGCCGTAGTTCATATATTCTGCAACGGCTCTTAACGGCTAGTAACTTTCTGGTTTCTTTCTTCTATAAATTCAATTTCTCGCCTAATTTCCGAGTCTCTTCCTTAATCGAAAGAAACAAAAATTGAAAAGTTACCGTTAAACAATCTCCAGAAAACCGCTCTTCTTCTTTGCAGGCTAACAATCTCCAGAAAACCGCTCTTCTTCTTTGCAGGCTCTTCTCTCCCACAAGAATACCACCAAGAAACTACTCGATTTTACAAAGGTATATTTCTTCCTTCTTCCGATTTAGGTTAAAATTTGGCGACTCTTCGTTATTATTTCCATTAGTCGCTATTGGATTCGCGGCGCTTTCTGGGTTTCTGGGAATCGTAGTGTTTAAATTTGATTGAGAATCAAATTGGGGTTTGGATTCCGTATTGGGTTTCTGGAATCAAATCTACCAAAATTTAGGGTTCTTAACTGCTTGATCTTGACGATTTCTGAAATTAAATCCCCAAATGCTTTAATTTCACTCGATTTCCATTGTTGTATTTTGATCGATGACACTGACAAGCTTTTTGTTCGTGTAAACAGTTTGAAATCTATGGCGAACATGAACGCTCGTAAACAGATGATTTTCCCTGACGAGAACGCTCAGATCCATCGCAAAAGTAGTTTATCTTTTCTCTCTCTCTCTCTCTCTCTCTTCAAATCATATGTTTAATAAAAACTGTTGATGGATGCTTTGAAACAAGAACTTGTATTTTGATTCGTTCTTTCTTTTTCGTTTGATACTTCAGAGTCTGTTACTGCTGCTTCTGTGAAACCCAGAGGAACTGTTCTTGGTCAGAAGAAACCAGGAGCTCGTAAGGCTCTGAATGATATTACGAACAAGTCTGGGATTCATCCGAAAGCTTCTTCAAAGAACAAGCAAATCGCTTCTTCTGCTGCTACTGCCAAAGCCCAATTCAACATAGCTGGGGAAGGGTTCTTACATGATCACAGCAAATGCATCAAAGAGCAGCGAAATCTCTGGGACGATCACTTCTCTGCTGATCTTCTACTTCACAATGGTAATATATATATATTTCTTCTAAGCTGTGATGGTTACCAATCTTTTGCTTGTAAAAACTTGTGCTAAGGTTGGTCTTTTTGGTACATTGCAGATTCCAGCACGAAGGCAAAACATCACGAGTATGACTTCGAAATGGTATAATTTGACTCCGATTCAATGTTTCTCTCTGACTCTTGATTGAATCTTTGTTATAGTTTCGGAACTTAGAAATGGCACCTTTTTGTGAGTTTATCTTGTGTGTGTGTGTGTTTTGGTTTCAGATGGATGCTAAGAACAGTCTGACTTACGACGAAGCAGAAGAGATTCCATCGCCCGAGTTGACGAGTTGGCTCAAGAGCTCAACTCCACGGCGCTCCCCAGTCCGCCATGGCTCGATGATGATGCATTTCACTCCTCTGGCTTGGCGTTTCGATTCAGTTGAATTCAAACTCAAAGAAGAAGACAATGATGACGACGTCCTCTTTTGAATTTCTGTTCACTACTGTTCTCTGAAAAATTTCATCCTTCAGATGAAAAAAAGTTGTAGTAACGTCTGTCCTCTGTTTAGCTCAACAATGTTTTCTGTTCTTCATGTACTACTACTACTACTCTGTGTCCATCGCTTTGTAATTGATTTCAGGAAATAAAAAAAGTTCGAATCTTTTAAACCATGTGAGCATCAAATCCAATTTTTACATTTAAATATTCCACATTTCTAACTAGCAACAAATCTATACGCTAGGTGTATTCAACTGTTAACTTACTTTGCCATTATCCTTGACACTGTGGTGGCGACTCCTGATTCTTCTTTCACCGTCTCTGTCTTCTTCTTCAATGTTCCGTAATATCTCCAATTGATCTTTAAAGAATTGCATTCTCTGCAACTCAAGCTCCTTGGCAAACATCATCCTCTCCTTCTCCAGCTCCACAGTTTGCTTAAGCTTCACAGTCTCCGCCTTTTCATAACTTTCTGCAAATCCCAGTATCGCCATCGCCACCTCTCCAAGCTCCCTTCCTTCTCCGCCTCCTATCTTCTTATCCAATGTCACCGGCGGTGGAAGCAACGGTGGTAGACTGTCGTCACCTGACTCTGCAGAAAGATCAGGCTCAGACTCTGATTCCGTCTCCGAAGCAACTCGTTTCCTGAAATGCCATCGTGTTGAATCATTGCTCCTTTTCACACTTCCTTGTTGCTTCTGCTGATGCAAAGCCGAAGAAGACTTGGCTTTTCGTTGGTAAAGACTCGAACGTCTGCTCGAAGGAGTAACCATTGAAGCCTTACTCGCCGTCGTTGTGGCTGTGGCTCCTCCGATCAAACGCTCGAGCTTTTTGAAGAAGATCCATCTGCTGTTATTATCAGTACCTGCTGCGACTTTAGCCTTTTCCTGCTTGAATTTCTTCTTCGCCGTGTCGATTCTGTTCTTGCACTGTAAATCAGTCTTCGGAGATTTGCTGCTACTACTTCTGTTGACGATCTTCGCTACTTCCTCCCAGTGCTGCTGTTTCAGATTCCCTCTCTTCAGCTCCATGAATCTCTCTCCCCACGCATCGATTAGAATCTCCGTCGCTTCTTCGCTCCAGCAGTCGTCTCTCCCTCCTCCTCCGCCGCCGCTTCTACTTCCGTGGCTACCTCTGCCGGTGGCAGTCTGAGTAGGAGGATAAACTACTAACTCTAAACCGTTCCGAGGAGATGGAGGTGAAGCGGGTGACTTCACGGTGGCTGTAAGTCCGATAGGCGGATCTGAGGAACTAGAACCTCCCGGCGACGGCCGTGTCTGAGTATCGCCATCTTTATCCATGAATTAGTGAATCTCCGGCCTTGAAACGGAGAATGTTCCGGCGAAGTTTCTGAATGGCTCGTTTGGAATGGGTTTGCATATGTGAATTGGCGAAAAAGCCCATCATCGATTCTATTTGTCACGTGGTTAACGTGAATCTACTACAACTGCAAAAGTAGTGTTCTAAACTATTTTTGTAGGAAATAATATCCGTTGACCCAAAAAACCATTTACATACGACAGATTTTTTAAGTTTTGAATAACTGATATCATAATTACTGGATTTTTTACTGTAATTTAGTGGTCTAGAAATATAAGATTTGACAAGTGAGATACATTTTAGGATGGAACGAACAACAATAGTCTTATCACTCCGTGATGCTTTGTTCAACAAATCGAACAAAATGTATATATATATAATAACTATAAGAATTTAGGATATGTAGTCATCATCATAAAGCAGTTGACTTCATCAATCCCAATGATCATTAACGATTCTTGCTTACGAAAAACAATTCAACCACAACGCAGAGAGAGAGAGAGAGAGAGAGAGAGAGAGAGAGAGAGAGAGAGAGAGAGAGAGAGAGAGAGAGAGAGAGAGAGAGAGGTAGTTTACAAAACGACAACGCTCTGGCTTTTAATGCATCGCCGTTGAGAAGACAAGAACCAGTCATCTTGTCTGTTGTGACTAGTCGACAAATGTGGAGCTGAGTTAGCAAAATTCTGGCTATGAAGTAGGGACTCCATAGTTGTTGGACGACGACGTTTCGTGAGCAGACGACTGAGCATTGTTCTTCCTCCTGTTTCTTCTTCCGCCACTGTTCTTCCCCTTCTTGAAATCCTGCTGATGCTCCACCTGCTTCGCCAACAAAACCATCTCATTATCAAGAAACGCTCAAGAACCAAACACCAATTTCAAAAGCATTTTAAGAGATATTGAATCAAAAGGGGTAAGAGTTTATAGTTCTTTACCCCTAAAGAGAATGAATGAGCTCTGGGGTCAAACCCAAAAGGATTGTTCATGTTAATACCCATCGAACTCGTCTCAAACGATGGCCCTGACCGATGATCGTTTCCGTCAAACACAAAACTACAGGAGGAAGTGAAAGTCGAAGTGGAGCAAGATGGCGATGAGAATGCTGCAGCGTCTCCTTGAAACATCTCGTTAAACAGATGTTGCAGTTGTTCAAAACTGTCCCCTGAGTTATTCTCCTGTTAAACCAACATCTCAAATTATCACTCGGCACAACAAATGGTGTCGAATAAACTGATGAAAAAAAAATACTAATGCAGGCTGCTTACACTAGGCTTGGACTGATTCATCATGGTCGCCATTTCGTTCAAGAAATCTCCCATTCCCTGCACAACAAACAATATCCAATCCATCACTACATGATTCATAAGTATTTAGGACAAGAAGCAAGCCAAATCACTTTATCCATTTTTCAACACAACACAAGGCACATGATCTGCTTTCGAGAGCATTGCCCTTTAAAGCTTATGAAAGAGGCAGAAAGTGAAAATCTTTATGCAAAAAAAAAAAAAGAGAGAGACTTTACGTTTTGGTCATCATCATCAGTATTATAAGCTCCAACATCATACAAGAACCTCTTGTTGGAGTCAGACAGAACTGTGTGCCCACAAAAAGAAAAAGCTTAATCAAAAACATAAACAATTTACCAAGATATTATACATAAATATCAAAGGAACAAGGAAATAATAGAGGGTCTCCTGCATCCAATCATCAACTCCCATTTGTTCCATATACTAATAAATAAATCACAGAGAGAGATGAGGAAGAAGAGCTTGTGAAAATTACCAGAGTAGGCCTCTTGGATCGCCTGAAACTTCTTCTTTGCTTCGTCTACAAACTCCGAATTCCCCATTGACGAGCAACGATCTGGATGCCATCTCTGATTCCAACGTTAAAAATCAAAGCTTCCCAGTTAATTTCTCAGTGCCAAAAGGAATGATTTTACAAATGCATATAAGCTTTAATCCCAGTTTTCAAAATCTCAATTAAACCTATTATCAAGCTAAGGCATCACGATCTCAAATCGAAATTTACCAGAAAAGGAATCACAGAATCTATTGGGGGACTAGAGATTCAAAAGAGATGCGGATCCAAATTTGCATCGACGATTCATCTGATTAAACTCAGAAACAAATCAATTTGCTATATGTACATGCTACAATTCCAAATCAAGGAAAAACAGAACCAACTCATTGTCCTGTCCTGAATCTCCATGAAAACAAAAGACGAAAAATCAAAATCTCGAAAAGAAAAAAAATTATAAGAAAACTCACTAAAGCAAGCTTCTTATAAGCAGAACGGAGTTCCGTCGTCGTACATTCCTTCTTCAAACCCAGAACAGCATACAAATCATCGTTGCTTCTCTCGCTATTGTTCGACGCCATATCTAACTTTCTCTTCTAGATACAAACAAACCCAGAAAACAAAGAGAGACCCAATACCAAAAAATTCGATTCCTTCTTCGTATAGTCGACAGATTTGACCACGCCAAAAAAAAACGAATAAAATCCCCCCCGAAAACAGAGAGACACGGACTAATTATCTAGAGAGTAGTTCAATTGATTCGAAACTACGTTCTTAACAACGAATAAATAAGGAAAGAATTAGGGTTTGATAGGGACGATCACAGAAGATTCACGGAGAAAAGAGTGTTTTTTTATAAGTTTCTCTCCTACGTTAGAGAGAATGGAACTCTCCAGAACCCCTTACCACTTGTTTAGATTTTTTTCCTCCTAGTACTTTTCATTTTTTAATTTCTTTTAATTAAAATGTAATAAACTAATAATTATCTTCTTCTTATACGGTCAGATTTTCCGACATATAATAACTTTCTGTATACCCCAACTTATAACTTCTGTGTCAATAAATTTTGTAGTAACGTTCATATAACATTTTATTGACGATGATCCCATACAGAATCGATGACAAAAGGTTCGAATATGTTGGAACAGTTTATTTTAATTTTTTTTTTCCAGTATGTTGGAACAGTTTTTTTTTGTTTGAGTAAAAAATGCTGAATATATATTCAGCGAAAACAGCCTCTTTGTTTTTATTTTATAATCAATCATATCGATGACATGAGAGTGCGGCTGAGATTTTTTCAGATTTGTTGATATTTTCTTAGTAGGCTCGTCGAGAAGGTTCTAATGAACGTGGACTTTTCGTAAATTGCTCTAAACTCGGAGGTCTTGCGTCACCGTCAATTTTGTAAAGTTGTGCTTTTAGCTTTAAAAGCGTTTTTAAATCCGTGGGACCCACTTTATGACTAAAAATGTGTAGTTTTAAAAGCCAGTAATTAGGAGAATGGGTTTAATGGGCCTCGTTATAAAGCATAGTATAAGATTGTTCTTTGTATTGTGTAACGCTTGTTTAATTTAGAGAGGACCAATACTATTGCTATGAAACAGACAAAATTGGGATTGTCTTTACGAAACTCTCGGTTCGTTGAAAATTTATTGAGGAGTACTGAACTTTCTCTGATTTTTATTGCATTCGGAATCAGAGCCTCAGAAGAAAAAAAACCATTGTCAAAAAATAAAAATTCAACAAGAAGATCCTGAGTTATGTTCATAATCATACGTCTTCTGTAAATTATTTACAAGCTTGTTACCCATTTTATCTCTCTCTTTCACCCTTTTTCTACTAATCCGATTAATTAATTAGCGCTGCGGTTAGTTTTTCTTCTCTTTTTTTCAGTTATTTTCTTCTCCTGATTGATACTTTTCTTTCCTCATCAGCACTAAAAGGTATGTTCTTTTTTTTTTGTGGTTTAGAAAATCATGTAATGGTGGTGTTTGCAAAGCTCAATTCTCACCAGAAATGTCCGTCTTCATCCATCACCCACCTCAAATAACCTTGAGGAATCCCAGAAACGGCTTCTTCTTCCTCCACAGTAACTTCATCTCTCTGTCAAAAAGTAAAAAATCCACAGAAACAAGAGTTTGGTATTAGCATATGTAAATTAGAGATATCAATTGGCTACTCTGCTTCGTGTTATATAATCCTCTTCGCACCTTTCTACTGCTGGAACCAGATTCAATAACAGAAATTTCTGACTCTATTTTCCTACTTTCAGGGATTGTTTCGAAGGATCTAACCACTGTGGATCTGCATAATAAAAACATATTTGGTTGGTAATAGTTAAGCCACAGATTCATTCACAAAGAGATTTCTTCTTTTTTTTTCTCACCTTCCGTAACTCTCATCTTCACAAGAGTTTCCTGAAGAAGAAACCCAATCCATATCAAAAGCTGCACATGTACATTCGTCACCACGCCCATCTAAGCAGAAGCAATCGTTTTCAAGAATCTGGTCTAATCCTATTTCCTCCATTATCGGTGGTGGAGCACTGCAAACACACACACAAAGCCATTCCCCAGATCATTTCAGCTGACAACAACTCAGTTTAGATGATTTGTCTGACAGAGATCATAAGCTTCATTTTTTCATACCTCATACTAGTACCAATCATGGCAGTTTCAGAAGTTGAGATCTCAGGTGCTGAATCCGAAAGACCTTTTACTTCTTCATCCTTTTCAGCTAAATCATGTCTAGCGACTGCTCCCAACGTGGCTGTACTACTGCTCTCGCTAAGGATGCTACTTTCTGATAAAGATCGTTTCATCGTAGACCTAAAAGGTGGCAAAATGTAATGTAAGCATCTCTAGCGAAACATAAACTAAATCTACAAGTGTCTCATTTAACCAAGAAATGTACCTTGAACTCTCCGGTACAGTACTGGCAAGAAACCTTGCTGCATTGTAATGCTGATCAGAACCCAATTCCCATAGCGCCGGCTTATCTGTCTGTGGCTGAAAGTATCCCAAGAACCTGTAGAAGCATAAAAAGTGAAAAGTCAAATGAATTTTGCTATACCATACAGGGCAGAGGGCATAGAAAGAGAGAACTTAACAAACGCCTACAAGTTAATCGCATCTTGCTTTTCTGCATCCATATAGGCGTTACTGTAGTAACGTTGTAGAGTTCTGAATAGTTCCTGTGAATGAGTCGCCGCTTTCCATTGACCACGCCTTTCACAAAATATCTGTCCACAGAGATAAGATCATCGGTTAATAATTGTGTTCACGGCTTTATTATCTAGCAAGGTGTGGCCAGAGAAGGTGACAAAAAAAAAAAACCTTGTTGTGTGCTGCGGATCCTCCATACTGAAGCGCGAGCGTATCTCCCATTGTCTCGTAAATTCCCATCAAATCTTCAGCGAGGGGATTATCCAGATCAATAGTAGTAGACTCTGTCAACGCCAAAGCGTGGAGTTGACGCCCAAATGCTACCAAACCATAGGCGTATTGAGCAACATTGGTTCGGTCTAAACAGTCTATGCAATTGGTCCTCAGGACTCCTTTCTGAAGCGTCGTAGCATCCTTACTGTCGTTACCACTCTCCACCGCCGAATTTGATGCAGTCTCATCATCTTTACTGGGAAGATCATAAGTAGAACATTCACCATTGTTGTTCCTGCAGTAAAAAAACAAAAGGATATTGGATTAATCGAAGCCAAGTTACTAAGAATACACGAGAGATGAATAATATGTCTAAGCAAGAAACCACGTAGAAAATACTCACTCTAAGGTGGATGGATTCTCCTCTGCTCTGAGATCTGGAGTTAGCTGACAGTAGAAGATGCCAGTCAAGTTCAGTGCATAAGTAGCCAACCTGCCGAGGATTGCCAACACGTTTGTGCCTTTTCTGGATAGTGAAAAAAAAACATATTTTCAGTAAGTAAAAACACATATAGTGTTACTAAAAAAGTCAATAAGGATAAAAGAAAGGAAACGAAAGAAGCATATACTTTCTGGAGTGTTTATGCAAGTCCCAGTGAAGAGGCCTTAGACGGTCCTCCTTGCTTAGCCCTTTGTTTATAAATTTAATTGCATTTGCAAACTCCGCACGCAGAATAGTCTCCCGAGGCCTCTTTTCACGCGTCTGTGTCATCAATCAAGTGAAGTAGGAATTTCTAAAGAAGAATATATCAAAATATGTTAAACTTCATAGACGAGTTTAGATACAAACCTTGATCAAGTTCAATATGATGATTGGATTCCCATATCTCCTTGCGAGATTTTCAAAGTGGAGTCTGGTTGCCTCGAAGCTGGGGTCTTTCGCTGACACTTTACACAGATAAGAGAAATCAGCACAAGAAACAGAGCAGAAAAGTAATTTGATAAGAATATATTATGTTGGAGGACAAAGATCATACATATTATATCAGGTTTGATATTCAGGCGTGAAGTCTCCTGAGACCAGAACAAAGGAATCGAACCCCGGTTCTGAACTACAGAACTTATTCGGACGGGATTACCATCTTGAGCTTCCTCGAAAACAATCTGCTCTGTCTCAACATCATTAGCTACCCTGCCTTTCTCGTTCACACCACGTTTCAGATATCTGTGGAACAAGATAGAAATATAAAAACCTAACTGAGACTTATTCCCATTACAGCTAGAACCAAATAAATGGCATAGAACAAGCTCAGGTCGAGAGATTGTACCTTGTGCCAGCATAATGCCGAGATCGGCGCGCAATTAGCGTCAATCTAAAGTTCTTCTCAGTAACTGACAGTTTCACCTACAAATTAGACAGAGAGGCCATTCCAAAGGTTAATAACTTTTACTGTGCACTAAAAGACAAAAGATTTGAGAAGGCATCCACTTAGTGTGGGGTTTAGTCCTAATTTCTTGCACGAGTTTCTTCTCTCACGCAGCAGAAATGTTCATAATCAAGCAACATGGACAATAGAAAATCTCAAGATACTTGCTTAGAAAAAAATCATAGAAACCTTAGGACCAATAAGTACAAGCAGTACCTGTTTGAAAAATCCATATACCAAGGCGACTGTCCACATACAGTCCTTTGCGTTATTTCGGATCCGTCGAGTTAAGTATTCGTTCCAGACAAACATAGATTCGTAGTAACTGTGTCCTTCCACATTGTTTGACAGATTCCTCTGAAGTGAATGCATGATGTGATAGGAATAGCTGAAGAAGAAGTCCTTTGCAAGATCGACAGAGCAGAGTAGCCTTTTGTACCTGTTAAATTTCCAAGGAAGACAGAAGAAGAAAAAAAACATGATTTAGAACCTGGATCAGTGAATAACCTGAAAAAAGAAATGAATGTACAAGTGAATAATCAAACTTCAAAATATAACAGATTAAACGAAATTAGAAGAAGAACAAACAAAATGAGCTCTCCCTTTCTTGATAGTACCTCTGTCATATAACATATCAAAATAAATACAACAAATACAAGTGTGTCCACTGTACAGACAGGGGAGAAGAAGACCTAGAAATAGTAAAAAGCAAAACTAAAAGATTTAACAAAACGGAAAGGATATTAATGAAACTCTAAGCAGTTGGATTATCTCCAATAGGCAAGGGACAAAAGTTTAAAGAACCTGTAACGAACTCAATCACAGTTACCTCAACAACTGATAACTTGTCTAAGAGAAACCTTGTGACACTCTTATCGTGCAGATCAAAGAAGGGACACAAAAGAAAGAAAGAAGCAGAAAGGTCCTCAAAAATCTAAATACAAGTGTAAAGTTTCGTAATTTCGAAATGTAATCAAGGTACCAAGGTACAGGTTTTCCATTTTTTACAAGCAGAAGTGACATAACAAGACCTTTTCTCGTCCTTAGAATAAGCCACATTGGATAGCACAGAGGCATGTGGGATCGTAATTATCTTGCTCTTTGCCACACCATAGACCGTGTGCCCACAGATTTCACCAAGCTTCCTTCTTTTAGTGATTATCAGCATGTAATAGGGCCCCAAGAACCTTATGAACCCTGAACCAAGAAACAAGAGAAATGTTAGTAAGCTCGCAAAGAAGAAGAAACAGCTACTAGTGTTGCGTAAGAATGATGTACAAGACATTGTTACCGATGATCCCGTAGCAAGTGGTGACGAATTTCAATCCACCAGATGATCTGTTTCCTTCGTGTATCCTTCTCAGAGTTTCGAAGCATTCAGCTTCTGTGTAAGCCGTTGAATCTTCGTAGAAGTTGAGCTCTGTTGCCTCCGTCCTATCAAGCTTCAGGACCCTCCAAAAGGTTCGGTTTTTATCTCTCCCGATCATGTAGAAGTTCTGTTGCACAGAGAAACAAAGGTTTCAAATTTAGCAAATCTACGGATTCGTAACTCAAACGAAGCCCTAGAGAGAAATCAATCTCTGAGAGGAGGAGAAAAGAAAAAACCCATTGATGAATCAAACACACACACACATATAAGAAATCACACAGACAAGAGAATCAATCATGGTGAAATGTTGGAAAGTGGGAGAGAGAGAGATGTGAGAATCATCACCGAGCGCGTTTCGTAGAGCCTGAATTTCTGGAGGAACGAAGAAGTCATGTCGACTACTTGGTCAATCGATCTCTCTGACGCCGCCATTTGAACAAAATCTTCAGACCCGGAGCTCGAGAAACTTGGGCCTTCGATACAATAACAAACAACGAAATCGGAGAAGGGGGAACCAAAACCCAAAACAGATCACAAAACGATATAACCTCCCAAAAATCTGTACAGCTCAAAGGAAACTGAATCTGACTACACATACAAAAAAATTACACAACATTCAAAAAAAAAATTAAAAAAAAAAACCAAATCTTTGCAATTACACCTGTAATCAGAAACTCAGACAAAACGATTCTAAATTGACCCTTTTAGTAATCCGGTCTACGGATCGAGATTTTTCTGGGGAAATTCACAGAGAATCTGAGAAGATTTCAGATTGGTAGATGAAGAAGAAGAAGGTGCAGCAAGAAGAGAAGATGATGACAGAGCTGCGGTGACCGGAACCACAGAAAAAAATTAACGAGGAAAAAAAATGAAATTTAGTTTTTTTTTTCTGGGTTTTTAAGTTTTTAACTTTAGGCGCTCGTTTATATATGTCCTAATTCTGTAATTTTAGTTTTGTCGTTTGCAAAAATAAAAAACGGTTCTCTAGTAATATTCGATTTCGAAAAAGGTAACTTTGACTTGCAAAATCGTTGATGAAACTCAAGGGTGACTTGTAACTTGTTCCATTAGGTTTCTATGTTTTACAATTTAATAAAAATGTCCAATTGTTGCATTTTATTATATAGTGTTTGTTAAAAAATCAACTCCATATGAGCTGTCCGACAAAATTAACTCCATTTGAGCTAAAATCATTTACACACAAATAAGTCAAAAACTAATTTTCTTCAAAATATTAATCATAAAACTTGACATATGGAAATCATAAACAGAAATCAATATGAGTATAAATAATTTTTGTATGAAAACTGGTGTATTTAAATATAGAAAATGGAATCTATATATTGAAAACAGGAATCCTGTTTAATGTAAATATAGAAAATGGAGTTTATATATTGAAACAGGAGATTAATGTAAAGAGTTAAAAATAGTCAAAAGATAAATTTATAAATAATTTCAAAAAGAAGAAACAAACAAGTATTAACAATTACAAAAACTGAAATATATATATTCTTTCTCTTATTATTATTACATTATTAGCGATAAATTATAAATGCTTCAATGTTCCCACTTATACAATTTGCAAGCTTGTCTATCATTAACTTATTTGTATATTTTCTTATGTATTTTTTTGGTAGATTATAATTATACTTCATTTTTTGGTAGATTATAATTAATTTATTATATAATTTCAACTGTAATTATTTTTTTTAGAAATCCATTGAAATATTTTAACATTTCTTTGAATAATTGTACAATTTATATTGAAATTTCCAATTTGTGTATGTTTTTTGTCAAGTGAACCCATATCCATAGTTATTTTAAACCACATTTTATTGTTAATGAAATATAAACAAAATATGCAAACAAAAAATAATTTATTGAGATGACTGATCATATAAAGATTAAAAAATATCTAGAATAATATAGAAGATTATGGATATTTACCAATAGTTTACAATAAGAAATTTAGTTTTATTATAAATGCATTACTTATATATTAGTTTAGAAAACTAGATTAATCTCATAATGTAATAATTATTTTTCATTACATTATCTTGTAACATTAGTTTTATAAGAGTGTAATAATAATTTTTCATAAAAATCTTTGTTTTCTTACTCTCATCAATTTACACAAATTTATGGTTTGCATTTTTCTCCCTTTTTATGTTTGATGATTACTTTTGTATATACTCTGTAAAATTATTTTATGAAAAACTAAAAATTAAAATTAAAATGTATACTAGTATAAATTTAAACGCAAACGCACAAATTTGCATTTAAAAAAATTCAAATACTACTGCTAATGTTTTCTCCTCCGTCCCACACGATCTTTTCTTATGCTTCATTTTGTAATTTCATTATTTTACTATATTTCCAATACTACTGCTAATTATCTAAGTGGAGTAGTATTTAATTTGTTTTGGAAAACATCTCTATAATTATTTTCTGATATATGTTAACGATTAATAAGCTTTTTTTTTTTGTTCAAATAACGATTAATAAGCTAATATCATGAAGTCAATGACAAACGTGATCAGCATTTTCGGGAATGTCAGTTTTCTAATTTACAAATCATGTCAAACTCGTTTTCACCTTTCATTAAATAATATTAATACAAATAATTAAAAATTCGTACTTTTCTTACAGTGTGAAGATTACTCAAACGTGTACGGGTGTACAAACTCCCATTCATGGATCCTTCTTATTTGATTTTAAGATATTTTGTGGTAGTAGTCAGTTTTATTAAATTACTTAGAATTTATGTTTACAATATAGAAAAAATGACTTTACGTTTCTATATGATGTAAGGTGTCGATAAATATAAAGACAAATTCAAAGACGAATAATGTAACATAGTAAACAGTTTTTTTTCTTCCAGAAATCGATAAAAAAACTGTGTAAATGTATAGTACTAGTATTTAAGAAGACAAATCCCTATATTTGGTTACCTTTGTTTAAAACTATTTTTGATGCCATTTTACATTTGATATGTTAAACAAAATAAAAAAACAGTATTAAAAAATTAGAACTACAAACGTGTTGATAATGAATGATAGTGGAAATTACAGTGATAACTAAAATTAACGACAAATAAGAAGTGGGCAAAATGAACATCATAACTCAGAAGTATATCATAAGTAAGTTGGATTCGACATGCCTTCCGACCATTGGCCTCTCTAAAAGTTGTAAATTGGAGAATAGCATCATTAAAAAGCAATTATAAGAGAAGAATATATATGTGGAATCTCCATTAGTTTAATGGTTTAATAAAAATTTATTAATGTTTCTACATCAGCAGGTCTGTGTTTCAAATTTCAGTGAGCGCGATTTATTTTTAATTATTCAGATTAATGAAGAATGATGCAAATTAATGGAGGCAAGCTTACAAAAGATCTTTAGCGTAGTGCAAGCGAAATCGTCAGACATAAATCCTCATATGATAATGGTAAGCGTGATGCAGGAAATCAGTATTAAAAAAAGAGGAGAATATACTAAAATGCTTGTATTCCCCCGTCAACTTGATAGTGATTTGATCATTATTTGATCTTCTAAATGAGACTTTTTTTCTTTTTCTTTTAAGAGTTTCTTTTTAACTATTTAGTTCTTTTGCCGAACTCCTCATCGTTATATAATCATTTTTTTTTTGCAAATGATACATTTTTCAGCTTATGAAAGTTATATTATTTAATATGGATCAAATTTTAAGTAAAACGACTACAAAACTATGACGGATCCTAAATCATAGAGTTTTGCATAATTTTTAAAAAATTAGAAAGACTAAAAGTACACTTAAAAAGTAGAAGTACAAACGTACACAAATTAACATTGATAGCTCACGAATAGTTTATTTGTAGCTTTTATTTTAATGTCGGTTACACTCTTTGCATCCACGATTTCCGAGTCAGCAACAATATGAAGAATATATAACATCTTTTGAACCTTTGTTTTATCCCAAAAAAAAAAAAAAAAATCTTTTGAACCTTTGTTGAACAGTTTAACACATCCATCTATTTCAAAACTAACCAGCATTGTCTTAATTGTTGTAAACACCAAACATAAATATAGTCAACATTAGCTAATCGGTCCAGTTAGCTGTTGTCCATTGTATATTTTTCTTATACGGTAATATATAATTGGGAAGAATCTTGCATTGACGAGATGATTATAAAATAAAATTATAGTATCAACGAGATAATTGTACATCGATTTATATTTACGAAAACGAAGAACTAAAATTCGGACAAAAACTATAAACTCCATCTACAAATAGAGAAAAAAAAGGAAGACGTTAATGAGAACTCCCGAACCGTTAGATTTGAATATCCAACGGCTCAAAACGTCGGAGTTAGGCGGAGTGACCTGTAATAATGTACTGCAACAACATGGTAAAGAGTAAAGACCCTGAGTTGAGGAACTGGAGACAGCTGGCATGATGACGTGGCACAGTATGGGACTTTCGTCATATATCACAACGAGCATCACGTGGATTTTTGTCTGGACCACCGTGGCGGCCATTTTTTACGTAATTTTATTACTTAATAGTACTGTAGTATTTAATTTGTAACTCATCAGTCTTATTATTGGTTTTTCTTTTTCTTTTTCTTTTTCTTTTTTCCTCGTTTACGGAATAAAATGACAGATTCGCGTGACAACCTTAAATCAATTTATCATCGCCAAAAAGGTTTTGTCCTAAATATTATGGTCTGCCGTTTCCTACTCTTTTTTTTGTTCATTATACAAAAGGCCAAAACTGAGTAAACATAAGATTTATTTTTGTGCTTGATTGTGATTATTAAAAACATTTTGAGACTGAAGCTATTCAATATTTTTTTTTAAAAAAAAAGAAAGTTAACGGCTAAATGATTGACACTCGAACATCAATGCTATCCTCATATATATGCGCGTATAAAGACTGTAAATTAAACTAACCGTTCTGTATTTCAAATTGGTTAAAATTTTATGAACCTAGAAGTTAAGAAAGTAGTATAAGTATGAGATAAATGTGCTTTTTTAGGTTCAGGAAAAAGTTACGGGTTAACCAATAAAATTGAATTAAAAAGTAGATTAAAGAAACAAAACGGAAAATGGGAACCGGAGAGAGGCCGAAAATGTGGAAACTACTGAAATGTCCAATGATTGAGGGAACAGGTGTCCCTTTTTGGCAACCACTACTTCATCTTCCCTTTATTTTATTTTTCTTAGTTAATGACTCTTTTTTTTTCCCTTTCAACCACCTAATGACCTTCTCTAAGTTCTAAACACCTGACATGTTTGAAAACAATCTAACTTTTTTTTGGCGAAAACAATCTAACAACATGTTCATACATACAATATTTGATTTGGTTTTAGTAGGTCTCAATAATGTTAAAAAACGACATTTGATAAAACAAAGGAAGGGATAGTTAACAAGTAACTTCTTAATATATGGACATATGCGTATGCATATGTAGGAAGATAATCGAGGATATGAATAAGCATTGTGAAATTCGGGAAAGAAAAAAAGAGAGCACTATAAACATTTTCAAAGAAGTTGAATGGAGCTATTGGCAAAAGAATAAAAGTTGATCTAAACTAGTGATCTATTGATTCGTAAATCGTAACTTTGTATAGTGTTTTGCACAGTTATCAAAATTAAATTGGTTAGAATGCATTCAGATTAATTGAAAAGTAATATGAAAATGCTTTCCTCACACTAGGTGTGACCAAAAAAAAAAAAAAAAAATTGAGTGTGACAACTGTCCAGAAGTACTAACAAAATTATACAAAACAGAATCGCATCTCTCCACTATTCTTTACCTCTTATTAGAACCCTCTTATATACAACATATCATTTCTTTTAAGATTAATACATTTGAAATTTCATTATACAAAATTTACCAACTTCTAGGTTTTTTGTTTACACTTAAGCCAAAGAAATTAATGGGGGCAAAACCTAAGAAAGTGATTTAAAAAATGAAACATCAATATCTTTCTTTTTCCTCCATATTTCAGAGAATGGTAAAGAATTAAAGACTGCGTAAAATGATGCGTTGTGACTAATTTTTTTTTTTAAAAAAGATATCTCAATTAAAAAAAAAAGAAGATAAATATATGACATCGTGAAATCATCAATTCCAAAATTTATATTCATCTATGTCGGCCCATAGGCCGAGTTACTAAGGCCCATTTTATGATAATATCTCTCTTGTTTTATGATGGAGCATTTAATTTGCAATTCAACACCAATCAATTGTAAAATCCACAATGAGCATCTTCTTAAGTCTTGAAGCTTCTTCTTCTAACTTCATCAAGTTGAATTATCAACTCACAATATTGATGTACTTTCCACAAATGAAGGAATTGTTCAAAGTCACAAACACTACACTAGTGTTACACTACTAACATAACCGGGGGTGAATAGAGAGATATAATGGAAGACGAAGATTCTCGCCCATGACCGAGAGGTCACACCAACATTAATAACGAAGAGAAATCCCTTATCGTCTAACGCATCGCCTTTTCACAAATCGGTTTGTTTTAAAAATTCAATTCTAACTTGTAAAATCTAAAAGATAAAACAAAGAAAGTGATTCTAGATTCGCAAATTTGCTATAACTTTTTAAAGATTCAGTAACCATTGTTAGATCATTAAGCTATAATCGCAAAAAGCACACAGAAAAAATTGATTTCAATGATTCAATCACACAATAATTAATTATGGGCCAATCATAACAAGGCCAGTGATGAACTGACGATCACTATAAACAATTAGATTACTGACTAGAGAAGCATGAAGACTTAAACCAACCCAAACCAAACAGATCAACATGTGATGATCTATTGTATATTTAACACATGGACCTGTCACGTACTGGAATCATTCTAGTCTCTCCCTTTTTTTTAACGTTAAAAAAAACAAAAAATAAGACATGTGTATAATAGCGATGGTTTGTCCTAGTGTTAATTAATTTCCCCAACAACTATCCTCCCCAACTACAATTTGTTTTGATGTCAATATTTTTAAAAACACACACACACACATCTATATATATATATATATATATATATATATTAGGTTAACTTGTAAGTTTTTGGTCTCTAGTCCATTGCTTTTGTAACAATTTTTAGATGAAAATATTTTACAAAAAAGAATTTACATAAGGAAGTTTTTATAATTCTGAGAGTTCTTTGGTTGTTTACTAAACTACTTGTTTTTTTTATTTTAAAGTTCTATCTTAAAAAAACACTAAATTAGGTAAATTTCACATAGATAAAAAATAAATGATTTATTTTTTGCATAACGAGTAAATTAATAGAATTTTTGTAATTATATTGAAAAAATAAGACATGTGTCTATTTGTTCTAATAGCAATGGTTTGTCCTAGTGTTAATTAATATTTTCTCAACAACTATTCTCCCCAAGGACCCCAGCTATAATTGTTTTGATGTCAATATAAAAACATGTATAAATATAATAATAAAATTTTAGGTATTAAAATGTAAATTTAATTTGGTCTCTAGTCTATTAATTTTGTAACAAATTTTTACAAAAAAAACAACTTACATAACAAAGGTTTTATAATTCTGAGAGTTCTTTACTTGTTTATTATAATACTTAATTTTTTATTTTATTTTAAGCCACTACTTAGTTCTATCTTCAAATAAATTACTATACTATTTTTAATCTAAAACAAAATTAAATCTAAAATCTTCTGAATGATTTAGAATTAATGGTTGGCTTTAAAGTCAGATTTAGAGGATTTTACTTTGGTCGGATTATCTATTTGTAATTTCACTCTCTCTTATATATTCGTACTTTGAATGTTGGTGTTGATTACCTTGCTAAAGGTGCTTGGTTACGAAAGTCTGTATTTTCCCATTTGCGCTTTCATATCCCAGATTGGTTGGTTCATAAACCAACAGCATTCAAAACATAAATTATAAAATGATTCTTCTTTAGTAAAAATTAGAATATTCGTGATTATAATATTCAAGCGATCATAGTGTATCCGAATTTTAGGTGGTACGAGCCAATGAATGCCACGCGAGCAAGAGCAACACTAGCCATTTTATTTGTAGATTGGAAATCATTAGCAATCATCAAGAGTGGGGCTGTGGACAAAAGAGCATCCTCATCCATAAAAACTTCTATGATATCTCAAAAAAAAAGTTACTATTTTAATATAATTTTAAATTTAAAATATAAATATTAACCCATCAATTTATCACAAGTGTTATATGGAATTCTTAACAATTTCTCAAAAATTCTCAAATGAAAATCTTTTCTCATTCTTTTTTTTTTTGCTTTTTAATTATTTTAATTATTTTTATCATAAAATATCCTTATAAGAACTGTCATTTTTAATGACAAATTTTGTGTCTAATCATGATAACAGACACCTTATTTTTGTATTTTGATTATAAATCGATTTATATAAGACAAGAGATTCTAAACCACAGAACAAAATCCAATAAAGTAGGTCGTACAGTCGCACTATAACTTTTGTGTAAAATTAAAAAACAAGTTAAATTTTGAAAAAATAAAATATAATATTATAAGAAAAAATAAAATAAAGAGTTGTCTGAATCATCTCCACAACTATTTTCTAACTAATTTTTTTCAGCAATAAAAATAATAAAAAATGAGAGAAAGATAATTATTTCTTATTTTAAAGACTATTAAAAATATTTCTCAAAATTTAAGAGCTATATGTCTCTAAATTAATTCAATCCTTTTTATTTAAATTTTAATTATATTATTAAATTAGTTAATATAATATATCTGAGATATCTAATTGAAATATTATGCAGTGGTGGTGTTCTAAGAGCATTCACATTGGTTTATATACTTTTATGAATATCTAACAAATATAATAATAATAATTTTAATAATATATAATTAAATTAAAAATTAAAAAATTTAAGCAAATCATAAATTGACAAACAATACTAAAATATTTCAAATTTTATTGTTTGGTATTTCATATAAGACTCTCTTTCTTTGTTCTTTTTTTAATTGTTTTTATCATAATAATGGTGTGATACCTTCTTTAGAAGCTCTCAATGAGCTTGTTCTAAGAACCATATGGCGGAGATACTGTATAATTAATTTTCACCGGGTGTAATATTGAGGTTTCAAACACTTCACCACAAGAAATTACACATAATTAAGGTTGCAAAACCAAAAATTTATAGAATTTATAGGTGTCACTTGACCTAAGTAACTCTAAGGTGGCGGAGCCACTGTGGCTAAATTATTTATTTGGTCCAAATCCCTAAAATTATAGCAACATGGCCGAGATTATTTATTTGGTCGGGATCAAATTAAAGCAACATGGCCCATAGTATTTACGTACCTCTGGGGGTTAGGCCGATTAGGGTAGCTGCTTCTCTTGATTGTTGGTGACTGGTGTTAAGGAGTTTTTAGCCAACTTGATAATATGGTGGCGTGCGGTTTACGATTTTCGATATCGTTTCGAATTCTCATGCTTCTAGTTTTATCGGTTTTATAAATGCTAAAATGATTTAAAAAAAAAAAACAATTTGGTAACTGAAGGGGACCGTTTGGATTATTTGGTAAAAAGAAGAGAAGTATTTGTTTTGCTAAGCACCGAGGTTTAGATTGAATTTGTGATTGGAATTATAAAAAAAATATAGATAACAAATGTCCACAGGCGTTTTGGTTTTTGGGTGAGTGATGCCTATGCTCAATTTTAAGTTTTCTTTTGTGTGGATCTTCGTTGTTTTGGGAATCCATCTCAGTTATATGGTACGGTGTTGAAAGAAGGTCCGGACTCCGGATCACTAGAACATCTTCATTGATACTCTTTCAGCCAAAAAAATTCAAAATATTAACACAAAATATATTAATATTTAGGGTTCTTTGAAAGAAGAAGAAGAAGATTCGTCAGATTCAGACAAAGCGATCTCACGACTCACTCTGGTAAATGAATTCTTCGAGAGAGAACGGTAAAACCATCATCAAATACCAGAGAAATGTATGAACAAATCACAGCAGGTGGTGGACGTGAGAAACAAGGTGGTCGTGGATAGCTTGACTTTGTTCACTTAAGTCGCTCGAAGTGGAAAATTCGATTGTATGTGGTACAAACTTATATATCTAACTGTATGATATGTATTCACCAATTAACTATTAATATATTTTGTGTACATATCTATAAGAAACTTTGGGTGAAACTGCTAATGGAAATGCTTTTAGGAATATAAGATATGGTGCTAACATGAATACCTAATCTAACAAGAAAATTTTAATTTGAGGCTGACGATAGGCAGAAGTTTAAGCCGTTGGGGTCGTTGGGGCTTCAACGCTTACGAAAATCTCAAATCACAAAGGGAGCTAGAAAGTGAAGAATAAAAGAGAAATCTAGCAACTAGCAAGTAACCTTCAAGGAATCGGCTCTTTCATAGAGAGACAATAAACAATAAGAAGTATAACAACCGAGCCTCGAAGGATCTTCACTGCTCGAGAGTTACTATCAATGAGACATATTTTCAACTATATTATTAAATATTAATTGATATATCGGCTCTGATATATAGCACGTGGTTCTAGAAAGATGATAAGAATTCCAAAAGAAAGCAAAATTTAGGGCATACGATTATTCTGGTCCAAACATGACCATGCTACTTGGGTCTTGAGCCTCATATCTAGGATGCGGTATAGATTACATTTTTGTTTTTTCTTTTATCTTGTAGTTTATAGATAAGGTATTTCTTATTTTAATTTTTTTTCGTTAAAATAATATTTTATACAAATTAAATAGCTTTTTGTATATTATATTTATATTATTTTGGCAGTATAAATATGTGAAGTGGAGTGTGAAGTTCACCACAATCTTCTCTTCTCTCTCTCTCGCTCACATAACTATAATACTTGAGAGATGGCAGGCAAGTGTCATTTGGTGAGTGTTGTGTGGGCATTATTGGTATTGACCATCTTCCATATTCCGATCAACGTCAATGCCGGTGAAGGTGTTCCGATGGTAGCATTGTTCACTTTTGGAGACTCCTACTACGACGCCGGAAACAAAGTGTATCTTCTAACCGAGAAAAAGAATCCTCCACAAACCTTGTGGCCTTACGGCAAATCCCGCGACGACCCCAACGGCAAATTCTCCGACGGCCATATCGTCCCCGACTTTATCAGTACGCTCTAAACTTATACTCTAAGATACCTAAGTTATAAATCGGTATATAATATAAACGATGTATTGTTTAGATAATAATTAATATATGGTGATTAAATATCTATCTAGGTGACTTCATGGCCATTCCGGATGGAATCCCGCCGGCGCTTAAACCAGGCGCTAATCTTTCACGTGGAGCTAGCTTTGCCGTCGCCGATGCTTCTATTCTTGGGGCTCCGGCGGAATCTGTAAGTCTCCTTACACTAAAAAAGCAAGTTTGGATTTATTTAGAAGATATAGACTTTTTAGGTTTATTCAAACTAAATCCAAAAGATTTAAAACTTCTTTAAAAAAGAGTTAAAAGAAAAGTTCACAAACGATTTTTAATGTCTATCCAGATGACACTGAATCAGCAAGTGAACAAATTCAAAAGTATGAAATCAAGTTGGACCGACGACTACATCGAGCAATCACTGTTTATGATATACATTGGTACGGAAGATTACCTGAACTTCACCAAGAACTATCCCAACGCAGATGCTTCTGCTCAGCAAGCTTTTGTCACTTCCGTCATTAACCGATTGAAAAACGACATTAAGGTAAGTTGTGAATACAAACAAGATATATGCGTTTTTGTACTTAAACGTAGTGATCAGGAATTTACTACGTTTATATATCATACAGTTGTTATACTCCCTGGGAGCGAGTAAATTCATGATTCAAATGCTAGCACCATTGGGTTGCTTACCGATCGCGAGACAAGAATATGCAACCGGCAACGAGTGTTACGAACCCCTCAACGATTTGGCTAAACAACACAACGCGAAGCTCGGTCCGATGATGAACGAGTTTGCTAAAATACCCCAAGGCAGTTTTCAGTTTACCGTCTTCGACTACTACAACGCTGTTCTCCGTAGGATTAAGTCGGGCAGGGCTATTAACTATCGTAAGTCGTCGTCGTCATCATCATATATAGATTCATAATTATCAATAATTAATTAACTGTTGCATATATTGTTTAAGTTCATTTGTAGGGATTGTAGCTTTATTAAAAGTTTTATCAAGTACCATGCAAAAAGAAAGAAAAAAAGATACCAAACTATACGTAAACCATACGTGAAGATATAGCTAACTTCAATGATTCACGTTGATCTTTATAGGGTTTTACGTGACGAACTCATCGTGTTGCGGGGTAGGGACTCACCGAGCGTATGGTTGTGGAATGGTTAACGTGCACTCCAAGCTATGTGAGTACCAAAGGTCCTACTTCTTCTTTGACGGACGTCACAACTCAGAGAAGGCGCAAGAGGAACTTGCTAATCTTATGTATGGAGCCGATCCTAACGTGGTTCAGCCGATGACCGTACGTGAGCTAATCGTCTATCCGGTTAAGGAGAATATGCGTGAGTTTTGGGAAGCCAACAAGCGCTTCATTCGTCGTCGTCCGTATCGTGTCCCTTACCTCGATTTAGCAGCTTATTATTAGCTGGATGAATCATGAGCTGAATCTTTCTTTACAATATTTATGATGAGCCTACTATTTCCCTTCTTTGTATGGATGTCGTAACTGCCGTTGCGTGGTATTTCTGTTTATGCTGTCGAATAAATTGCGTTGGAATGTCTTCATGTAATGTGTTTCGTAATCTATGGAAATTGAAATAAAATAATATATTATAAATTGTGTTTCTACAGCGTTTATTAATTAAGTGTGTAGATAGGGCATTCATAGATAGTGTATTTTATATACATGATTCTTGCAGTATATATATATATATATATATTAACATTTTTTTTAAAAAAAAATCTTGCATATGCTTGTATGATAATTATTTATATATAAATTTAGTTTTGATTTTCAACAAAAATAACATGTACATTTGTTACTATTGTTTTAATCCTTTTTTACTGTCGTAGCATACTAGTCAAGCACGTAGTAGTAGATGCTCTAGAGACTATCAATCAAAACTATAGTAACGTACAATTCCTTGCATAGTTGCATGCATTAGTAAGATACATTAATTCAAAGGGACCCTTGAATTATTGGGTAACTAACTAACAATAATTTAATCCTTAAGAACCCATTCATATGTATCAATCAATTTATGTACTTTTTGTTTTTTTCAACCAAAGGTGGAAAATTTAGATACATACGACACATCAAAGTTTTGTATTTATTAAAGACAGTAGGTGAGGTGAGCAAACTGAAAAGGAACCGTGTGGATTATATGTAGGCACAATGGGACCTTCAATAATTAATGATGTGTTCAGCACGAGTACGTGTGAGCCAAGACTCAGAAGTCAGAAATTGCATCATATATACATATATATAATCTGGATAAGAATATTGTTTACTCTTATAAAGTTACAATTATCACAAAATTTCAACGAGTCAATCAACAATTAACACTAAGAAAACAAGGGAAATTTGTGGAAAATTATCTCGGAAATTTCACATGCACACACCTTTGCGTTTAAGCCACTCGAGAGATGTAGATAGTGTAACGACTCGGGCCGACCTATTTGAATAAGTTTAAATAAATTGATTTGATTATCTATATTACTAAAGTGTATTTATTTTTTTGATCACTGATCTCGAGAGAATCTACAGTTAATGGTGCTTGAGCTGGAGTAGGACTAGAATAGGTGACCTTTCGAGAAGTGATTCTCGAAACCGTGTGAGTGAGGCTAAAACACAGGGAAAGATCATATGATGATTGCAAGATCAGAAAATAAATTGATTGGGCTCTGTGAAAAATAACGTATTGGCCGTCGGAAGGATGAGTAACTCGCCGATAAAGACGGTCGAGGTATTACAAGTGGTATCAGAGTTTGGGAAGTCAAACTGATTCTGTCCCATCAGACATTTTTAGAGTTTGTGGGTTATAGCTCACACTCTCAGATGAGTGACTCGCCGATAGGAGCGATCAGAAGCATTACAGATACGAATACGAATACGAAACATCATACTGCAAAACATATTGTAACGACTCAGTTTTCGTCTTACGTCGCTTCGGGAGGACCCAGGTGGCTGAATAAGCTGTTTGAAACAGAGAAAGATCTCATGCACACATGATGATCGTGTCTCAGAATTTCGATAATCGGATGGTAAGATTTATCTTTGGGCTTTTGTCTCTTTTGGTCTGTTGGTGGGGTCGTTGTTGCTCTATATTGGGCTTTCACATTTTTGATATTTTCAGTTCCCTTTTTTGGGCTTAATAAAACCTCATTTTAGAGAAAAAAAGAAAAGATAGGTGTGCAGTACATTATTTGTTCCGGTTACCAAGGTGTGCATTTAATTAAGTCCCAAATAACAAACACCATGTCCTCAAATCTAGATCGGATCTCAGCACATTCCTTATATGCGTGACCGACGTATTTTCATATATTCGGTTAGTTTCGGTTTTATTCGTGTTGATTTCCTTATAAACCGAACTAATCTCGGTTTGGCTCGGTTTAGTATATCACATAACCAAAACTTCATCAAGCATAAGTATAGTAGAACTGTGTAGAAGACAGAAAAAGCCTTTTGTCGAAATGGCATTCAACCGTAGTTTAATCTCCTTCGTAGGGTTATTAGCGTCTTTGATACTCGCTAGTTTTCCGGCAAACGTTTCCGGCGAGCCACCTTTGTTATTCACTTTCGGCGACTCTTCCTACGATGTGGGCAACACAAAGTTATTGTCCTCGGAGTTCGATCCGGCCACCATGTGGCCTTACGGCGACTCCCTTGACATTCCAACTGGTCGTTGGTCTGACGGCCACATTGTCCCAGATTTCGTCGGTATAAATATATATATTAACGAAAGTCTCACTCTTTTTTCTAAGGTTCTTGTAATTGATTCCGATCTAACTGCAATCAGGTCGATTGATTGGTAATAACGAACCGATTCCTCCGGTACATGACCCAAAAGCCGATCTTTCTCGAGGAGCAAGCTTCGCCATTTCTGGAGCACTTGTTCTCGGACCTCGAAATGACACTGTTAAGCTTCTTCTTCTCTTTCCGCCTTTAGGTACAGAGGATTAAGACAACTATGGATTTGTAATTATCCTTTTCTTTCTTTCTTTTGTTGTTGTTTCCGCAGATGAGGTTTGGACAACAGGTATCGAAGTTTGTAGAGTTACATAAGAAATGGAGCGATAAAGAACGAGCAGAAGCTATATACATGATCTCCATCGGATCTGATGATTACTTGAATTTCGCCAAGGCTCATCCTAATGCCACTCCCCTGGAGCAGATTACTCATGTTGCCAATGTTCTCCAAACTTTATCCAGAGATCTAACGGTATTTATATATAATTAGAATGGACTAATCCGTCTCGTCCTGACACAGAACCGGTTGATTTCTGGTCCGATCTTTGGTTCCGGCCTAACTTTTTCTGAGGTTTTGATCGTAGTGGGTCGTTCAATCGAACATTGAACCGGAATATGTTTATGATGCAGTATTTATACAAGTCAGGTGGGGCGAGGAAGTTTGCGGTACAGAACTTGGGACCGCTTGCTTGCTTACCAATAGTGAGACAAGAGTTTCAGTCAGGTGAAAGTTGTATGGAGATGCTTAACTTCATGGTGACAAAACACAATGAACGGCTTCATCGTCTTCTCTCCGCGATGACCGTACCATACCGTAGCTTCCGGTACACCCTCTTTGATTTCAACGGTGAAATTCTCCGAAGGATCAATGAACCATCTCGCTATGGTAGAGAAAAAAGAAGCAAAACTCTCTTCTCAACATTCTGATTTGGTTGGTTTAGTATTTGTTTTTTGAATTGAAAATCGCGGTTTTGATGGTTTAGGATATACTGATACAACGACCTCTTGCTGCGGTACTGGATCGAGAAACGCGTTCGGGTGCGGTTATAGCAACGTGCATTCGAAACTCTGTAGTTACCCGAAATCATTTCTTTTCTTCGACGGGCGTCACAACACCGAGAGAACCGATGAAGATCTCGCTAATCTCTTCTATTCCGGAGACAAACATGTCGTCTCTCCGGTTAACATAAAAGATCTCGTGGGTAAACATGTCGTCTCTTCGGCGCAAGAAATCTAAAAGCCCTAGTTTTGTTCTGTTTTCTTTGTAAAATAAGTAAATGGTTTTTAAATTGTAAGCTGTAAAACTCTTATTCCATAAAAAAAAAATGAAACCGTTTACATTGAAAAAAAAAAAAAAAAAAGAAGCCTTAGAGTCCAAACAATGTTTTGAGATTGTAGGGCGCAGTGACATTAAGCGGTCCGCTCCAAATCAGTTCAGCGATCTGTCGATGAGCCTTCTCAGTCAGGTGAGAAGGATCAAAGAAGATGTAATCCTCAGCGTTTTCGCAGAGCTCGTAACCTTGCGAAGGTCCGTTTCGGAATCCACACGTATTGATCCCCCTCAGAGGTCCGCTCCCGCAACATGCCATCTTCCCTTGCTTGAAACCGTACCGGGAAGGATTGTTGATTCTTTGGAGTAGAGAACTGTGAAAGTCGTGGAGAGAGTATTTGAATCCGGATAGTTCTCGCTCTAGACGCCTCAAGGCTTTAGGGAATTCTTGGTTATGGAGGTTTATCAGCTCACTAACCGGCTCGAAACATGATCCTATCTTTGTCCGGTCTATTATCGACGAACTCGGTGTGCAACCGTACGGACCCAAGCTCAAGAATCCGAATTTTCTTGCTCCCAGTTTATACAATTCCTGATACAAATGATTTCAGAATTTTTTTGTTCAAGATCAAAGATTAGATTATTCCTCTCTGACTAGAGTTGTAAAGTATGTTATTTACCTCGATGACGGTCGTCGTGTTACCAATGACGAAATCGACGAATCTATCTTTGGTAGTGGTACTAATAGTTGTGGTATTTGCAAAGAATGGGTATTGATAGTCATTTGCTCCGATGTGAAAAAGGTAAACAGCTTTTGAGATGACTCTTCTCGCCTCTGCGTCTCCTAGTTCTGATCTCAACACTTGCGTTACGTTCTTGAAGCTGTTTAATTGTGTTCCCAAATCTTTTGACTTTGATAAAAACCAAAACAAAACAAAAGTCAATAAGTCAACGATTTTAGTCAAAGACATAAGTTTGTGGAGTATATATGTTTTGTTTATGTTGAAGAGATTTAGTTACCACTCCGGGGAAAGTTGCCGCAAAAGCTCCGGCGGCTGTGGTAGCGAAATTAACTCCGTAGGTTAATTGACTGTTACTGTAACCAGGTTGCAGATTTGGTGGGAGCAACGGTAACCAAGCGTTTTCAGCTGCCACGTCAGAAAATTATACGTTACTTAATCAACATGCATTATCATGGTTTGGGATTAGGATAACATAAAAAAAAATCAATACTCATCACTAATGTATGATTTACCTATAAAATCTACCATTATCCGTCCATCGGAAACCCTTCCCGTCGGAAACTTGAACGTTGTTTTACCGTACGGCCAGAAATTTGACCGGAAACCGGGGAGAGAATCGAAGTAATTGTTGTTTCCGGCTTCGAACAGAGAATCTCCGAACGCGAACAAGGCTGCTTGGTTCGTTACGAAAACGTTTTTGCAAGAAACTGAGCCGATTGTGTATATGAATACGATGATGATGGTCGAACTAAATCCAAAACTTGCCATGTTTCTTTGCAGTCTCTTCTTTCTTTTTGTTCTTTCTGTACAAACTTATCTGGATCGTTATATGTATATATACAGCCATACAGGTGCTTAATTAGTTTGTCTGATATTATTATTTTGAAAATGTAACATGGTCAAGTTGCTTTTTCTTTGCACTCAATAAACTATATATAGTTGTTCGACTTTGAATATAAATTTCACAAAGGACCTAATTATTTTATAATACGGCTGCGGAGTTTGACGAAGACATCTGACAATAGTATATAACTATATAGGTACCTTCTAACAGCCCGTTTATTTCAACTGACATTTATATTATTTTGTTATAGTTGGTTGACGTCTTATGTTAGCTTATCTGGTCTTGAAATTTGACCGAGAAACAAAAGCATCTGATCTTGAAAGAGAAAAACCAAAAGTATATTCTAATTGCTGAAGAAGATTCACGTTCAAGAACTAACTTATATTAGATTTTGTCAAGTAATTTAGAAGACGCAACGTTGGTTCTATTGTAGAAAAGAAAGCCAAAAATATGGTGTGATCAAGACATAAATTATAACTGATTTCCTTTGGCCACGACACTGAACGCATGAATATTTAAAAGCTTTTGTCAATGTAGTGCCAAAACTTCAAACTATGATGTGAATATGTGATGAGTACTAGAGGATTTTGGCCGGTGTTGTTGATAGTATTTACTCAAAAAGTATATTTGAATAGTATAAAGAACGGTGGTCTAGTGTTCTAGAATCAGAATCGTCTTGGGTCACTAAAGACGACAATGATTTAGAAGAAATTTTTGACGTCGACCTAGTTTATAATGGGCTTTAGATTTTGGCCCAATAGTAAAACCATTTCCTTAATAATTGTCAAAAATCAAAGGAGCGGCATCATTACACAAAGTTCTTGTGCCCAACACTGTTAAAGCCTGTTTTATTGCTGTCTGTAGCTTGAGTTGACCAAAATGAAAATGATCAAAATGTAAATCTCAGTTGGCTTGTATTCAAAATGTAAATCTCAGTTGGCTTGTATTATTTTTTCAATGTCTTGAATTGACCTACAAATGATGAATCTTTATGTGTAGTATTTGATTTTTGATTTCTATTCTCTCAATCATCCAACAATTTATATATTTTCAAATAGTTATTATTATTATACAGCCATCAAATTCATTGTTGTTCGTACACAAACGTGACCATATTTTATGGATTCATGGATCGATCCTTCACTCCATTAATTTTTTTGAAATAAGGTTTTGAGATTGTAGGTGTGACACCCGATCCCGGTCATATAAACTGAACCGACAATGTCAAGATAACTGTTTGCGCCATAAGCCAAACATGTTACTCTCTTTACAAGTCTCAGAAACCAAAGGCGCCTTGCTTAACAAACAACTCCACACCACTTGCGATACTGAAGCATTCTGACTCACCTAACCTGTTAGAGGAGATCGAGAGAGGGAAGATAGGGGAACTGGAGAGGTGAGTAATTTAGATTACCCAAGAGAATGAACCTACACTATCCTATCAATGCACCACAACTTAACAAACGCTAAGTTCAAGCCTAAAACAGCACCATAGAAAGTCCTAAAGACTTCACACAATAACCTAGCGTCACAGGTAACGCCACTGCGAATACCCAGACCACACAATGATGACTTACACCGTGGCACTTAGGTTGCATCCTCCGTAAATTTATAGTCGCTACACGACTAGCCCGTCGGCCATGCCTTGAGAGCGCTACGTATAGCCATTACTCCCATACCACATGAATATACGCTGAACCTTTTGAACAGCCCCATGTGATGTCAGGTCCCTCACTACCCCCTCGCATATTGCCCACGTGGCTCAGCGACTATCCTCAACTTCAGTGTATCGATTGCAGCCCCATGCATTGCAAATCTCAACCATCCATCTCGGACCCTAAACAATAGTCCTTCACTCAAGTATATCGACCACGGCTCCTTTGCCTTATGATCTCAACTCTCATCTCAGACATTTCACAATACATAGTCTCAATTATGATTTCACACAATACCGTATTAAGTTTCTATCCTCTTTACAAGTTCTAGGCGATCACACAATCACAGAAGAGATCCAAACAGCAATCAAACAAGCAAAGTGTTTCAAGCACAAGTAAATGTTTCTTTGAAGTCTCCTGCAACTTCAGTTTCAATACCCTAAACACATCTAGGTGATTCACAGAGCAATCAACAACCTAATATGACCTAGCTGGGACTCAGTTCTAAAGCAGAAAGTAGTTATGCTTGGTTTAACCTCAAACTATGCATTCAGAAAAGCAGAGTTCACGATATTCAAGCACAGATTCATCCTCACCTTGGCCTAGATGGCGAAAGAGGTGGCAAGGGGAGGTAAGGAGAAGAGAAGGAGGTGAGATGCTCCACGGCGGCTAACCACGCAGGGTTGATCGATCTCCGGGGGTGATGCTGCGGTGGCGTATGGCTCCGGGAGGACTCCGGTTCCTCATCAACGTGAAACACCGGGGCAGGGCGGCTGGAAGGGGTGGCTACGAGTCCATCCCGAAGGTAGTGGACTCGCGGCTGCTCCACTGCGCCGGCGGACGATGATGGCTGCTCCGGGGAGCGGCTAGGGCGGTCACCAGAAGGCGGGGAAGACGAACGGCAGGACATGGTGAAGAGAGAGAGGATGCGGCGATGAGAGAGAAAGAAAGAGGAGAGAGAGACGGCGGAGAGAGAGTACTACGGCGCCGGAAAGAGAGAGAAGAGAGTTCTAGAGTTTCTCTATTCTCTGGAAAGTTTAGAATGAAGAAAAAGAATGGGAAGGGCTCTCTATTTGTACCCAATGAGAGACTTAGGTAAAAAGTAAAGATAATCACGAAAAAAGAAAAAATAATTATGAATAAGAATATTACAATTCATTTAGGAAAATGTTCATTAATATCACATTAAAAATGTAATATTTATCTAAACCAGGAATTAATTATCTCTCGAAGAAAAAAAGAAATATCGAAAAATAGGAAATGAGCTTAAACTGTCTTAGTTGGGATTGAATTTTCCAAACGGGCCTGGTTTGTGAGAACCGGGTCCAACAAGATCGGACGGACCGTCCCACATCAATTCAGCGGTCTGTTGATTAGCCTTCTCAGACGTGTGTGAGCCATCGAAGAACATATATATAGTCACTAACGTTTTCGCATAACTCGAAATCACGTGACTTTCCTGATCGGTACCCACACGTACTGCTTCCCCTGAACGGTCCACGTCCACAACAAGCCTTCCTCACTTCCTTAAACCCTATACACCAAAACGAAATTCACATTTTAACACATGCCTTATATATATCTGAGTCTCACATAGATGAGATATTACTGTAAACAAAATATTAATAAAAGCACAAAGCTTGAAACCGTATTTTATGGGATTCTCAATAGCTTCGGTTCCAGCAGTGTAGGAGTCGAAAAGGGAGTATTTGAATCCGGGAAATCGACGTTGTAGATCTCTCAAAACATTTGGAATCCTTACGTTGTGAAGTTTTATCAACTCAGTAATAGGTTCGAAACAAGATCCTATTCTTGTTGGATCCATTGTTAGCATTCCCGGAACACAGTCGAGTCGACCCATGTTCATGATCCCAAACTTCCTTCCTCCACTTTTGTAGATATCCTGCAAAGAATACAACAAATCTTATGAGTTATATGACTTTTATTAGGAGCTTAGTATAGAGATATAATCTTGACACATTGTGTGTGATCAACACTTTGGGTAAATATTCAAAAATAATTGTTTTGTACTGAACGAGTTAAGCCCATATACAGTACATATATAAATACCTTGATCACAGTCGTGGTGTTACCGATAACATAATCCACGAATTTTTCTTTGCTATTGGAGTGAAAATGGGAGGCGTTAATGGAGAAGGGATAAAAATAGTCGTTAGGACCAATCTGAATGAGATAAACAGCTCTCGAGATTATCCTTTTGGTCTCTGCTTCTCCTAGTTTCTCTTTAAACATCTTCTCTACGTTCTTGAAGTTGCGTAACTGGCTTCCCAATGGTATCACGTTCTAATTAAAGACACCAAGAGAAAATATATCATTAGATTTAAATGAAGAATTGTGCAAATAATTTAGATGGATATGTGTTTTTTTTTTGTTTGTACCGATAAAATCTGGAATCAAACGGCCGTCAGAATTTCTCCCAGTAGGGAACTTGAACGTGGTTTGACCATACGGCCAAACATTGGCCTGAGCAGCTCGGAATGTGTTGATGTAATTGTCGTTGCCAACGTCGAACACTGAGTCTCCAAACACAAACAATGCTGCTTGGTTCGTTATGAGACTTCTTTCACAGTTTATTGAATTGATTGATAATATTATTGTGCGACAAGAGTAAGAATATCGAACCGAATCTCTCAGTGTTTGCCATACGAATCCTATATTTTTTTATAGGAAATGTGGGTGATATATTTAAGTAGAATAAGAACAATGCCTGTGTTTATATAGGTGATAGAGTCAAAGCTAGCTAGAAAAATAATAATGAAGAATTATCGCAAACGTTTCTCAGGACAATTTCCGCTTTTGATTTTCTAAACTAAAATTAAAAGATTTCCTCTTTGAAAAGTCTAAACTCGTTATAATACAATTGAGTCAAGCTTCGTACAGAAACAAAATTAAAATATGTTTGAAATAATTGAATATATCAGTTTCTTGTCTTTCACGGGACGGCTGGTCAATGAAAAAATTTAGTTGTCATCATGTGAACTGATTAGTTTAATCAAATCAAATGTAATCTTTTCATTTTGTAAAAAAAAAAATCAAAGATTCAATTTTACTCGGTTGGTTCGGTTCAGTTCTGGTTTTGCAGGTTTGTTCAAACGAACATCCTCGAGTTTTTGTGTGTAGTAGGTTCAACAAAATGGAAATTCAAATTATGCAAAGGTCAATCTGAATCGAATCATTAACTTTATATCGTTAAAAAAAACATCTTGAACTCTTAGTCTATTATATATACCTCGATCACGTTGGTGGTGTTACCAATAACATAATGGACGAATTTGTCTTTGCTCTTGGATTGAAAATAGAAGGCATTCACGGAGAAAGGATTGAAATAGTCGTTAGGACCGATGTCAATGATGAGATGAACCGCTCTCGAGATTATCCTTTTGGTTTCTACATCTCATAATCTGTCTTTAAACATCTTCTCTACATTCTTCAAGTTGTTTAATTGATTTCCCAACGGTATCACGTTCTAATAAGACAAAGATAAAACAAAAAAATGGATATCGATCATAATATCTTATAAAGGGATAGAACATATGGTTTTTGGATTCTCATCGCTAAACCACATAAATTTCTCACTGTCATTACACCCAAAAGCTGACTCATCGTCCCATAATGACAGTGAGAAATTTATGTGGTTTAGCGATGAGAATCCAAAAACCATATGTTCTATCTCTTGGAGAAACTAGACATAATCATCACAAACAAAAATCATTCTTGAATGTGAATGAATTGTTTTGGAAAAGACGAAAAAAGAAAAGTTAATGTGTGAATGGATTAGTTTAATGAAATCAGGTGTAAATCAGTTAATTTTTTGGATTTTGTATTTTTTTTCTTTGTGGTGAGGAGAGGCTTTGGTGAGAGGGAGGAAGTAACAACATTACGTTTAACATTTCAACATCTGTCCTCATCATGCCTTTCACAATTCTAAACAAAAAAGCCAAAAGCAGAAACGTTTATTGAAAAGCCTTCACTTATGAAATTATTTACTGCTTCTAAGTAAGAATAAAGAAATAAGAAGACATTTTTTCTCCAAATTACCTAACTATACAAGATTGATGGCCCTTAGTCACTAGAGTAGGTTCATTAAAGTGACCTTTTAACAACAAACTAAACAATGTTTGAGAATCGGTCGCAACCTTGTTGATCATATACACTGAACCTTTTTCTAGACAGCCTTTATCAAGACAGCCCTACAGAATAATTTGGATGTATCTTATCAGCAACTTGAGTGTATTATTATTTACTATATCCGTCTTTTCATCTCAAAGGTTCACGAGAAAGTTCACTCAGTAACGTGTACAAGAACAAAACCCCATTTTCTTATATCTTCTGTCCTTTTCCAAAGGCTATTTTAATTTGGTTTGTAAACTAGTGGCTCATTTTCTATCCTTATTACAAGCATCGCTGTTGTTTCCGAGGTGTACTCGGAATCTTATCTCTTTGCTCTTTAATAGGAAAGATCTTTTGCTCGAGTGATTTACGTTGGATGAATGGATACAACTCTTAGCATTTCTCAATATCAACCAAGCAAAGTTGTACTAGCCAGAGGAGAAGGTTCATATAACAAGCAGAGAGGTTCCAAATAGTTTTTATTATAATGTTAAATAAGTTTGGAGGGTTACAGAACAAAACAAAACACTCTCAAGGGTGATGATACGCTATAAAAGAAAAAGAAAAAAAGATTAAATAAACCGTCTTAAAAAAAGAAAAAAAAAAAGAGACAAAAATGAAGGAAGAAGACTGATTAGGTCTTAAATTTATACCTCTATTTACTTCATCACCCCATTTATTTCAGAAATTTTAAAAGAGACACTCTCTATGGAAAAGAGACTTATAAGATACTAATGCAATAAGCTCCAGGTGTGACTTGTACCATCCCCTCAACAGCAGAATCCTGTGAAACAACAACAACAACAACCAGATATTAGACCAACCAAATAGTTAAGACTGTTTTGTCTTCACTATTGACCACAAGGGCTTTGGAACTCACCACAACACAGCCTTATTTACAAACTAGACAACCATCGATCACCTTCAGAAGACTCCTTCCAGCATGGAATTGATCTCATCCAAGCTCCATAGGTCCATTGGGTTTTCCTCTTCTTGAGTCACAGCGGCAGCATCTGAGCCGAGCATAGCTTCCACATCTAATGGAGAGTCCCACAAGGCGTTGTCAAGGTATACCATCAGATCATCAGAGTTATCATCATTGTTGCTTGTCCCGTCCTCAGAGCTGGTTTTGAGCTTCTTGGCTGCATTGGTTTCTTCAGCGAAGGGTGCCTGGTTATCATTGACTGCCATTGAAGAGATCTCAGGTGTCTTGGGGCCGTGATCGCTCCACCCGAACTCAGAGCAGTCGAATGAGTTACTCCCCTGATCGGAACTGAAATACTGATATCCATTGTTACCTCCAACATCGAACGAGTTTGTCAACCCAAACTGATCGTTGTACATCTGAGGCTTCTCTTCCATGAAACTCATATCACCGAAGGAGTCCTGTCCCACGTTGTCAAAGGAGCTGTTGCAGTACGGGGTCACATCTGTTGGCAGCTGAACCAAAGCAGGGCTTTGGTTTGGTTTAGCCACCGGCTTCTTGAGATCACTGGTGTTAGCAGTAGGGCGTTTGTGGGAGCGTTTGTGGGAGACGGTAGGGTTCTTCTCCTCGGGGAAATTCACCTTAGCTTTACTGCCACGGATTCTTCGTGCAGCTGCATCGTAAGCTCTTGCTGCTTCCTCGGCGGTGTCGAATGTTCCAAGCCATTCTCGGGAGCCTTTTCTAGGATCACGGATCTCAGCGGCCCATTTGCCCCAAGGGCGCTGCCTTATCCCCCTGTACTGATTCTTTCTCTTCCTCTTTATTGATTTCTCAGCTTGCCCATTGGTCTCTGCGGTTTTCTTGGCAGAAAACGAACCTATAGGAGCCACAAATCACAATACACAATATCAATCATGAGCTGTATTGAAACAAGAAAAAACTTTGCCAATATTCCAAACAAGATATATGTGCTCACTAGGGAAAGATAACTCACAAAGCAAGCACAGTAAACAATATACATAAACAAAACTGCATCTCTTCAGGAGCTAAGGGATCTGGACATTGACAACTCCAAAATCCCAGTAAGCTGCTGTAGATTCAACAAAGTGAAAGCAGGTGATCACCAAATCAATGAGATCAACCATTTCCAAAGACTTTAAACAAAATGAAAGCTAGATACAAAGTAAAACCTCAGAAAACTAAGATCCAGAAGATCTACAACGTTTATGAACCACTTACAATACTTGATAAATTCTCAATATTTCTAGTCTTCTAGAAATATACTAAGGCAAAAATCACTTGATCAATAGCCATCGAAAGAGAAACTACAACGAATATGTAGCTGAACATCATGATTAAGATCCAGAAACCCATATACAAGAGCAACTTAATGTAATCTTTCCTATTGAAATGAATTTTTTTTTTTTGACAAACCCATGAAACATATGAATATCCGAACACTCAACATAAGGTGAGATTCAATAAACCGAACAAAGTGAGATTCGATTATTCAAACAAAGTGAGAGATTCGAGTCAAGCCCAAAAATTTACCAGTGGAGGCTAAGGCGGCGGCAGGGGAAGCTACGGGGCTGGTTGTTGCGGTGAAGACAAAGGGCTTCACATTGGCGAAGACGTCATCCTCGACATCGAAATCATCTTCGCAGTCAAACGATGAATCATCCTTAAACCCTTGGAAATCAGCCTCGAATTCATCGTCCAGATCGAAGAAACCGGACTTCTTCGATCTCTTCTTCGAACTTTTCCCCTTATTTTTCAGATCCGGCCAGACAAACTCGCTCGTGACGCGGCGGGACGTCGGCGGCGGAACGAAATCGGAGATTATAGCACCTCCACACATGGTGGCTTTCACAAAATCGCTTACTCTTCAGGATGGTCAATGTTCAGAAATAGAAACTTAGCGGCGGAATTATAAATACGCGCTTCTTTGGGGTTCTCTTTTTTTTTGCTCTCTCTCGGTATGGTTCGTTTGTTACTCCAGAAATATAGATAAAATGGAGAAATGGTGCGTCCTACATTATATAGGTTAACATTTTACTATTATACCCTTACTTCTTACTCGTTCTACACTAATGCCATTGTAGTAAATTACACCTGGTCTTCATAATTTGGTAATTTCCATGGTTTTGGTTGGTTATATTCACGATTTTAAAATGCTATTTACAAGTTGATGTAATCGCTATATCTGCAAAAATAATCATGAGTAACAATGAACGTATGTAACTTTTTACCTTTCCATTCAAAATATTTTTGAACAATTACTCATATCAGCCCATGAATTTATAAAGTGATATGATTAAGTTTTAATATTTTCATATTTTTCAAGATTTTTTAATGCTAATACTAGAGTCTAAATTTATAATTACTGTATCAACTGTAATAACTAATCTCATAAATTGTAATAAGTTTAACAATAGAAAGTGCTGGATCTTTTAATTAATAAATCAATCATACATATTTTTAAAAGGTTCTCATAGTAAATTATTAATATTAGATTTTATTTACTTATGATAAAACAGATATAACCAATAATAGGAAATGGATGAATTATATAGTATAGATTTACATATTAGAAAATTAATATATGTTATTTAAGAACAAATTAATTATTAATGCATTGTTATGAAAGTAAAGAAATTTATATTATTTAAAATTTAATATAAAATATTTTGGGAAACAAATATTGGAAACATCTAATAACATGAATAACAATTACAAACTGACTATACAGAATTGTTTGGATCAAAATTTTTTAATACTGACTCTATAAACATAATTTTGTTAGTATTAAATTAGTAATATAGTATCTAACTCGCATGATTATAAACATGAGTGATTAATAAAGGTAGAAGAACTTTTCAAAAAAATAAAATTAGAAGAAAAAGGTCCATAATAATGTAAAATAACTGCTGAAGAGTATATCCAAGGTAAGGGTAAAATGGAAAACATTAATCCTAGAATCTTGAAGAACTGCTGAAGAGACGTCAAAGATGTAACCGTGTATCGACACGGTAAATAAAGGAGGCCATGAACATTGAAAAGTGTAGTAGGTGCATGCATCATTCAATACAATATTCCATCTGTTTTACAATAAATAATATTTTGATGTTTAAAATATATATATATATATATATCTTAACGAAAACAAATTATTTTAATTATATAATATTTTAACTTTGAATATAGAACTAATTGTTTTTTTTTCTTTTAAACCAAACAATATAACGCTTCAGGTGCGATATACTGGAGTCTTTAATCACGTAAAGTAGAATCTTTTTATTTTAAATCAAATTTCACCTTAAAAAAGTGATACATGCCTACAAAAAAGTGTCAACTGTCAACCATTATATTTTTCAGGTGTGTAAGAATCAATAGCATATCCAAAATTAACATGCAATATACAAGTATAAAGATAGCACACTAGTACTTTATATGGATAAATAATTAAAATTTACGGTAAAGAATACATTTTTGAGCAAGGCATTAGCAACATGACATCTTCCACGTATGAGGTATACCTTGATGAATACTTCTAATTTTAATATATATGCGTATATATTATCCCACATATTTGCCAACTTTGAAGGAAGTAATTAATCAAAGTAGATGTGTTAGATAGAATCGACGAGATTTATTGGAATTTCGTACTACTGTATCTTGACGAATCAAAAATAATTGCGACCCCATCCCTTGTCTCTAGGTGAAAATATCATGGATTGGCAAAATTTGGAAACGCCAAAAAATATATTGAGATCATATCGATATGTGCGCTTGTGTGGCACGAAGTGTGTTGAGAGGTGAAACAGATAAAAAGAAAGACAAGTTGAGCAAGTGGACTTACGACAAGGCTTTGCGTTGTCCCGGTCCCACCTTGTACCACACACTTGACGAACATCTTCATAGTTTGTAATTAAAATCATAATTAATTGTTAATTCTTTCTCCTATAAACTGTCGGGTGTCTCTTACCATTTTTTCTGTTAAGTTTTCGCAAAATTAAATCTGAGAGAGTAAAAGATGGATCACATTAGCATACGAATGTAGCAAATCAATATCTACAAGATAGAATTATACCAAGAAGATAGACATAGAAATATAAATTTAATAAATGCAAAAGGATGTAGGACCATTTTCTTTTGGTTTAGATGGAGACAAACCTCCTAAAATAGCTGATCTCAAGAAACAGAAGATGATGTAACTTATGAAAGCTACCCATCCATATCCTGCAATGATTTTTGTTTCATTATTTAAATGAACTGTACGCACTAATAACCAAATTATTAAAGAAAGAACAAAAAGGAATTTAACACATTTTGATTCTCTCATTTTTCTAGAAAAAAAAAGTAACCAAAAGTAACCTTATCTTTTTGACTGGTAGGTGATCTGCATTTCTTTTAGATGGCTGTAAAATCAAGAGTGGAAAATTTCAATCTCAAATCTTGAAGTCTTAATCTAACACATAATCTTGATGTCTGCCACTACTAGCAGTAAACTCTACACACCAACACACCTGCACGACACAAATCTTCTATATTTAGGATATAATCGAATCATCATCAATTATATGTAGACGACCAAAAAGGGAAGAGAAGAATGGTAATTATTTATATGTAGCATAACATCTTTGATGGGCTTGCAGCTTTACGCATTACAAGCTTCATTTAAAGCCCACATCACAGATAGGGGAATCTACAAAAATGGGACGTTCTTAGATTCTGTATCTTAACTTAACAACAAAAGATACATATTTTTATATTACAGAAGACCCAACAAAGATCATAGACACTAGACGACGACGACAACAACTACTTATGATCTTCCTTTTTCACTTATGAGAAAACAAAGAGACTAGAATTGTTCCCGTCTCCAAATCCTAAAACCCTTCACAAAGGTTGTTGAAGAGTAACCACCAAGGGACTAGTCACATTTCGTTTCCCGTCTGACCAAACTATATAACCAGTCTCCACACTTGTCGCTCCTGGTGACAGTTTCACCTCCGTCGTCTTAACCCTAACCATAAAACTCAGCTTCTGTCCGACTCGTCTGAACGATAGCTTCTTCGGCTCAACCTTCACAGTCATCCCATTCGGCGGCCTTATCTTAACCTCGTAAACCGAATCCGGATCGCCAACATTTGTCACCGTTCTGATGAAATGTGTCGACATTTTGCTTTCTCCGTATTGCTGAAACAAGACGGAGAACGACGGATAGTTCAAGTTCCCGACGTGTCCCGCGCGTCTAGCACCATCGCAGTCCGCCTTACGACGGGTTATTGTCACAATGTTGGTTCCTGTGTAGTTCGAATTACACAGGAAGTTGATGTAATCGTAAGATGTAATATCGTAGACTAATCCTGGATCCATAGCTTTGGTCGGGTGAACATGACCTGACCCGTAATCCATAACCGACGATGTATTGCCGGTAGACTCATCCAGCATTGGCTCATCGCGGTTATCGACAGTGTAAGCCGTAGTCATCAATGCGGATCTTATCGCCGCCGGACTCCAATCTGGATGAGCCGCCTTGAGCAGAGCGGCGAGACCCGACACGTGCGGACAAGCCATCGAAGTGCCTGATAAAATGTTGAATTCGGTTCTCCGGTTATCGGAAGGAACGCCTGATGGACCAATCCGGTCAGGCCAAGCAGCGAGAATGTTTAAACCGGGTGCGATTACATCCGGTTTAAGAATCTCTGGTGTCTCTGGATTGGGTCCACGAGCGGAGAATGATGCCACGACGGGCGCGGGCCGGATTCCGAGCCGGGTCCCTTTGAAAACGATCGTGGCCGTTGGTTGTTTCGACGAGCGCGATTTCGATGATTCGGAGATGTATCTCCTGATTTCATCTCCCCCAGAAGCACCAACCGAGGTCGCCGGTAACACGTGGCAGTCGGCGACTAAACCTTCGCCGTCGAATACACCGTTCGCTATTATCATCCCCAAGCCTCCGTTTTTCCTTACGATTTCCCCTTTCGTTGCTCTAGAGTTGATTCCTCTGTCGCAAAGAACGATTTTGCCTTTCACCAAATTCGGATCCAAAGAGCCTTCGATACACAGAGAGGAAGAGTAACCGTCGCCGCCGAGCAAGCTACCGCCGTATACAAGCGGGTACATCCGATTCGGATCCAGATCCGGTCCACCGTAAACGCTTACACCCGGAATCGTTTTTCCGTTACCGAGTTTCACATTGGCGGGGAAATCTCGATCGATTGTTCCCGCTCCAACTGTTGTCATCCACGGAGCAACGTTCGTCACTGTCAAAGCACCGGGACCTCCGTTACCGGCGGAGGCGGAGACGAATATTCCACGGTCGATTGCTCCGAAAGCTCCAATGGCGATGGCGTCGAGGTAATAAGGAACCACGACGCCTCCAACGGAGAGAGAGACGACGTCGACTCCGTCGGCAACTGCTGTGTCGAAAGCGGCTAAGATATCGGAGTCGTAGCAGCCAGAGTTCCAACAGACTTTGTAGGCGGCGAGTCTAGCCTTCGGAGCCATCCCGGAAGCGACGCCGCGAGCGTAGCCGAGAGTAGAGGCAGGAAAAACGTAACGACCGGCGGAGATCGAGGCGGTGTGCGTTCCATGGCCGTCTGAGTCACGCGGAGAGCGAAACTCCGTCGTCTCGTTCATTTTTCCGTTGGTTGCTTCATACCCGCCGCAGAAAAACTTCGCTCCTACGAGTTTCCGGTTACACGCCGTCGCCGGAAAACCCTCTGAAGCTACGCATTGGCCTTTCCATTTAGTGGGAACAGGACCAAGACCACGGTCGTCGAAGCTAGGCCTCTCGGGCCAAATACCCGTGTCGATAACTCCGATAACAAGATCCGACCCGAAATCGGATTCCTCGAGTAGACCCGCCTTGTCGGTGGACCTAAGGCCAAGAAACTCAGGGGAGCGAGTGGTGTGCAAGTGACGGACTTGCTCAGGGATAACAGAGAGGACATGAGGGTGGTCCAAGAGCTGACGAGCGTCTTGAGCGGTGAGTCTAGCGGAGAAGCCGTGGAAAACGGTGTCGTATGTGTGGATGATGGAAGGAGTAGTGGAAGTGAGCGAGGCAAGAGATGAGGTGTACCAGTGACGGTGTGTGGGGAAGACTGAGGGTTTAGCTTCGTGGTCTACGTGGACGATGTAAGTCAATGGGTTTAGTTCGTTTAAAGAGGAAGAAGAAGAAGGGGAAAAAAGAGTCAAGAGGAAGAGGAAGAAGAAGAAGAAGAAAGCCATTGACGGAGAAAAATTGATGATTTTTTCGTATAATATAATGTGTTGATTCTAGATTTGGTTAGTGTGTGAAGGAATAGGAAGAAGAAGAAGATTGATGAGGGTACCACATTGCTATTTGATTTTTGGGTGGAAGCGGAGAAAGAGAGGAAAAAAAACTTGTGTTAGTGTGTACAGAGCAAACAGAACAAGTTTGTGCCACTGTCCTAGTGTCTGTGAGCTGGAGGCACTGTCTCTTTTGCTTTTGCTTTTTACGAAAACACCCTTTTACTTTTGAAAAGGAAATTTATTTTATCACATAGCTATCGTCGTCTAATAGAAGATATGAATTATTATGAATCAACACAAATCTTTATATTCAGTTTGATAGTACGTTTTGCAGTTAAGTTTTCAGGTGACACATTCATATGTTTCTCGTTCACGGGATTTTGAATTTATTTTTCGAGATTCAGTAGTGGGGTATTTATTTGTCGATTATTAATGCTATATTTTAACGAAATTTCGATTCCATTTTTTTTGTAATTTAAAGTTTGAATGATTCGAACTTTAAAGACTATAAAACAAAAGTAAGGAGTGTTCACGTCATCTGAACCGGTGGATGTCATGTAGGTCCCACGCTTGTTTCGACACGTGTTCGAATCAGGTCGTGTAGAAAAATCTTAGGATAACTTGAGTTTACTAATTTAATCAAAACAAAAGGATAAGGCATTGTGATATTTTTGTCAAATGTCGATTAGTAAATTAGATAGACCCAATTAGTTTATCATATGCTATGAACGACTTTGTTGTATGTAAAGGGAGTAGTAGTAATAATGATTTTTGTTAACAGTTAGGTTTCAACTTTCAACAGTATAATACGGACCTTTGGAAGCCTAATAAATACGAGTTACGATGTGTCCAAGTTCCATAAAAATACACCTGAGTAGGTCGATGTTTATTGTATTATTATTGAGCCATTGTTATTTTCCTTATATCTATAGTATATTCTAACGCATTTTAATAAAACCTAGAAGCCAAAAGCAGTGTGTTCACGTGTTTTTGTTCGTTTCTGTTCTTTTTACAATAACATAACTTCTTTTTACAATAACATAACTTCCAAAGTATAATAAAACGAAAAACTAATTTAACAAAATTTGTACCCATTCCATTCAACTGTATTGGTGGGTGATATATGGACAATCAGTAGGTCCAGTGTATTAGTATTTATTTTATAGAATTATTCAGACGAATTGTTAGTTCAATTATTAAAATATTTTAAAGACAAAATTGGAAAATCACAAAACTAATTGACATTTAAGACGAGATCAGTGGTTATCCTGTTTAAATAGATACTATTTCATAGAAAAGAAAATGAAAATATATTTCAATTTAATATACATGTAATTATTGACTATGGAGGAAGTCTAGTAATGAGTAGAAGCACTCTAAAGCGGAACACATTGGACCTCTTGCTTCTTTTTCACTTTAGCTTTTAGTTTTGATTTTTGAATCAAAGTCATCTAATCAACCTTCGAGGACTTTATAACGTTAATTATTACCATCATTTTAGTTATAGGTTTATATACTAAATTTCATGCGAGACGAAAAATTCAAATGTGATTTTTCGTTCATCTGATGATCTGATGGGTTTTTAAAGGACTAAAACTATCTGAAAATCGTCGTCATGATTTTATTTAAATTTAAAAGTGACTGCAGGCATAACAAAATTATTTAATACACAATCCGAAAAAGAAAAAAACACAGGTAATGAGGTAAATTAAAACGCATCGATTGTCCTTTAGGTTCGACATGCATGATTAGAAGAACCCCACGCCGAACCACAGCCATAGCAAAACTGAAATCCACACCTATAAAAAAAAATCCAAAAAACGAATTGATTTAGTGTTTTATTAAACACTTTCTAACAAAATGATTTTGTAACGAATAAAAACACTTTACCTGCAACTTATATGCAAACAGCCATCGACTTTGTCGACATAGAACTTACAACTAGGACACCTCCTCCACTGCTTATTTTTCGCCATCTGAATCAACAAAGCATCTTCTTCGTCACTGCTCTTTTTCTTCGTGTTCCCATATCTCTGAAACTCCTCGCAGTCAATCCCGGCATGCCACGTAACTTTACACTGAGCGCAGAAGAGTCTGTGACAAGAAGGACACTCCGTCTGCGTCACGCTAGCATTACTTCCATCATCCGTCAGCATCATAGCTGAACAGTCTTTGGACGGACAATAGAACTTGTCACACGAAGATATCGACGACTCGCACAAGATTATCTCCCAACGCTCGAACACATCCTTTGGGATCAGATCTCGAAACATGTACGGCTCTATCAAACGCGTGCACTCCACGTCAGGGCATTTGATCCTTGCGGAGTTTTCTTTGATCTTGGTCGCCACGTAACGGATGGTGCACTCGGTGCAGTAGGAGTGAGTGCAGGTTCGTGTACCTTGGAAGATGTCGGAGAAAGGCTTTTCGTCCATACATATCACACACAAACTTCTAGATGGCTGAGCGGATTCGTTCTCGATTTTGATCTCTACTTCTTGTTTAATCGGCGTGGAGACATGTCTTTGGAGCTGGGGATGGTGGTTCACCTCAACCTTTGAAGCGATCAAGGAAGAGAACAGAGCTTCTTGGAGATGGAGCTCCGTCGCGTAGTTTTCGTCAGAGATTGGGAAAACTTCATCGTAATCGAATAAAGCAGAGAAGTAGGTCTCATCTACCAATACATCCACGTCCATCTTCGTGTTTGACGATGACGATGACGATCCATCATCATTCATCGTATCGTTTTTTTTTGTCTCTTTCTTTTTTTGTTTTATTGGAGTTACGTTCATCCCAGTTAAATAATGGCGTTGGCTACTGAATTCGAAGGGTCTTCTTCTGATTAATTGCATAGGGTTAATTGGTTGTTGATGAAGATTAATTATGCATTGGAAATTTGGAATATAAAATCTTAAACAATTGAATTATAGTCAAATGTCTTTTGGTGATCCCTAGAAACCTTTCCTTTCATATTTCACTTCTTAATGAGAAAAATGTGAACCGAATGTATATAGATAATATCACGTACGTGTCTCAAATATAAATAGATTTGAAAGAATTTCAGACATTCAAATCAGAGAAAGAACCACAAGGACTGGTTCGTGATCCACTCTGATGATTCAGAATGGGTTTTTGAGGAATGAGAAATGAATAATACCGAAACCTATGTCCGGCATTTAAATAGACTTACATTTGCAAATTCATGTTGTGTGTACTAAGCAAGTTCAAATCAATTGTCTGAAAAGGTCAGTCATGGGATTCGGTTTCAAATGTCAATGGCAAAAACATCCTCATGATATCAATACTAGGATAATACTATATTTTAACGATCACGAATGCGGCATACGTGAAAAAAATGATTCGACGCTAATCCACAACGATAGCAAAATTTATATCCACACCTGCGAAATAAGCCAACAAGCAAATAATAACCAAAATTAACACGAAAGTTAAAAAAACACTTTCTTCTTTCTCAAAAAAGAAAATAAAGAAACAATGCCTTCTAAAAAAAACAATTATAATATATGATGAGAAAAAATACAAACCTGCATTTTATATGCATACATCCGTCAACTTTCTCCACGTAGAACTTGCAACTAGGACACCTCATCCGCTGTTTATACTTAGCCATCTGAATCAACACATCATCTTCTTCATCGCTACTCTTCTTCTTCTTCGTGTTCCCAAGTCTCTGAAACTCCTCGCACCCAATCCCCGCGTGCCAGGTCACCTTACATTGAGCGCAGAACAGTCTGTGACAAGATGGACACTCCGTCTCCGTCACTTTAGCATCACTACCTTGATCGTCGTCGTCCACCACCATCATCGCCGGGCAGTCTTCGAACGGGCAGTAGACTTTTTCCGACGACAGGATCAACGACTCGCACAAGCCTTTGTCCCAACGCTCGGACACGTCCTTTGGGATCAGATCTCGACACGTGTACGGCTCTATCAGAACCGTGCAATCCACGTCAGGGCACTTGATCATCGCTACGTTTTCTTCTATCTTGGTCGCCACGTAACGGACGGTGCACTCGGTGCAGTAGGAGTGAGTGCAGTTAGTGTTTCCTGGGAAGATCTCGGAAGAAGGCTTCTCGTCCATACAGATCATACAATAACGTAACCTACTAGATGGTTCGGCAGGTTCGTTCTCGATCTTTATCTCCGGTTCTTCCTGCTTAATACCCGTGGAGAGATTCCTCTGGAGTTGGGGATGATGTTTAATGGTAGCCGTCGAAGAGTTCAAGGAAGCAAACAGGGCCTCTTCGTAATCGAGATCTTTGGTATAGTTTGGTTCGTTCTCGATCTTTATCTCCGGTTCTTCCTGCTTAATACTCGTGGAGAGATTCCTTTGGACTTGGGGATGATGGTTTATCTTAGCCGTCAAAGAGTCGAAGGAAGCAAACAGGGATTCTTGGTAATCTAGATCCTTGGTATTGTTTGGTTCGGCGGGTTCGTTCTCGATCCTTATCTCCGGTTCTTCCTGCTTAATACCCGTGGAGAGATTCCTCTGGAGTTGTGGATGATGGTTAATGGTATCCTTCGAAGAGTTCGAGGAAGCAAACAGGGCTACTTCGTATTCGAGATCCTTGGTATAGTTTGGTTCGTTCTCAATCTTTATCTCCGGTTCTTCCTGCTTAATACCCGTGGAGAGATTCCTCTGGAGTTGGGGATGATAGTTAATGGTATCCAAGGAAGCAAACAGGGCTTCTTCGTAATGGAAATCGTTGGCATATTTTCCCACGGAGGATGAGAAAACCTTGTCGTAATCGTATAATGCAGGGGAATAGTAATAATCTACCATCTTTTTTCTTGACGATGATGATGGTGAAGAGAAGCATGACCCCATATCGACTTGTTCTGTTGTTTTTTTTTCCTTGGTTTTGAGTTTGGTATGTGTTGTATTCGAAGGTAATTGCAGTGGATTTTATAAACGAAACTTTTTTCCTTTAAAAAGTGATTTTCTTGTTTACGAACAAATAGAATATGTTAACATTACATAGTAAAGCTGTAAATTTTCTTCTTTATGAAGTTATGGAATATGTTAACATTACATGTTAAGATATGAACGACAAATGGAATACTGTATAATAATTGGAACAAGAGTATAAGTGTTGTTGGTAAAAAAGATTAAAAAATGGAAAAATTGGAACCATTATAGAAGAAATAATTAGAATAAGGTAACATTACAGGTATCAATATGTTAAGTTGCTAACAGTTTCGTAATACTCATCAATTAAATTTTAAAGAATACTGAAAGGTGAAAACATAACAAAGATGATGCTGATGAAATCTTGGGTCTTGCAAGAAACAAATCTTATATTATATGCTTCTTTTCCGGGGACGACGGAGCTACATAGATGTGTTTCGGTAAGTGGTACGGTGTCGGTTTAGTGTCTACCGAAGATGTACCATGCAGATCTTCTCCTACGGAACCACCGAATCAAATCTCACCCATAAAATTTCATAATTTTTTTTACTTTCTTCACTTATTACCCCAAGCACACGGTTAAGAAGATGTCGATTCTTACAGATGTTGTTACATTGGTTTGGTATGCCGGTTAAGGGGTTTTGAGGAATGAGGAATGCATATATAGACTTACATTTGTAAATTCAGAATGGGTTTATATAAAGTATCTCAAAAAGACAAAAAAAAGTCTAGCTTATGATGTCAATGGCAAAAAAGTCGTTACAATCATAAATTTAATGTCGACTGTAAACACACATGCCCAATCTAAACTCTTTCAAAAATGTCTGGTAAGCATTCTAATTAAAATATTGGCTCTAAAAGCACCTTCAACGGAGGGTTTCAAATGCAGATTCTAAACAATTAAAAAATTAAAAAAATTAAAAAGGAAGAGAGAAGGAGGAAAGGCGCTTCTCTTATTAGAGTTTTTAGAAGCGGACTTTCACCACTTGACAGCATTTAATTTGTTTATCTTTTAAAAACAAAATAAAATTTAATCAAATAATATTATTATACTAAAATATTATTTAAATAAAGATCAGAAGCCCATTTTTTATAACTCACCGTTGGAGGTGGTCTAAGTCTCTAAGGCACGACGACTTCGCAATTGTGAGAATATCACCATTTTGATCCACAACTATAGCAAAACTCAAAACCACACCTACAAAAATAGTCGAAAAGGCAAATAATAACAAATTAAAAAAAAAACGAAATTTTAGAATAACACTTACTAATGTAATGAATGATGAAAAACCCTGACCTGCAACTTATATGCATACATCCAAAATCTTTCTCAACGTAGAATTTGCAACTAGGACACCTCCTCCAGTGCTTATTCTTGGCCATCTGAATCAACAAAGCATCTTCTTCATCGCTATTCCTCTTCATCTTGTTCTTTTTGTTGGTTATGGTTGATATTGCCTTAAAAAATAAGCTTCTCTTCTTGTTCCCAAATCTCTGAAACTCTTCGCACCCAATCCCCGCGTGCCACATCACCTTGCATTGACCGCAGAACAGTCTGTGACAAGACGGACACTCCGACTCCGTCACTTTAGCATCATCGTCGTCCACCACCATCATCGCGGAGCAGTCTTTGAACGGGCAGTAGACTTTTTCCGACGACACGATCAACGACTCGCACAAGCCTTTGTCCCAACGCTCGGACACGTCTTTTGGGATCAGATCTCGATACACGTGCGGCTCTATCAGAACCGTGCAATTCACGTCAGGGCACTTGATCATCGCTACGTTTTCTTCTATCTTGGTCGCCACGTAACGGGCGGTGCACTCGGTGCAGTAGGAGTGAGTGCAGTTAGTGTTTCCTTGGAAGATCTCTGAGGAAGGCTTCTCGTCCATACAGATCATACAATACTGTAACCTTCTAGATGCTTCGGCGGGTTCGGTCTCGTTCTTTATCTCTGGTTCTTCGTGATGAATACGCGTTGAGATATTCCTTTGGAGTTGGGGATGATGGTTAATCTCAGCCGTTGAAGCGATCATGGAAGACAACAGAGCTTCTTGAAAATGGAGCTCCGTCGCATAGACATAGTCTTCGTCGGAGGATTGAAAAACTGATGGAGCGAGAACTTCTTGGAGATGGAGCTCCGTCGCATAGGCGTAGTCTTCGTCGGAGGGTTGGAAAACTGATGCAGCGAGAGCTTCCCCTCCATCAAAAACTCTGTTAGAATAGTAATTAGCAAAAGACGTACTCACGTCCATACTTGTGCTTGGCGATGATGATGAGAAGCTTGATCCCATATCGTTCTTTGTTCTGTTTTTACTTTTACACGTTAATTAATGGCATATATATAGCGCTAATTGTTTTTTCTTTCTTTTTCACCCAAATTTACAACACAAGGATCTTGAATCGAAGGTAATTTTTGCCTTATAGTATAATAACACTATTGTATATATATAATTGAATATGTTAATGTTCCATTGCATATCAAAATATTCTATTTTCTTGTTTATGAAGAAACAGAATATGTTAACATTACAAATTAATGATAGAGACGAAAAATATAAATACTGAGATTGCATATAAAAATAACTGGATTGTATTGTGAACAAAAAAATTGGAATGCAGTTGGAACGATAATAGAAGAAAGAAGCAAGAATAATTCACCAAAAAAAAGAAGAAATAAGCAAGAATATGGTAACACTACAAATATACACATGTACATAGAAAACATGTTACCAGTTTCGTACTAATCAGTTTGATATATATATATATATATATATATATTTTTTTTTTTTTGATAACTAATCTTTTCAGGGTGAGTGTAACCATCGAAAGTGACCCACTCACCGGGTTTCGATTCGAAGACTACTGTCTACTGAATAGTAAAAACACAACAATTCTGCTGATGAAATCTTGAGTGTTCTCAGAACAAACCTCCAAAGATATACTTCTTTTTTGGGATGCTGTCTTTAGTATTTTAGGTTTGAAATCTTTACCTTTTTCTTTTTTTTTTTATTTAGAGTAACGCTGAAATCTTTACTTGCGCATTGCGATTATGGTTCGAACTCAAGTTATTCTAATTGTCTTACGGTTAAGGTTTTGTTGCTGGAGGAGGAGAAGAAGAACTGAAGAAGGGGAGGACGGAGCTACGGAGATGTGTTTTCGGTACGTGGTACGATGTCGTTTTGATGTTTACCGAAAATGAACAATGCAGATCTTCTCCGAGGAATCGAATCAAAATCTCACCCATAAAAAATATCATAATTTTGCTGTTACTTAACTAACCATATTTTAATGCACTTTAAATTAGTTATGGAAAATAATAATCAGCTGGGTCCTCGAACATTTTAACTTTCTTCATTTGTTGTCTATAATATATAGCTCCATTATTCGTTGTACAAAATTAAACGAAGAAAAGAAAGCTTACACTCAGGTCACTGAAACTCTCTCTATCTTACAGGTAACATTAGTTTAAATTATAAACATCTCAAACTTACTAATCTGTCATTTGACTCCGTCTTTCAAAACTCTCAAAATATTTCGACGAAGGAGAGCTTACACTCAACTTTATTAAAACTATCTACCTTACAACTTACAAGCACATATAACGTTAGCTGTTCTTTGATTAGAAAGAACGATACCAAATTTGCGGAAGTTAAAAAAAAAAAAAAACTATTTTACCTATTTAATCAAGTTGGCCTTTTATTACAGTTTAGAATTGATAAGACTATGAGTTAAAACAAGTCCGACGATGAAAGAGTGATCAACTTGTGACTCCACCATCATCGTCAAAACATCTTCTCCTAGCTCCAAACCATTCCTCGATTGTTTTCTCTTCACTTCTGCCACAATTCTTCCACAGTTATCCTCGACTCCTAAACTTGATCCCCGAGTTACCATCTTATAACAACATTGTTCATCGTTTCTATACGATCCCGTTATGACTCTATACGTAGAAGATGAATCTTTACTCGGAATCTGAAAATTATTATTTTTCACTCGGAAGTATTCTAAGCTTGTTGTTGATTCAGCTATCTCAGATGGTGATCTATATCCTTCCCAGGTCTTGAATAATCCAAATTTCTACACACACACACACAAAAAAAAAAAAAAAAACTTGATTAGTTTCAAAGTGAATAAATGTGTTATGCAACCAAAAAAATAACTTGCATGAAAAAATAAAACTGAGAACGTGTGTCTACCTGTCTACGTAAGGTAAACAAGACATGACCGTGTAAATCCATGAGATAAACTTCACGGCAGCTCTTAGAATTATAATTATCGACACGATAGATTATATTTCCTTTCGAATCGAACACGGTGCAGCCATTTGTATTGAACACCAACGACTTCATCCAAATCGTGAAACTCTCTTTCTCCGTCGTCAAGTACGGCGAACCTGTTTCTTTTCCGGCGCCGGAGATTGTCTGGTCGGGATAAATCTTCACCATAGTCTCCGCTGGAGAGATTCGATTCTGCCAAGCTTTTGTCTCGTAAGGTCGTCGGTATATTTGCATATAATATATCTAAATCGAGACAATGATTCAAATTTTTTTTTTTTTTGAAATGATATAATCTGGTCGACACAAATGGACTAAAACTGGGGTTTATATACACAACCGATTTGTGGAAGTAGCTTACATTGCTCGTTTGGTAATATTTTAAGTCAACTTGATTATTGTCCTACAATAGTGTATAATTATTCGATGTCCAAAGTAATTACAAGTTCTTATCACATTATTAAGTCCATCTCCACGTGTTTTAGAAGAAAGTTGGTCTCATTATACGTTTGAATCTTTGTTTTTTTTATAACTATTAAGTATGCATGTTATATCTAGTTATTTATATAATTTTATGTCGTGTATATCGATATGTGAACAACTATGTATTGACATCAAGGTCTTCTTCCACTCCATATGTTTAATGTGAAATCCTAACGACAGTCTCTGGAGATAAAGAAAGAATAAAATACAACATTTATAAGTTAACTATACTACTTAGATTAGAGATGTATATATAATATATGTAGGATATCTCTAGGTAGCTTGAGAAGTTGCCCAATCGATTTTCAGTTGTATTTCCTCGTGTGCGCATGTCACTCTCACACCAATGCTAATTATAGAAGTACAAGGCAAATACCACACACACACACATATATATATATATTATAGTAATTAATTAATATCAATAAAAACTTAAAATGACATTTAACATATTATGTTATTAACTCAGATTTCGTTCAATATTGATATTAAATAAAATTTAATCACTTTCCTTGGTGTACATATAAAGATCACACAATACCAGAAACTACATATGTAAACAATTTAGATTAGTCAATGCTTAAGTGCATTAACGTCTAATTATAAAGATATGCATATATGTATATTTATACGGATATGCATGTCACTATAGAGTTATAATTTTTTTCGAAGTGTATCGCTTACACTAGGATTTAAATATGTACAGTACGTATGGTTATATAAATTTTGTAATTATGTGATAATTAATGAAAATAAATTTAGTCGTCACTGTTAATTAGTAGATGGTAGATGGAGTTGAAAGTCGACGAAGAGTGCATTGTGTCACAAGGTTTAGGTCTTAGGCGGATAAGCGTCAGACATCATTACCTCTTGTTTCTGTCTTAATTAGATATTCTAGTTTCTTTCTTTAATCGTGCAACTGCAACTGCAAACTATAAATTAGGTTTTAGTTTGTCGTATTAAACTTTATACACTTTAATAATCGAGTAATATCAAATTTTTGGCATGTTGAACTTTTCTCGTGGCTGACGGATTCCCCAAACGATACTAAACAGCAAGTTGAAGTAGATCATTTGATGAGATAACTGAGAAAAGAAAAACATTTTGTAAAGATATAAACACACAAACGCTTCTGTTATACGAGGTAACAACTAAAACGTTATTCGTTCGGATTTGAAGGATTTTCGCATAGTTCTATGATTCAATCCTACTGCTAGTATTTTTTTTTTTTTTTTATCTTGTCTTAATTAAGTTGATTTAATTCACGCTCCATGGGATGGTAACACTCGTAAGAAAACACTAATATTGACACTTTAACCTTTGTGTTACTTTTTTTTCATGTAGATTGCGTTAGTCCAAGAGTTTCATTTTTTTTAAATGACAAATTTATGACACTCTCTGACGTAAGTAATTTGAACCATTAACTAAATAACCTTTTGTCCCTAAGTGTACATCATCCGTTACAAATCCAAATTAGATGACACAAACGGTCCAATATATTTAACATTGTGGAGGGTACTTTTTGTGCCCTTTTGTGTTAGGATAAGCACCAGGTCCATATATCGATTACTGACAAAATAAGCGAGGATTTTTTTTTATAGGAATTTGTTAGACTATAAACTAATCTATGATTTAGTGTATGAAGTACTTTATTTGAAGTATTAGGTAGCCTAATCTTAGTTTTCAAGCATATGCATTTCCTATTGGTATGCATGTAAAAGGCCAATTAGTGATACATCTTAAACTATGCGTGAGTCATATCCTAATTCATATATTTTTTTTTGTTAATTCCTAAATCATATTATTATTTAAAAGAACACTTTTTGGGGTCATTTTAAGATGTTGGAATGAGACGCATAAGATTAGCATGCTTGAGGTTGACAAGACAAAAATGTCTGATGTATAAAAAATAAACTTAAGGTTATAGATTAAAATCTGTCGGGGGTAAATACTAAATAGTGATTTGTCTCTATAGACGTAAGAAACAAAGTTATAACAGCAAATTATGTTAATAAGTAAGAAGAACAAAAATTCAAAATTTGAGTAATAATAACTACCGTACAGAAATAAACAAAAACGTTCCACTTTGAGTTTTTTAATTAATAAAGTAAACAAAATTAAATATAGTACATACTCCGTATTTTTCAAAACCTTACTTTATGCCACTTATCCAACTCCAAACGGGATTATGCACTTGTCATTGTCTTTGCTGTTGCCAAAAATAGACCTGTTTAAAGTTAAACAGATACATACAAACACATGTGTAGGCCCATTGAGTCCATTAAACTTCACACCGGCCCAAAACCACGAGCCGAGTTATTATGGCAAGAGGAGAGCAATTATGGCATCTATTAGTTCCAAATTTATAATGATCTGATCCACTGAATAAACAATTACATTTGTTAAAAATGTCATATATTATGGGTAAATACTATTTGAAAGTGTTAACATTTAATATCCTATTTCCAAATTGTGTTATATGTTTCTGTTTTTAAATGATTTGGTGCAAGTTTATGGAATGTAGTATTATATGTAGTCAAATAACTTTGTTCTCATCTCGTAGTCAAATTGTATCTTCAATGGGTGGTACAATATATTAATTTTTTTTAACATAAAATTTTAATTTTATTATTAGTGTATTTGGCTGTTAGATTTTTCGTTCTTATAAAAAATAAAAACCAATAATTTTATTATTTTTTATTAATATATAAAAATAAGTATTCGTTATATAATTTTATTTATTATCCTTATATATAAATAATTATGATTTTGCTTTTATCCTATTGGTTCATTTGACATTCTTATTTCTTATTTCCTAAATAATATATTTTTATTAGATTTGTAAAAGAAGGATTTTTGATCTCACCATATTATCCCAATTGACATCTCGTAAATTGAAAAAAGCGGTATCATATTCTAGAAATTTTTGTAATTTTTTTGTTTCATGAAAGATTGGTATCAGGAAGATACATTGTTTGATGTAAAACATATGTATGTTTTATCTTAAGTTCCTTATTTTGATCTGATTTTTTCTATTTCATCTATTAATCAGAAATTTAATTTACTTTGGTATAGTTTTTAGATTTTATAGCAATTTTGGATTTTTTTGTAATTGTTTGAGATTTTTTTCTCTATTTTTATGTGAAAATTTAGAATAAGTTTTGTTTATTTAAATACTAGAATAGTATTAGCGTTGAAAATTAAATTATAAAATGGTAGTGAGTTCAGATTAGCTACGTGAAGGTCTATTGTAAACTGTGTGACGCGGATTATTGATGGTGACGATGTCGCTTTCCCTGCCACAGAAAAACATGAATATCAGTCAAAATCTCCAAAATTTGGACAAACAAAAAATTTCAAAAACCTGAAATCAAAGGGGGAAAATCCCTAAAAAATTCGAGAATACAAGAAGACGATCTCCTGGTGACTCGAAGGTTTTTGTTTAAGGTAATTCGATGCGATCAATTCAGATGGGTTTTAGGAGATTCCTCTGCTTTTTGTCAATTCCTCCTGATCGTGATATTGAATGATTTCGATTTCGATGTGCATTTTAGTCTCTCCTCCAAAGCATGAAATTTTTTCACATGATCGTTTCCTGATAATTAGGGTTTGCTCGATTTTTGATTTCTTATCTGGAGAGATTTTTGCGTGTTTGTGAATAAAACAGAACAAAATGTATCTCTGATCGCCCCCAGAATTTTCAATTTTTCTGATTGATTTCATGTTAATCTAGTGATAATTGGATCCGGATCATCCTTGACTCTTGTGTATTCATGTTGAAACCATTCCTAGATTTTTTCTTAAACTTATATGTTAAGGTTTTGATTTTGATTTTTGTTTTTCAGTGAGAGGTTAAGCTAAAGGTCTCTCTGGGTTGCTCTTGAAGTTTCCCTGCTATAAATCATCCTTTTGTAGCAGTTGGGTTTTCCATCTGTTAATGCGTTGAGCTTTGTTGCTGAGTTGAGAATTCTAGACTTCCATGACCGTCATATAGCATGATGGTTTGGAAGATTTTAGATGGATACAAGAGACAGTAATAGGACACTCTCAGAGATAGTGGGTCTGGTGAAATCCTGGCTCCCCTGGCGATCAGAGCCAGCTACTGTGTCCAGGGATTTTTGGATGCCTGATCAGAGCTGTCGTGTATGTTACGACTGTGACACTCAGTTTACGCTTATCAACCGCAGGCACCACTGCCGTCTTTGTGGGAGAGTCTTCTGTGGCAAGTGTACGTCGAACTCGATACCTTTTGCTCCCAGTGACTTGAGAACTCCCCGTGAAGAGCGGGAAAGGATCCGTGTCTGCAACTATTGTTTCAGGCAATGGGAGCAAGGTGATGGTGGACCACATGTTTCGAGTATCCCCGAACTTAGTACTTCGGCTTCAGAGACAAGCCTTCTTAGCTCAAAGACTAGTACAACTGCCAACAGTAGTAGCTTAGCTCTTGGCTCGATGCCAGGGTTAGTTGGTCCTTATCAAAGGGTTCAACCTGGTTCTGATGTCAGTTTGCACGGAGTGTCTTCTTCAATGGATACAGGTACAACCAGGCAGGGCAAAGAAACTTCAAGGAGGAGCAGCTTCATTGCCACAAATGTGGAAGATTCATCTCGCTTTCCTCTTAATAGGTACTCCCTGTCTCTTGACTTCTCTTTGATCTCGTTGGTAAGAGTTAAGCTTATTAGACTGTGCAATCAAGCTCTAGGGTAGGTGCTGTGGCCTTTGAACACGTTTTTTTTAATGCAATTCCAGGGTAGTGATCGTTCAAAATATTTCTTCTGCATGTGAAGTTGTAGCAGCAACTTATTTTCT